GTGACTAACTCTTTCCCTCACTAACTCTTTCTTTGACTAACTCTTTCCCTAACGAACTCTTTCTTTGCTAACTCTTTCTTTGCTCTTTCTTTGACTAACTCTTTCTTTGCTAACTCTTTCTTTGACTACCTCATATATCCTGACTAACTCTTTCTTTGACTAACTCTTTCCCTCACTAACTCTTTCTTTGACTAGCTCTTTCCCTCACTAACTCTTTCTTTGACTAACTCTTTCCCTGACTAACTCTTTCTTTGCTAACTCTTTCTTTGACTAACTCTTTCCCTGGCATTCTAAGAGTCCGTAACACGGAAGTTTCTCCCCCTAAACTTCCTTTGATCATATCATTTCTGAATATCTACTTATGCGTTGAGTTTGGCAGGCTCTGGGTGCACATAATTCATCTCTCAAGGACTTGATGACTGCCAAATGTTAGCTCGGGGTGTTGAACCAAAATTTGCAGTCTGGTTTTGTTTTCTTTCCCCGCCCGCCCTACCCCAAGAGCCGCTCTCCCATGGTGTCTTGCTCGGTGGGGACCCATGAGGCCCTTTGCGTTTCAGAGATAGGGGTGGGACCTGGGTGACAGATCTGAAGCTGGGGAACAGCTTTATGGTGGTCAGTGGGTCACACTGGCTAGATAATCATTTCCCCCTAATACTAACCCCCGTCCCCAATAATAAACACCTGTTTTTTTTTTGTGTTTAGGGTGTGTTTTGTGTTAGGGTGCAAAGCTTTCCCATGAAATACTAAACTATTTAGAACCTTAAAAGATACCGATTTCAAAATCGATTTTTTGTTGGAAAATCTAATCAACATATTGCCAAAATTTTGATTTCAAAGGTTGTTTTCATATAAAATTAAAGACATTATTCAAAATTCAAACTGAGATGTTCGATTTCAAAATCGATGAAATTCCGTTCTGAAATCGATTTAAATACAATATTGCCAGAGCTTGGATTTCGATGGTTCCCCTAATATTATCTAAAAACTAAAAACATATTTTGAATGATGGACTCTAATAAAAGACACCCCGGCGTTGACTAGGTTTGTTATTAGGGTGTGAAACCTTCATATGGGACCTTTATTTTAAAATTGTTTTCTAACGGGCACCAATTCAAACTCAAGCTGGCCAACTTCCATTTTCTCAAATTTTAAAGTGGACCCTGGTTTTGGGTAGTTGGGGTTTTCTTAGTAAATCATGGTGCACTTCCCACCTGCAGCTCCTCAGGCTGGGAAGAAAGCCCTGCATCAAGCGACGTCAATGAGACGGATGCCGTGGAGGCGTCACCTGCATCACTTGGAGAAGAGGCGCGTGGAATGTCGTGGAACCGTGGGAAGCTGATGGGTCAAGCAGTGAATTTGCTGATACCCTCTGGTAAACATACAGAAAACTATGGAAAATCACAATTTTCAATGGGTAAATCCACTATTTCTATGGCCATTTTCAATAGCTATGTTAAATTACCAGAGGGTAACCCAAATCATCCAAAATTAGACCATCTTAGCATTGAAACCCTGGGTTTTGTGGAGCCACCATAAAAAAATAAACCATCAGTTTCATGGTCATCAACTGGGGTTTGATATGTGACTACCTGGGATTTCATGGCATCAACTCACCGACATAAGGGGAGGCGAAGCCACCGTTTTAAGATAGGTCTGGAATTCCAACAAGAATTTAGCTAAACCATAAGTTAAGTTTGCTTAAATCATGTGCTGAAATCAGGATATCCAATGGTGTGAGAGCTTTAAATACGAGTTAACCATCAACAAAATTGGACATCGCAGGGCATAGATTCTGTTTTTGCCATAGGTGCGGGTATGGGCTCACCAGCATTTTTTTGTCCATGGTATTTAAGAACTGCCATGAAGACAATTTCTGAGGAGGTTCGCATGGGGTGGACAATATTTTTTTCAACAACATTGGATGCGGGATAAACCCAGTTATGGCATTTTTTGGGCGCACAAATAGGATGTGTGGGATATAAAACAAATGGATTGAAACTGGGAGTAACGATCATTTGGCGCAGACCATTTTCAACGAAATTGAGCCCACAAGATCTCATTTCTCTTGGTGCTTAAACCACCGTAGGCCTTGCAAGTGCAACGCATTTCTCCGCACGATCATTTTGAATTCAACCGTCAAAAGAAACATTGTTTTATTTAAATGATACAAAACATGAATGCTTGGTAGTTTGTGGATATAACCGCCCAACTTAGAACTAGTTCAAGGGTTGAAACAAGAAAACACAAAAGTGCCCCCCCCAAAAAAAATTAAGCTGCAAGCCGAAATCAAGTGCAACAATGACGCCTTTACCTGCACCAATATGAATTGAGTTCGCAAACATCCGGATTTGACCTGCAAAAATGGGGATCTACATCCTGCAGACCACCAAGACGGGCCAGAATGCCCGTAGAAAGGGCCCTTCATCGTGTGTGTGTATATATTTTATTTTTTGTAGAGGCATTTATCTATACTGTATATATATTATAGACGCATGTTCTATATTGTATAAATATATATATATATACAAATACATGATTTTTTTATATACAGTTGTTTACATTTATATATGATATATGTTTTATTTCTATATATTATATATACATACACATTTACATATGTGCATGTTCACAAGTAACACTAAAACAATAAGACATAAATAAATAAAGAAAGAAAGAAAGAAAATAGATAAATGTATATATATATATATATATCAAAACAAACATGGTCAATTAGAGCGAGTGTGTATAATATGACGATATATAAAAAATGGTTTTGTGCGGTTGGGGTGACTTGCCGCCATCTTGGGTTACTTACGAGGTTTGCTTGTATGAGTAAAAACAATTTTAACAAATTGAAACACATATGTGAACCATTTGAACCTTTTTCAAAACCTTCGCACCTTTTGTTTTAGGCCAGACGCGTTCGTGATGTGCGTTTCCACTTTCGCGGAACTTTTGCGGACTCGTATTTTTTTGGTTCTTCCTTTGACAAAGCTTTCGCGAAAACAAATTTTCGCATTTTTTTACACATTCAACTTGGCGACTAGTGTGGTTTTGGTTTTCGCGGCTGCAACATGTTTTACTTTAACACCTCTTCACACTATCACTTGGGGTTTTGGAAGCTGCTAATTTTGGACAATATGAAATGATCATTGGAAAAACCAAGTGCTCGTAGTTATTTTGTGATCGTAGCTTTTTTTTTATCAGTAGTGCATGTTTACTTGAATATTTCGATGTATTACAAACTGCGTTAGTTCACTGTCAGGTGGTGCAGTCCGTCAGCTCGGGATATGAGCAACTAACAACTAGCTGGGAACCCACACAGTACCCACTCTGAGAAATGGTAGAGGAATTAACGATGAAGTGTAGGAGACATTCAGACCCCTTATTTTGTTCCATGTTTCAGAAATCAGAAACTAGAGTTTTCAATCCTATGTTGGGGTTGGAGCATGGGCCCGGTTCTGTTGCAGATCCAATGGATAAATCGATAGATCAACATCACCATTTTCCTGCTTTTTGGCAGTGGCCCATGAGAACCTCAGTGGCAACAGGTAGCTCACACCACCACTGATTTGTTTGGCCCGGGCAGGTCCATTCAAAGAAGACCTCCAGTCTCCTCAGCGAAGCTTGGGTCATCGATAATCGCAGGGTCGACCGCTTTGTGGATGACCCAGTGGCTTTCATGGGCTCAAGCAGCAAATCATTGAGAAATGCCCAGGACTCGAATCTGAGATGGGGTTGTTCGCCGTGGTTTTCGGAAGGGTATTCCATGTTTCTGGTGACGTGAGGAATTAACAGCATTGCAAATTCCGTGCACAATCTTATATATCTATGTTGCGCGGCTATTGTACAATTTTCGAGACTGTGGTGCCCGAACATGAATAATATCCTGCAGTCATTGGTCATGGGATGTCATGGGTATATGCAAGATTTAGCTGCCAAAGATTTTCCATCATGTCCAATTTTGCTGTTTTTTTGTCCGCAATTTCCTTGCTTGTATTCGGCCTTGATCAAAAGCCAACTTTTGCGAAGCAGGGCTGAACCATTTTGCATTACTTGGAGGATCTGGCTAATGGCCCTGGCATGCCCTGGTGTTATTCTATTTCTGGCTGAGTTATAAATCATATACCCCCAGTGACTAACCAGTAATCCTCCTAGATTCTCCAAGTATTTCTAGTTCCATCCACCACAAGCATTTCTGATTCTGGCCGACCTAAATTGAATGTGGCTGTGGAAACTGTGCATGGGCCAGCTGTTCAAGCAGAGGTCGAACCGCCTCAGAACATGCATGCAGTGAAAAATCACAAGCAGGACCCTCCAGTAATCAAACCTGGAATATTATGGAACCATAGCAGTGGGAACCCTCCTCTAAGCTGGCAGCTAAATGGGAAAGTGATCTTCAGATGATGGATTTTCCGTTGCCGTGTTTGATTACCAGGGGGCAAATTTCACTTGAATTTCACACAGTACCCCGCGCAATTAAGCTGATAAACATTGTTAAGATATGTTAAAAACAAATGCATGTACCCTTGCCCCAAGGTTAGATGCCACCCTGCAAACCTATTATCGGGTAGCTCATCCCATGCTGCAAGTGGCTTACTTAACTCACTCGAGTAGCAAGGAGCCGACCGTTTCTGGACTAGCTGTGGTTTATAGCAAAACCCTCCGAGGCCCTCCGATACTCAAACGTGGCAATGCAAAATCCACCATTGATAGGTGGATGATTTCGTTGTATGATTTCCAATTGCCATGTTTGATTACTGGAGGGTAATATGTTTTAACCCAGTTACAGTACCACTGCTCAAGAACATGGAATAGTTATGTTATGTCATGTCTCTATATGTCTCTACGACGCTTATGCATCCATGTGTATACATTTGATTTTATTTACATAGACAAGTCTCCCATATCGTTTTCTTTTCATTCAAGTTTTTTCTAGGAAGCTAAAAAGTCACATCTTGGCGTCTGGCACACCGTGCGACGCCATGTGAGTTGCTGTGATGTTGCGTGTCCTGTCACTGTGCCCCTGGGGCAATGGATGGGTTTGGCAATCAAACCTATGTAGGTCATTGTAGATCCATTTGCTTTAGTTGGCTGTAAGGTTGCCACAGCTAGAGATTTTTATTGACAAGATCAAGTTCAGTAAAAATATTCATACATATTGATCATAGTACCTTCAAATATTCATTAGTACTCATAGTATTCATAAAAGTATTCATTCCTTCTGCGCAGCGGCCTGTGGTAGCCATAGGTCATGTGGGTGTCGGCTGGAGGTACCCAGTCATCCCTGCAGTGCTGGTGGCGCTTTGTGGCATCAGTTTGATCGTCCTAGGCGGGACCAGGATCCAACTTCACAGCCACGTAGATGAGGGGTGCCCGGCCTGTAAAAGCTTATGGTGCCATAGGATCCATAGGCCAACTAGGGGCACCTTTTTGTATAGCTCTCTGCATCCCAGGCTTGGTGTATCCCAGTGGCCGAGTCGAACATCGGCCGACCCTGGCAGAAATACAGCAGAAACATGCGACCCAGCTGCATTTGAGGGTTTGAGGGATTATGAGACTTGATTGTAAAGATTCTGAAGACTGGAAAAAGATGTCCTTCCTCGTTTCCAGCGTTTCCCTGTTCATCCACTTCCATCCACGTCCTGGATTGCGGTTACCTCGCTTGAATTCTGCAAGACGGCTCCCATGCAGTATATTGGTAAACATAACTAGGCCAACGCATGGAAAAACACTTACAGCATAGGAGCCCCTTAATGTATATAACATCGTATAACTACGGGTGTACATAAACCCGGCCCACAACGAAACGTTATTCGGGCCGAGTTCGTTCCCGGCGCTCCTCGCCGAGGAGATGGCATTGGCCGAAGTGATGCGGGGCTGCACAGCTGGGGGAGTGGTGTCAAACAGTGCCCTAAACAAAGTACACCGTTTGTTTAACAGTTGGCCAAGTTGGCTAATTATATGGAAGCTATAGGTTAGGTCCGTGTAGTTCGATGATGGGTGGTTTCCCGATTGGTGGTTTCCCGATTGAAAACTGTGATTTTCCACTACTACAGGGTAAGTTACAGGAAGGCGATGGGGGATTATTATTATTATGTGGCTCACCGCGTACCATAGGATTTGAAACCATATAGGCCATTGAAATCCTTTGTTTCTGTTTCGGTTCAATTATTAACGAAACATTTACTCCGATTGTATTTCTGTTAGGGCCAATACATGCACTTCTAAAATATAAATATCGGACTTCGGAAGGAAAGCAGCTGATAGATCTTAATGCCCCAAACGGCCATAAACCGCCCATGTTCGGTGATTTACAGCACCGAGGCACAGCGGTGTCTCAGGCAATGTGTCCTCCAAGGACGATGGGCCTGGGTTGGATAGCACTGGATAGCCCAAATGTTGGGTGACGATGTCATCATTATAATCATTTTATCCATGAAATGACCATGAACTCAGTTTGCACACCATGGTTTTCCCCGTTTTCAAACGCCATGTCTTTTTATGTTTTTTTTTGTTCCGGGATGATGATCGCAAGGCAAGAGGTTGAAAGCAGCAAGATGCCCTAATCAGTTTGAATCCTTGGTTAAAAAAAGAAGCAAAGCTGGGAGGTATGCCCTTAGAGAGTCCGCATTCGGCGTAGCAGATCACGGCTAGCGGTGGTTGTGAGGGTAACATGTGTGTGTATGTTTGTGTGTGGTTTGTTGGATTAGATTTTTTAGGCATGTGGTTCGATCCAGATCTTACACGAACATGTTGACAAACAAGGGCCCAGAAGATTCGGCTGGCATGCAGAAAAATCGTGACGAACTTCTAGCAAAACACTGGGAAATGATGGTGTTTTCTCAACCGCCTTTATCATTTGCTTTCACTTCACCTATTCATAGTGTTGTTGCTTAACTCAAGTGGCAGTAGCCAACTCTTTTTTGTTAAGCCAAATGGGATTCGGATGATGACCTGGACAAATTACCCACCACACTATGACTCATGACCAGCGTATCACTGGGAAACCGGTGTGTGGGTAAGCGTTTCTGCGCCAGTGAACTGCACAATTTTGCGATTCTGAACCGCAGAACTGTCTAATCAATGTAATTTGCATCAGGGTCTCATTTGAAAAATTCAAATACCCCAAAATCCGCCCCAAATCATGAAAATTCACTGTTCTTGTTGAGGCGCAGTCATCATTTGTGGTTGTCTAACTTCCTATATTGTTGCTAAAATCAATTATTGCTGGATTTTAAGTCACCATGCGTGTTGGTGGACTTATTTTATTTCGGACAGATCTCATGTTTATTGATTTAGTAATGGTTGATTCACCATTTTGGATGGTCAACTCCCTTTTTTGTTTGGCCATGGCCGCCACGGCCATTGCCGTCACAGGACTTCAGTGATGGCCTAGGGCTGGCTTTGAATAGCCCAGTGGCACAGGGGCAGGCGATGCGGCGATATGGTTTTTCAGATGCTGTGTACATATAGGGGGTCCTACAATGTGGGCCCCCCTAGAAAGCTAAGTTCGTTTTGTAATTATAGTTTCCATAACTATGGTTTATGAATGTTTATCATACCTATAGATAATGGGGTTTTTAAACCAACTTACAACTTGGGGGGCCCCACATTGTATAATATGGGCCATGGGTAACCCCCAAACCCGTTGGGTTTTCCAATTGACTAAAAAAATATATACCTGATTTTGGTGTCACACACATCTCTCTCTCTCTCTCTCTATTCAACCAATATATATATATATATATACCAGCACATGCCAAGGGGTGCCGTAATGGCACCCCTTAGGGAGGGGGTGTCAAAATGGCGCCCCTTTATTTCTAAGGTGTTTCTCAACCTGTTTGGGGTCATCTGGGATATACATTTCATCTTTGTTATTTGAGGCCACAGAAGCAATGCTTTTGAGTTTTATTTTTGGCACCCCAGAAATGGCGCGTGTCAAACGTGTCATTTGCGTGTCGGGTGGATGCGCAGGGGGTGCGAAAACGCTTTAGGCTAAGGGGTGACTCACGGTGTCGTTTTGCGTCCCTTAATGCGTGTCGGCAGTGTGTCACTACCAGGGAGTCGCGTGTCATTTGCGTGTCGGAATTCCCCAAAATCAAAGTTTTTGTTGTTCAGCTCGTCTCCAACCATGTCTCCCAAAAATGGTGCTATGAACATCGTTATCACATGTTATCACCATATCCTGTTGTGTTTTTTTGGTTCGGCTAAGGGGTGTCGAAACGTAGCCCCTTAAAGAACACACGATAGGGGTTCCAAAACGTAGCCCCTTGGAAGGTCCTGGTATATATATATACATACATATCGTTCGCGCCCCCAACTAGCAAAGACCCCGAAAATCACAACTTTACGGAGGAACGTAGGCTTTCAACCCTTCCATTTGGCAACACCACAAGGTCAACACAGCTGAGGAAAGTTATGGCAAGGGCCCAGGAGATGAAACCACATATTTGGGACCATTCGCCATTGATGCGGTTGGCCGCCTGGATGGCCCTGGACTCATCGACCCCGTTTTGACGGATCAGTTTACTTGGCATCACTGTGATGCTTTGCTCGGGCCACCGGCCAAAATCCCATATAATTCTTCATGATATAGTCCCTGTAATAAAGAATATACATGAAATTTTGGCTGGTTGGCAATATAGATAATACAGTCACCAAAAGATCTCCAAACACATCAGATGTCACAGCCCTGACATGTTCTGCTTGGATCGCCGTCCAGGTGATCCTGACCATCCCCGAACACTTGGCGATCAGCGTGGACCGACCCCACAGCTGTGTACCACCTCAGGAGCCGCGCGGCGCGGGTGGAATGGAGCCACTAAAACACCAAATGGATCCAAATGGAACCCGGATGCGGTTGGGTTTCAGGAATGCGTGCTATATATCTCTTTTTTTTTCTCCAGATTTCTGGCCATTCTGGGTCTAAGCATTCAAAACACATGTTGATTTTCTTGCTTTTGTTGTGGCAGGTTCATCTTCATTTCATTGAAGTGAATGGAAGGAACATTTACATACAGTTACAGGGTTTGCTTCATTTGTTCATGGTAAAGGCCAAGGTTTCAGCTGCATTTCTACATGTCAACCAACCCGTTGGCAAATGATAATATTCCATCCTGGGAAACCAAAGTTGCTGTTTTTTTTTTAGGCAACTTTCAAATTTTGCGCGTTTTTCTCAAAGTGGCACTAATTTCTGCAACTTTTCATAAAATAGGCAACGTTGGCAAAACATGCAACTTTTTGCCCTTTGAAGTTCTCTAGCCCCACCAGCACAGATTTTGGTGAGTCAGCTAAGCAATTTGGGCCTCGAAACATTTTGAAATTATTCTGTCAAGGTTTGATTGTGGAGAAACACTGCAGGCTCAACACATGATGACCGCAAAAGCATATCCAAGGACGTCTGATTTCATCGCTCCATGACGGGGAACGCTTTAATTCGCTCACCCGAACATCCCCTCCATTTTGTGCAACACTGACCTTTCTCAGCAGGTATTTTTTAAACATGACAGTTTTTGCTCCCCAATGGACATTTATTTGACCTTCCAACTTCCAACAGGCACCTCCCTTGACCCCTGGCAGTTGTGACCAGCTATAGTTGGATGACAAATCGTGGAAAACCGGCACAAAGTATGGATACACAGCAGGCATAGATGTATATAGACAAAGTCAATATAGGATACGCCGCAGAGAAGTCAAAGAAGTAGAAGGGACATTGATTCACGTATAGGAGTGATGCCTTTTTTAGACATAGAATGGACATGTCATATACAAAACTGCCAGGGACAAGTCAAAATGTAAGACAATCATGGCAAGTTGAGCAATTATTTGGCAGACAAATCCATTGCATTAAGAGCACCTTTCTTCAGGGCGACAATATGCCCTACAGAATTTTATACAAATTGATCGATGACAAAATAGCGCACGAAGACATGAGCACATTTTCCGGGGGGGCATTTCGAGGTGTCCTCTGACTTGACCATCTTGACCAGAGAGCATTAGAAAGGGACTATTTAAATTATTTGCGTCCTGGTATGGCACTGATACCTGCGACCCACTCACGCCAAAAAAACGAGAATACGAGCCGGAACGACACAACGCGACACCGTATGATCCAAGTCGGTACCGTACGAAACCGTACGAAAATGAGAAAGTTGCAAAAAACGCAAGAAAGTTGCAAGGAAAAAGCGTACGAAACCGTACGCCGGAATTCTTCGCATGTTCATTCAATTTCTCGCACTTTTCCCCGTCTAGCAGGTGAAAATGCCGCAAAGCACGCCTTAAGTTTGCATTTGACTTTTCAATGCCTGCCAAAATAGTCTGCTCAAATTACCTTGCGTTTTTCTGCTAGCCAAAACACTCAGCTTCGCCATGAAATGACTTTGTACTCTAAAGGTTCTGATGCTGCCGCCAATTCAACCTCTGTAGTACTTTGCTTTGTTATGATTTGTTGGAGGCAAGGCAGCCAAGGAATGTAATCCTAATTTAGTGTCTGTGAATTTGAAAAAGTGCTCTTACTAGGCTTCCACAGCGGCCAAAAGAAAGCGCATGCAAGTCGAAAAGTCTTGCGGGTGAGCTATATACTGCAACAGTGCGTCATGGGAATTGACAAGCGTTCAATCCCTGATTGTTTTTCAGCCCCATGTTTCTTGACAAGAGTAAATAGAGTAAACTTTGTGGTTGCCAACGTCAAAGTTGAACTGCGAGGACCTTGGTTTGGTTTGATTCACGCATTGGTTTACTGCAGGAAAAAATCAAGTCTATGGTTGGTTCTGAAACTTTTGACACTGCATGCATGCCAGTCCGAACCCAGCGTATAAAAGTTTGTGAAAGCTCTGTGAAAAAACACGGAGAACATCGCGAGAAACCTGCAATTCAACTGGAATTCTTGCAAAAAAAGTTTTTGCTTTCTCAGGGAGGCCATTTCATGGTAAATCATAAAGATTACATATACTGAGAGTAGAGCTTAAACATGTTTAAACATTATCTTTCGCTGAAACCATGTTTTTGCTCTGGCCAAACAAAATGAAAGGACGGGGCAACCACTACCAATGTTTTCTTAACATCTTTATTTGCTGGTGACATTGGTAACATTGCAGCTTTTTTGCACAATACCATCGTTCCCTGAGAAATCATATAGGGATTAATTATTAACCATGCTGCAAATGTTTTTGGTCGCATTTTCAATGCACGGGTAAACGGGGCCCGGAAATGCGACCAGAAGCCGAGAAGCCGAGAAGCCGTGAAACCACCGGACAAGCCGAGAAGCCGAGAAGCTGAGAAGCCGAGAAGCCGAGAAGTACGAAACAAGCCGAGAAGCCGAGAAGCCACCGGACAAGCCGAGAAGCCGAGAAGCCACCGGAGAAGCCGAGAAGCCGAGAAGCCACCGGACAAGCCGAGAAGCCGAGAAGCCACCGGACAAGCCGAGGAGCCGAGAAGCCAAAAAGCCCAACGAATGACGCAAATGAAATGCATGAAAGGAATAAGGATCGTCGACCGCTTCAACAATCAAGATAATCCGCTTCAGCAACCAGCATGCATGACCGATTTAAGAAACCAAAATGACCGTTGTAGAAACCAAAATGACCGATTCAGCAACCAAAACCGCGTCGCGATTCCAAAGCCAACTAAGAGGCGATCCAAAGACAAAAGGTCCGACTCAAAAACTTAAATGTGCGACTCTAAAACCGGAATGCACGATTCCGCAGCCAAAACTTCCGAAACAAAAATGTCACATCTTCGGATCAGCATCACAAGACATCAAATCCGCTTACCCTCTCTGAATAATACGTTGCACCTTGAGCATTACAAGACATCATCCCCGCATATCCCCGCCACCCCCTCTGAACACTCTGTTGCATCTTCAGGGTCACAAGACAGTAGCCCTGGCACCCCCTCTGAACAATACACCTTGAGACATCAGCCCCGCCACCCCCTCTGAACACTATGTTGCATCTTCGAAGATCAACCCAGCGACCTCCTCTGAACACCACGTCGCCCCTTGAGGATTGCAAGACATCAGCCCCGCCACCCTCTCTGAGCAATATGTTGCATCTTGAGCATCATCACAAGACATCAGCCCCGTGCTCCCTCTGAAAAATACGTTGCACCTTGAGCATCGCAAGACATCAACCCCGCCATCCCCTCCCTGAAGACTATGTTGCATCTTCAGCATCACGCTAGGGAGTCTTTAGCGTTTCCTTAGGATTTCTTTGGGGGTTGCTTTAGGGGTTTCTTTAGGGGGTTCTTGAGGAGTTTCTTTAGGGTTTCTTGAGGGGTTTCTTACGGGGGTTCTTTAGGGTTTCTTCAGAGGTTTCTTCAGGGTTTCTTAAGTTGTTTTTTCTGCAGGGTTTCTTTAGGGTTTCTTTAGGGGTTTCTTTAGGGTTTCTTCTAGGGTTTCTTTTGGGTTTCTTTCAGGGTTTCTTTAGGGTTTCTTCTAGGGTATCTTGCAGGTTTCTTTCAGGGTTTCTTTAGGGGTCTCTTTGGGGTTCTTTAGGGTATCTTGAGGAGTTTCTTTAGGGTTTTTTAAAGGTTTTTTTTTGATGTTTTTTTAAGGGGTTTCTTTAGGTGTTTCTTTAGGGTTTCTTTAGGGAATCTTCACAAGACATCAGCTCCGCCACGCCCTCTGAACAATGCGTTGCAGCTTCAACATTACAAGACATCAGCCCTCCAACCCTGTCTCAACATCATCGGGCATCTTCAGCATCACAAGAGATCAACCCCGCCACCCCCTGTGATCACTACGTCGCACCTTGAGCATCCCAAGACAATTAGCCCCGCAACCCCTTTGAACACTACGTTACATCTTCAATATCACAAAAGATCAACCCTGCCACCCCCTCTGAACAATACGTTGCACCTAGAGCATCACAAGAGATCAGACCCGCCACTCCCCTTTGAAGGCTATGTTACGTCTTGAGCATCAGAAGACATCAACCCCGCACCGCCCCTGCACAATAGGGTGCACCTTGGGCATCACAAGGCATCAGCCCCGCCACCCCCTTTAAACACTATGTTGCATCAGAGTCACAAGACATTAACCCTGCCACCTCTTCTGACCAATACATTGCATCACGACATAGCAAATCCGCCACTCCCTTTGAACAACACCTTGCACCTTGCGCATCGTAAGACATCAATCACACCCTTCATCTGAACACCGTATTGCATTTTGAGCAGCACAAGACATCAAATCCGCTTACCCCCTGTGAATAATACGTTGCACCTTGGGCATTACAAGACATCATCCCCGCCACCCCCTCTGAACATTATGTTGCATTTTCAGCATGACAAGACATCAACTCCCCCACCCCCTCTGAACAATACCTTGCACCTTGAGACATCATCCCCGCCACCCCCTCTGAACATTATGTTGCATTTTCAGCATGACAAGACATCAACTCCCCCACCCCCTCTGAACAATACCTTGCACCTTGAGACATCAGCCCCGCCACCCCCTCTGAACACCATGTTGCATCTTCAAAGGTCAACCCCGCGACCCCCTCTGAACACTACGTCGCGCCTTGAGGATTGCAAGACATCAGCCCCGCCACCCTCTCTGAACACTAATTTACATCTTGAGCATCACAAAAGATCAACTCCGCCACCCCTTGAATGAATGAATGAATGAATGAAATGAATGAATGAATGAAATGAAATGAAGTGAAGTGAAGTGAAATGAAATGAAATGAAATGAATGAATGAATGGAATGAATGAAATTGAATGAATGAAATTGAATGAATGAATGAATGAATGAATGAATGACTGAATGAATGAATGACTGAATGAATGACTGAATGAATGAATGAATGAAATGAATGAATGAATGAATGAATGAATGAATGGAATGAATGAATGAATGAATGAATGAATGAATGAAATGAATGAATGAAATGGAATGAAATGAAGTGAAGTGAAATGAAATGAAATGAAATGAAGTGAAGTGAAATGAAATGAAATGAAATGAATGAATGAAATGAATGAATGAATGAATGAATGAATGAATGAAATGAATGAAATGAATGAATGAATGAATGAATGAAATAATGAATGAATGAATGAATGAATGAATGAATGAATGAATGAATGAATGAATGAATGAATGAAATGAAATGAAATGAAATGAAATGAAATGAAATAATGAATGAATGAATGAATGAATGAATGAATGAATGAATGAAAGAAATGAATGAATGAAAGAAATGAATGAATGAATGAATGAATGAATGGATGGATGAATGAATGAATGAATGGAAGAAATGAATGAATGAATGAATGAATGAATGAGTGAGTGAATGAATGAGTGAGTGAGTGAGTGAGGGAGTGAGTGAATGAATGAATGAATGAATGAATGAAATGAATGAATGAATGAATGCATGCATAAATGAATGAATGAATGAATGAATGCATGCATAAATGAATGAGTGAGTGAGTGAATGAATGAATGAATGAATGAATGAATGAAGGAAAGAAGAAGAATGGAGAAGGAAGGGAATGAAGGAATGAGGGAATGTAGATCAAACGCTATAGATATTAGAGGTTTTTAGCGCATGTCAGACAGAATGCTAGATAAATGTCATGTGTTGCAAGAGGAATTGTTAGACATAATTCCAGATAGAACGTCTGGCAATTCCTGGCGATCAATCAAAATACTGAAAGTAATTTGTTCGTTCGTCAAGCGCTTGATTTTTGATCCAAGCAAGTGTTTGCGCAGGCTCAGTTGTGGATTTGTTGTGCTTTTTACTGGTAAAAGATTCACGATGGCGTTTCTTTATTTGACAAGCCGGTGATTTCAGCTGCTTTCAGAAAGCCACTTTCTCATGCATTACGCATTCAAAAGCTTGCAATCACCACATGCAAAATAAACATACCCAGATGGCAACTTAAGAGGGAAACATCGTTCAATCCCTGCGTTCCCTGATGCAAGGCATTGCATCATGTGCTATATACATCTAGCGTGTCGAGCTGCGAAGCCACGCCGTGTGCACTCTTGCAGAAGGAAACGTCGCAGCGCCAACAGCGTCGCAGCGTCCCGCGTCGCAGCGTCGCAGCGCCAACAGCGTCGCAGCGCCAACAGCGCCAACAGCGTCGCAGCGTCGCAGCGCCAACAGCGTCGCAGCGTCGATCCCGCGTCGCAGTGTCGCAGCATCGCAGCGCCAACAGCGTCGCAGCGCCGCTCCAGCGTCGCAGCGTCGCAGCGTCAACGCAGCGTCGCAGCGTCAACACAGCGTCGCAGCGTCGCTCCGGCTCGCGGCAGCGTCGCAGCGTCAACGTACAGCGCCGGGAGCGTCACAGCGCACCGTCGGAAACCCACGTTTCGGCCCCCTTTGCCCCTCCACTGCGCATTTTGAAATGCTAGGATTATAATGCCCCCGAAGTTAATCAAATCCCACCCCGGCTGATCCCCGTTTCCTATCTTATGTTTATTAATTCGTCTCATGCTGGCGCATGTTTCTCATGCTCACTGCATCCTGCTGATGCAGCCAATTTTTTATGACTTAGACTTAGGATGTCGTTCATGGATGACATGAAAGGAACATGATTTCGGGGGGTTGGATTTTTTTGACTCCCTGACTGGACCTTGTTGACCTAGAGGGGGGGGGTTATTAATCCGGGGTTTACATTATTCTAAAGTTGGTATCTCTAATTCTGCCACTTAGAATCCTATTTTTTTTTCAATCATTGTTCAACCACTATATTTCAACGTTCGCGGTGTACCACCATGTCACTGTCGCGAGCTCGCCTAGGAGATGACGGGCGGTTGGCGGGCCAGAACTTGGGCCATGAGCGGTCGAGGCCCTGAGCTCGACAGATTTTCTTGGGGGCTTAGCGGCTTAGCAAATTATAAAGTTCCGAACGTTGTGTTAGATGTGTTCAATGACTGTTATATTGTAATTATAAAATATTATAAACATTTGTTTATATTGTTATAATAATGTATAAATATGATGCTTATATTTGAATTGTGTTTTATGTGTTCGATTTGTTATTTTGTGTTCAATGACTGTTTGGCATTGTTTTGGGGGTTGCATTGTTGGGGAAAGTTGGCCGAAAAGTCAGATGATGGAATCAAGTACAGTCTCCTGCGCATGTTTTGCCAGCATGTAAAGCAAATGAAATCTGGTTTAATGATTCTGTTGGCTGGAAGCTCTTATTTTAAGGGTTGCACAAATTACTCCTACAATTATGATTTGTTGGCAGCCCCTTGAACCTTGGAGCTTGTGGTGACCGTCCAAGACTTCCACCTCTGTTCGGATTTCCTTTGATGTACATCCTGTTTCCCAATTGACTTAAACCATATTTGGAACCAGATGGTTATCAGCCAGTGATGATGTATAGTTCGTTTTTTTTTAATATATATATATATATAATAAAACACACAAACACACACAGATATGTATATATTTAATTATATGCATACACCGGGGATAAGGCAAGTTGTGGAACTTCTCCTGCGCAAACATCCACCCACCATCAGGGGTTAAAGGGCCGTAATGTGTTGTGTAAGATCCTTGAGCCACATGTAGAGTGACATACGATACATCTAGCATTTGGTGAATTTAACGCCCCTATGGAAAATATCTATTTATTTTTTGAGTATTCAATAAGAGAATAATATATATATATATATGTATATAGGTTAATCATCTAATTTATCATCTACAAATGGGCCATTGTCCATTGCCATGTTAACCAGCGGGTAGCGTTCCTGTTTCATGAGAAATGGTGGCCGGAGGCTTCTGGCCGGAGTCTCCCAACTTGGCTTGTGAGGTGCCAGGGTCAGAAGAAGCTGATTTCATCTAGGTGAATTATTGTATGTGTATCACTGTATCACATATATATATAATTATGTATTTATATATATTTATACGTGTTTGTTTTTGTATTTGTTTTTCATTTAGTAATTTGTTTATTTGTTTTGCAAGATGTGTGGGATTGGACCATCATGAACAATCCATGTTCGGGGTCTTTAAAGATGACCTGTATACCCACCATAGCTAGAGCTATGTTGCCAAATGGTATCAGACGGTGTCAGGATGTTTCAGGGAAAAAACATGCAGGAAACCCAGGAAGAGGAACAGTGCTTCTACTCGTTCCCATTCACATCTCTAGTCTACGGAAAAAAACACAAACAATTACTTGTAATTTGCGGCTGAAACTTGAAAACCTTCGACACCCAGGACACCCATCACTTTTTGAGGTACCAGTACAGCATGTTGACGAAAACCATCAACCGAAAAACAACGCCAGAACCATCATTTGATTTTTACATCCTGGGCAGCAATCCCAATTAACCGACAGTTCTTCTCTGGGGAAAAGCCACCATAAAATCAAGATCGAGTGGAACCATCCAAAACCAGACGGGTTTTTCGTTTAACAAGACATGCCACCAGATAGTAAAACCATTTATATCCATTTATATTATATAAATTTCGTGTTTTTACCAATAGCATAGTATATATTCGAAACATAAATGGAAGTATCTACAGTATTTACCAATATTTCATGCAGAAAAATGTGCAATATAGTTATTCTTTTCCAATTAATCTCTGGTAAACTAACAGTTTGCTATTGACAATTGCCATTTATAGTTGATTTAGCCATTAAAAACAGTGATTTCCCATAGTTATGTTAGTTTTCCAGAGGGTAATTTCTGAATTCAGATGATTCGTTAGGTGTAGGATGGCCCAAAAAGGTGGAGCGCCGGGTGGTGGCGGACGTGGCGCGGAAGAAGGCCACGCGTCTCACCGGAGTGCTGCACCTTGGTGCCGAAGATTTGGGATGGATCTAGTGGGTTACATAGCCCTTATATAGGCCACATATATGGTACAGTAATGTACAGTACCTCCATTTTAGGATCTTGAAATTCCCATTGATAATAAGCACGGGAATATCATGAGAATATCAGAAGATCATGGGATTCACATGGTTTGATATGGCTATGGGGATTCTATATAGTTTTGTTTGGTTTTAACCAAGAAAAAATGTGGTCTAATGGGATGTCATGGGGATATGGGGATATATCTGAATCAATTAAGATGACCTCACTTTTAAAAAAAAACATGTAGAAATGGGAACATGTCCAGCAAGCCATGTTTGACTGCCGGAAGGTATATGGAAAATATATAGGATGATCAATGGGAGCATGGTGACCATATATATGAAATGGCGATTGGCAGATGACCCTTGTGGATTGCCCATGGCGACCGTTGATGGGGAAAATAAGGCTTGACATGGTCTATGTGGGTTTAACATGGTTTAACCAACAGCCCTGGATGATGATGGAGATAGTGTATTGAAATATATGAAACACATGTGGGATAATGATAAGCATTATCAAAATCACTAGAAATGCAAATCTACGAGACAATTTGCATGTATCAATGTGGTGCCCCCACTCATCACCTAGTAAGCTAGCAAACCGGGGCACCACCTTCTGCGGGAGTTGACCCAAATAGGAGCCAACAAAACTTGGGATTTCAATAAAGAAAAACATTTTGTTTACCAGCAAAAGTATGGAGTTTGGTGAGTTTGAACTGGTTTGAACATGGCATTTCTGGTTGCTGGCGCTGGGACAAACTCCAGAACAGTCAGCGCAGAAGCGGAGGCTTGGAAAGTCCCCAACTCTTGGGCTTATCGTCGGATCCGCCCAGTGTGGACTGATAACCAGACTACAATGTCGAAGAAAGGGCATAGGTAGCAGGTAGCATAGGTAAACTATGGTAAAATTAGATTTTATCAAGTTGAAGGTGCGTGTTTTGTCGTGGAATTATATGCTCGGGCAGCAGGGATTTCCCCACCATCCCAGCCTTGAGGACATTTGCTGTAACTGGGTGTTGCGATTCCATTTCGGGAGTTGGTTACAGCCCTCGTTTTTGCAGGACTTGGCCAATCCCAAACATAAAATATCGTACTGTGAGCAAAGAATCTACATTGGACCATGTTGGTTGATAGTATCATATAGTATCCATATTCTGGTTGATGGTATCCATGGTTTTGCCATGGATTTTCCATGGGTTTTCCTGATTGTAGCTTGGTTGTTACCCGAATCTCTGCCCAGAATGAAGTCCCCCATCTGGCCCCGAGGTCCTTGATGGTTGTGGAGTGGCTGGCAGCTAAAGGCTTGAGATTTGCCAGTGTGGGATGCTGCATTGTAACGGTCCCCAACCAGCACGCGTTTGGTACAAGATGGGGGGAATACCCATGGCCTGTATGGCATTGATTCCGTAGGAAAATGATGAGCAACCCATTTCTTTTAGGGGTGCCCCATTTTGGGATAACATGCTGTTGTTGATGATGATGTTGCTGCTGCTGTTGTTGCTGCTGTCGTCAGATTTTTGTTACAACATATTTTCCAATTGCCCCGAAAAAGTCTTCCAATCACCTAAGAAGAAGCTGTTTGAACCACCCAAACCCTAGCTTCTCAGGACATCCTTTAAGTAGGATGTATTGATGTAGAAAACATGGTAAATACCAGTGCAAGGATCGAAGACTCCCTAGGGTCCCTACGTGGCTTGCTTAAATCATCATAAATCATCAATTTTGGCTGGTGAAAACCCCATTTGGTGAACCATGCTTCATCGTTTCTAATGCTTTCATGTGTTGAAGGTTCTCTCATGATTTTTTGGTGGTTTTTGATGGTCACATGGCTTTCCACGTTTTCTGATGCAAAGTACATCCTTCTTTCATCCTCAAAAATTGTGCGGCCCAGCGCACGTGTGGAACCGGAGGCTTGGTGGCATCCACTGCGGCGGCGCCTGAGGTGTTGCAACTGCTGCCAGATCTGCAGTGGCAGCAGGAGATCCTCATCTTCGATGGTGCCGGGAAAAATGCTGGATTTAAGTAGGAAAAATGGATCAATATGGTCATTTCTATATTTAAATTCAAATATAGATAATAGGTTTATGATGGCAAAACTTGCGTTATAACTTGATAACTTGTAAATTATAACAGTTTATTACCCCAATCGTTAGTTTTATGGTAATTTTTTATTGTAGTCATATAATGGTTTTTAGAACTACGTTTGAACTGAGGAGAGCCACCTGGTGGAAGTTCAGGTGTTCAAGGTATAACTGGTGTAACTAACCCACGTACTTAATGGCATACATTGGCATAAGCCAGAAAGTAAGGGCTTAATAAGCCACCAAAAGAGGGTTAGGGTTGATGGTTGTTTACAACTTCTTTATAAAGCTTTAGTTGGTGGAGGGAGTGACCTTTGGGGTTAAATGGGCATATGAGGGTTCAGTTGCTGTAATTGCACTCTAATCGTAATAGTCTTTGTACTATGTTTATTGTTCAAGTATATAATGGTAACAATGCGGAATATAAGCCATATTTTGATAAGGCATCCATATGTTTCCGGCTGGAATAGCCATAGAACATTGTAATGGGATTTCGTTATTACCAGTATTGGTACTGGCATGGGGGTTACTGGGATATCCCGATTTGGAAGTGAGCCCATTTTCTGCTCAGGATTTTTCTTAGTTTGAGATGATATTTGATATGAGCAAAATGTCCGAAACATTCTGCAACTTCGTTGTCGATCCAGCTGTCCATGCAGTGCGCATTGGGCAATGCTGAGCCCTGCATTTTCTGCAACACCGTTGAGGACAACTGCGTGTCTCTGGTGCGGCGGTTTGCTGTAGGTCATTGGCACCATGTTTTGTGGCAATGGTGAAGGGATTTGTGCATTTCCTTTCTCCGGCCCAGCCCACTCGGATCATTGAGGTTGCGCGAGCGTGAACTTGGAGGAGTAGCGTTGGCGCGCGCACCTTCTGTTCAAAATCCTCCTCCTTTTTGGGTCATAACATACGTCTAAGTCTTAGAGTCTAAGTGAGGATATGATTCATAGCTGTGCCCATTTCCCACAACCGTGTGAGGAACTAGGTAGTCCATGCCTAGTGTGTACAGGTTGACAAGCTGGCTGCTGGGCAAAGCGGCTGCTGCAAACATCAGTTAAACATGAAGACATGTATCCACCAGGGAAATCGGATAAACAACTTTTAAACATGAAAAACGTAGATTCAACATGATTCAACCCTAAACAATGGGCAAATATGTGTCCAAACCGATTTGTGAAGGGCAGTGTATTATATACAGTCTTTTTGCGAATGGATACCTGTGGTCCTGTGGTGCTTTCATGGTGGTTCACTCTCTGGACGGCTTCACCCACATGCTTCCCAGGTTGCACCCCAAAAATGAACACAACCACCACCCAAATTGCTTAGTCACTAAGTCATGATTCTGAATTGTCATTCCAATTAATTTTGGGCATATTACGCATAGTGAAGGTGTAAAAAAAATACATTGTGTGTATAGTGTATATATACATATACATACACACACATATATATATATACCTACTTACCTACATACATACGTACGTACATGTATAATCATGTATGTATGTAAGCAATGTAATGTAATGCAATGCAATGCAATGCAATGTAATGTAATGTAATGTACTTTAGCGTAATGTAATTTAATATAATGTAATGTAATGTATGCATGCATGCATGTATGTATGTAATGAAATGTATGTATGTAGATCATGTTTTCACTATATTTACAAATGTTGTTCCTGGTTTGCTCCGAGGAACGGCCTATTCGCCTTGGATCCCGAAGAGCTCCGCGTGTCACGAGAGCGAGTTGTGTTGGCCGTTTTGGGTCTTTTTTGCTGCTGGTGTTTTCCGGGACAAATCCCTGAGGATCTCAGGAGTCTTTTGTTGTTTGCTTCTCTTTTTTAAGATATAAAGACGCTTGACATGACTTAAACCATTAAAAATATAGATATCACGATATGTCACGAATGAGTCACAAATTATCATCTGTTGATTTTACATGTTTTAACATTGCTTTGGAAGAAGCCATGGCTCATGAAATAGATGATGAAAATTCAGATCTACCTGCTAAACATGGTGATGTTCCAGTTCGCTACGTCAAATAACCAGATGGTAAGACACATGGAGATCATATGTATGTTATGTATATATATATATATTATTTTTTCATGTATATTATATATATGTGAATTAGATGAATACAATATGGGGCTTGGTTAACAGACATGGTGCTACAATGAGATTGCTTGGGGATGTAGTTGGGTTAAAACCAACAATATGGGAATAACATTGGAGATCATTGGGCGTTTATGGAGATGTATATCTGTGTCAACTTTGGATGGATAGAACGGACATACAATATGAAGATTAATAGGACTATTTGGTGGCCGCCCTTGGTGAAGGGTACTTTCATCTTATTCCGTTGCTGTAAGAGAGAGAGAGAGACAGAGAGGATATATACATATATATATATACACATACATATACATATACATATATACACATACACACACATATATATATATATATACATTAATATCATACACACACATATATATATGTATACAAATATTTATTTATCATATATATATATATGATAAACGCACGACACTACAAATAAATTCTTTGCAGGGTATCTAAGATTGGCAATGGTGTCACTGGATGGTGGACAGTGAACAGCTACTAGCATCGCGCATAGCATTTTGTTAAGCGTTATAACCTAGACAAATACCTCATCCAGATGGCGACATTAAACATCAGAATCCCAAAAATCATGAGTTCAATGCTGAACAAGACAAATCAATCACTACCTTCTGATAATTTCACAGGTTGCTATTGGAAAATAGATCAACATTGTCCATTTATAGATGATGTATGTACCTCTAAAAATGGTGATTATCCTATGACAAATTGTGATTTTCCTATGACAAAATGCAATTTTCCTATGACAAATTGCGATTTTCCTTGGAACAAGTGTGATTTTCCTTTCCTATGACAAATTGTGATTTTCCTTTGACAAAATGCAATTTTCCTATGACAAATTGCGATTTTCCTTGGAACAAGTGTGATTTTCCTTTCCTATGACAAATTGTGATTTTCCTCTGACAAACTCCATTTTTCTTATGACAAATTGTGATTTTCCTTTGACAAATTATGATTTTCCTATGCCAAATTGCAATTTTCCTATGACAAATTGCAATTTTCCTATGACAAATTGTGATTTTCCTATGAAAAATGTTGATTTTCCCTTGGCAATTTTTATTTTTCCTATGACAAATTGCGATTTTCCTGTGACAAATTGTGATTTTCCTATGAAAAATGTGTTTTTTTTCCCTTGGCAATTTTTATTTTTCCTATGACAAATTGCGATTTTCCTATGACAAATTTGCGATTTTCCTATGACAAATTGCAATTTTCCTATGAAAAATTGTGATTTTCTTTTGAACATTAGTGATTTTCCTATGACAAATTGTGATTTTCCTATGACAAATTGCAATTTTCCTATGACAAATTGTGACTTTTTCTGACAAATTATGATTTTCCGAAGACAAATTGCAATTTTCCTATGACAAATTGTGATTTTCCGAAGACAAATTGCAATTTTCCTATGACAAATTGTGATTTTCCTATGACAAATTGTGATTTCCTATGAAAAATGGTTCGCAGCGCTGGATCAACGCTGCGGCAGGTTGGGCAGTGGCACCTCCATGCACCACTGGCGCGACGTTGCGGTGAATGAGACCTCGGTCGCCTTGGAGCACCTCGGAGATCTCGACGGAGCTGCTCCAATTGCGACGGAAGGGGTGATTTTCTGGAGGAGAAAAACCAAGTCCAGAATTTGTTTGATAATTTGTATTTGGTTTTTAACATGTTTGACACATTTTTTTGGATGTGGTAAAATGGCAAGTGACACAGTGATTGGTGTTTTTTTGACAAGGGCTCTGTCAGGGGATAATGTTTAGTCATGTTCGAATGTGATATCCACGCTTTGGGTTTCCCTTTGGCCAATGACTAGCAAGCCATTTTGTTGGTCCTCCACATGACAGGTACATCACTTCTGAACTTGGCCCTTTGTTGGGTGCCGGCCGCGTGACCCTGGATCACGTTCGTTGGGCCTACCTTGTTCGGGCGTCCCAGCGCGATCCAGCGTGGGCAGTTTGAATTCCTCCTACCTACCACGGTATTATGATAACATATATATATATATACATACATACATGTTACTAATAACTCATGTTATCATTCACACACACACATATATATATATATTGAACATATGATATATACGTGTTATTTTTGGGAGATTTTTTGGGTATATAACTGGGCACAGATATCCACATGATGGCTGCATTGTTTCTTTTTAATGAATTCCGTCTGTCCAAAGATGCACTCAACATCCCACGAATCGTGACTGTGAACCTATGGGTATTTGTTTGGATTTCCCAACTATACGACATATTATAGTTATTGATGATTGAGAAACCAATGATGAACAAATTGACAATATCGACCTATTGATTAATCGCAAGTAAGGTAAACCCAATAATTAACAAATTGGTGGTAAATAAAGTCAGATACCAATCCAAAATAGGAGAGTAGTTACTTAGGAGGTTCATTCTTGGGCTTACCACATTTTTAGCGATGTTATTAACTAGGTACCAACTCCGATGATCCCGAAGTACCACCTAGCCTTTCCAACAAATTCTCGAAGCTTTGTTCGCAGCCATTTGTCAGGAATCAATTTTCGGCCACGGGACCCCCGCGACCCAGCAAAAACACCCACGTCATGTCGCGCATTGCACTGCTGCTGTTCGCACATGTTGTGTCAATTGGCTGGTCCACCCTGAGACTTGGCTTGCTGTTTTCTCCGTGATTTCATGTGAGATATTTGTTCCACATGGAAACCCGCTACTGATTGTGGTGGTTTCAAACACGTGTTTTTCATGTTTTTTTTTAATCTTATGGAATGATGATCCAAAGTGACGCGCATGTGCTGGGGAATCATGAAGAGTCTAGCCCTTATCGACCGCTGCAGGAGTTTCTTCTTCGCCAAATTGGCAAAGCTTCCAGATCTATTATATCCATGATTAATTAGGTGCTTACCCCAAAACAGTAAACCATTTAAATGCTAGCCCCCCAATGATCAACAGCACAAGGGGTTATGAATCTGGGATTGCCGTTTTTGGGGAGTGGTCTGGTTTAAATTGGGTCAATCTTGGTTAGATACTTTAGGATTCTAATCCTTTGCCTATCGATGGCAAAATCAACTAACCAGCTAAAAATTTGACAAATGTGGCTGGTTTCTTGAAGATTCACCATGGTTTCTAGTGTGCCTCAAGCAAATCCAAGGATATGTCCAAGCAAGACGACAGCAGACGATATCCTGCAGGGACAGCAACTTAGCAATGGCATCGCGTTCTGACTGGGTGTTGAAAAAAGGGAGGAGTTGATTTTCCACGGTTTGCAAAAACAATTTGGTCCAATTTGGTGGTAGTCAGAGGCACTTTTATGTGTTTTTTTTTAATAATCACCCCCAAGCGGCTCCTTCAAATGCAGAGATTCAGGAAAAGAACATGTTTGTTGGCAAAGGAGGACCAAAATGCCTGGATTGTTGGCTTGGCACCCCCCGCTCAATACACACAGATGCAGCATGAGATATTAATGGATGTATACATATTTCGGTAGATGAATGACTTGCGTATATATATATATATGTATACAGTACATTATTCGTGTATGTGTGTGCATTACATTCTCATTCTTAATGCTACTATAGTTAATTACTATACTATACTTTGCAATGCTATACTATACTGTACTATACTACACTATACTTTACTACACTGTACTATACCAGGCTATATGTTATAGTTTCATTTTTAATATAGAAATAATATGTACTCGTACACGCACATATGAACTGACTAGTATTGACAACCATTTGGCTACGTTGGAATGCCTCATGTCCCAAGTCTCTACAGGCGCCTGGGGAGCAGCGACCCAGGAACCTCTCGGGGAAGCTGGCGCTGGTGACGGGCGGTGACAGTGGCTTGGGCTTTTCCATTGCCCTGGCGATGGCGAAGCGTGGGGCAGAGGCGACTGGCGGCAGCAGGGAACCCCGATATCACCATGGGTGGTATACACCATCCCCAAATGGTAGGTTTATTACGGGATTTACCACATGAAACCAACTGGATGGGTATTTTAATGTAGTAGTATGTTTGTGTTTCATTTTTGCATCCGCCTTTTTTGTTTGGGGCTAGAAATGGTGAGATTTATTGCTGAATCTTAAATAAATGCCATGTTTTGCGGGGCATCCAAGATTCGATGTGGTAAAGATGATGTGTTTCATGTGGCATGGCTTTTTTGGAGGCTTCAATAGACAACTCATTGAACAAAAGCAGCTAGGAGCCCTTGAAAAAAGCAATGCTCCTAGATGGCCCTTTTACTTGGGATGAAGTGCATGATAAGGGGTTCAAACCCAACTACTGCACTAGCATGGACTGAGTTAATCCACATTGCCAGGTTCCACGGTCATCGCAGCAGGCATTCCACGGACTGCCAAGCCATGATGTGTACAACTTATGATCATGATTCAATCATGATGTAATGTCTGACAGTGTCATGTGCCATGTTATATGCTGGTTGGTGGTTTGGAACATGGCTTTTATTTTTCCCATCATATTGAGAATGTCATGTTCCCAACTGACGACGTCATATTTTTCAGAGGGGTAGGTCAACCACCAACCAGTCCTGAGATCGATTGGATGAATCGATCACAGAATGTCTAGCCCGGACCTTAATTAGTCGGGGGAAACCCACTAGTGCTAATAGATCATGTGCGATTATTAGGTACTAAAACTGTACCTCCTCAGCAATTAAACGACCCAGGGTGTCTTAAAAACCATTAAGAACTTCATCATCGTACCCCAGTTGTATACCATTTGTCGTGTTGGTTAAATCCATATTTATTGATGGCTCTATCCCCACTAAACCTCCAAATTCTCGGCATCACAGCGCCAAGTTTCCGCCAGGTTGTCATTGCAAACCACAATGCGACCAGCGGAGACATCGCAGCGAAGAACTTGTCAGAGCTTTCAGGGTCCAAGGCAGGCTTTGAAGCATTGAAACCAGGGGTGAAGCCAGGGGTAGATGAAGAATTGTTACATATGGGAATTCCAGGATCCTAAAATGGAGGTGCTGTATCATAGGCCATATTTTGTGGGATATTCCCTTACATAGCCCTTACATATGCCTTATATACGGTAGGTACCTCCATTTTAGGTTCCTGAGATGGCCAGTGACCGTTCCAAACGGCAACCCTGGATGATTTGAACGTTGAAGACCGGCCAGAAGCCATTTGCAGCATCAGAGAATGCATATTTCAGCTGTTTTTTTTTCTCATTTAATCATTGGGATGAGGATGAGGCATGATATATATATAATATTGGATGGATCTAAATAAATAAATAAAAAATATATATATATATATTATGTATATGTCCAAAGTTCAGACTTATTAGAATCATACATGGATGCTTAATTATATGGACGCAGAATCACATAATATAATATATATATATACATCTCACATTATATATATATGTACATATGTGATTTTGTTATATAATGTAGATGTTTGTCCAATTGATCCAATCAGGTAATTCTCCAGATGGTCGCGTTGCAGCCTTTAGGTGGAGGCGCTTCCACTGAACCTGGCATCCCTGAAATCGGTGCGTCAGACCTTTGACATCTTCACTCAGAAATATGGGCAGCTTGGCCAGTTGATGGAAACTCTGAAGACTTGTTACCCTTTGGAAGTACTGAGCCACATATCAATATAAAGCCAGCATTTTTGAATATTTTTGTTGTGTAAATCACCTACTGTCACGGGCCATTTTCTATGGCAAGCTTCCAGACTATCAGGGGGTATGGAAATTTATGAACGTGAGAAGTCCCAAGCCGTTGTCTGTTGACGGCTTCTATGGATTCCATGTTGGCTTTCAAAGGAATGTTGCGACGTAGCTAATTTTCCTGCTCGAAGCTGTGGGTGTAACTATTGGGATGTTTGACGGCAGAAGTGGAGGCTACATGAGGCTACATCACTGATATTACGAAATATGATCGCCTCCCACGGGAAGGCCCCCCCGAGTATATATATATATGTGTGTGTTTATCAACCCATCTAACTATCTATATTATATATACACATGATATACATCCATTATATCCATTATAAACGAATATAAACTGTCATCAACCACGGGAAGCCAAGCTTCACCTGCCCATTCGCAGCTTTCAGGGATCGGCCCTTGCACTTTCTGATCAACGATGCCGGCATCACGGGGCCCAGCAAATTGACGCCAGATGGCTTCGCTCCTCGTGTGGTGAAACTGGGGGCTCTGGGGATGTGTTGCTTGGTGACCTATAACCATTTGATGGTTAATATATAATGGTTAATTAAGAATGGATTGTAATGATATTCTAATATGTTGTTTTTGTTTAAAAAAATACTGGTGAATAATATGGGTATATATAGCCAACAATATAGTTAATAGATGGAGATAGATGAAAATGGATAACTGGCAAGTGTTCTAATGTTAGTAAAGCAATGCAATATACCACCCATATGGATTGATGGTTATGCCACCATAGAAATTGTGAATTTGGGGGTGGTTTACTATTGCTTTACCAACATTAACCCGGTTATATGTATATAGGATCTATCCAGCCGTGGCATATTGGGGTATCACGTTTTCAGACAAAGCGACATTTTGAATCTCAGCATGTTGAATCTACCGTCAGATGGGATGTATACCAAGATCCGCGTTTGTAAATAATCGTACACATATCTATACTTATATATGTCATATATAGGTGCTAATACCAATAAATAAAAATAGAATGAAGTAGATAGATGTGTATAAGTTATGATCCAGTTACAAGCAGGGATGGGCTGCACATCCAGTTGCTGTTTGCCGGCTGAAGCGCAAATTAAGCACCATTTCAATTTCAATCGATGTTGGCTCACAACTATGTCGACAAAACAGTGGAAGCAAACCATTCCCCAAGTAACATAGTCCCTGCGAAACAGGTAAGCTCCCATGTTTTTCCCGAATGCGTAGCAAGGGTTCCCGTTTCACTCTGGGGGTCTGGGGGTTGAGGGTGTGTTCGCTCGACGTTGCGTTCGCGAGCGCAACCGTCGCAACCGTTCGCAACCGTTCGCAACCGTCGCAACCGTTCGCGCGAACTCCGTATGGCCGTGCCTATGGGAAGTTTTGCAGAGGTGGTCTTTTTGGAGGTTTCAGACGTCTGGTTGCTTCGTTTCGCGTGGCAGGCGTGGCACTTCGTGACATTCAGACGTGTTCTGCAACGTGTCGAAAGTCGTTTCGCGTGGCAGGCGCAATACTTTTGCGACGTTTTCAGAAGATGTGTTGCAGTTTTCGTGGCAGGCGCAGCACTTTGGGCGTGTCCATCGTCATTTTTCGTGGCAGGCGCAGCACTTTAGACGTGTCCTTTTGCGTGTTTTTTGTAAATCGCATTGGCAGGGCTGCGTCAAGTGGTGACAAGGTGCAAATTCCGTGGCAGGCGTGGCATTTTCTCACATGTGTTGAAAATTGACGGAAGCCTCGCACGAAACATCGATTTTGATGTTACAAATTTTCAGGTTCTAAGGAAAACTCGTAGGAAAACGTCGATTTTGGAGCTGCAAAGTATGAAAATTGGAGGAAGTCTCGCACGAAATGGTCGTTTTGGTGCTCCCACCTGTCTCGTCTCGAGTCTCTGGTTTTCCTGTGGCCTCGCCGTGTCTATGGGGGAAGCTGCAAAACTTGTCCTTTTGTCATGTTGCCAACTGTGAAAATTGGAGGAAGTCTCGTACGAAATGCTGGTTTTTCTGCATCCACGTGTCTTGTGTCGAGTCGCTGGTTTTCCTGTGGCGTCGCCGTGTCTATGGGGGAAGCTGGAAAACCTCTCCGATTCGAATGTGTCCAAGCAGGTTGTCATGTCGTTTTGCGTGGCAGGCGTGGCACTTTGTGACATTCCAACCTGTTTGATAACGTGTCGAAAATATCAAGCTTGGAGGAAGTCTCGCACGAAATGCTCGTTTTTTTGCGCCCACGTGTCTCGTCTCGAGTCTCTGGTTTTCCTGTGGCGTCGCTGTGTCTATGGCGGAAGCTGGAAAACATGTCCTTTTCGAATGTTTCCAAGCAGGTTGTCATGTCGTTTTGCGTGGCAGGCGTGGCGCTTTCCTCACTCCACACTCCACACTTTACACTCCTCACTTTACACTCCACACTCCACACTCTACACACCACACTCTACACTTTCCACTCCAGACTCCACACTCTACACTTTACGCTCCACACTCCACACTCCACACTTTACACTCCTCACTCCACACTCCAAACTTTACACTCCACACTCCACACTTTACACTCCTCGCTCCACACTTTGCACTTTACACTCCTCACTGCACACTTTACACTTCACACTCCACACTTTCCACTCAACACTCCACACTTTACACTCCACACTCCACACTTTACACTCCACACTCCTCACTTTCCACTCCACACTCCTCACTCCACACTTTACACTCCACACTTTACACTCCACACTTTACACTCCACACTCCACACTCTACACACCACACTCTACACTTTCCACTCCACACTCCACGCTTTACACTCCACACTTTACACTCCACACTTTACACTCCACACTCCACACTTTACACTCCCCACTCCACACTTTACACTCCACACTCCACACTTTACACTCCTCACTCCACACTCCACACTTTACACTCCTCACTTTACACTCCACACTTTACACTCCACACTCCACACTTTACACTCCTCACTCCACACTCCACACTTTACACTCCTCACTCAACACTTTACACTCCACACTTTAGACTCCACACTTTCCACTCAACACTCCACACTTTACACTCCTCACTCAACACTTTACACTCCACACTTTACACTCCACACTTTCCACTCAACACTCCACACTCCACACTTTACACTCCACACTCCACACTTTACACTCCGCACTCCACACTCTACACTCCACACTTTACACTCCACACTCCACTCTACACACCACACTCTACACTTTCCACTCCTCACTCCACACTTTACACTCCTCACTTGACATTCCACACTCCTCACTCCACACTTTACACTCCTCACTTGACACTCCACACTCCACACTTTGCACTTTACACTCCTCACTCCTCACTCCACACTCTACACTCTACACTCCACACTCCACACTTTACACTCCACACTCTACACTTTACACTCCATACTCTGCACTCTACACTTTACACTCCACACTTTGCACTTTACACTCCACACTCCACACTCTACTCCAAATAAACTATTGCAGAAAGGTATTGTGTGTCACTGCATAACCATGTGTTTTGACATCTGTACCATTAACATACGTGTGAGCATTCGGGTTCGTGGGCTTCATTTTTTTTTTAAAAATATGAACAATGTAAATCAACAATCCACAGAGAGAGAACAGTATTCACATATATATATATACATATATAATAAATATATGTACAGATAAATACGTGTAAACGAACAAACTGCACGAATTAAACTAAAAAAAATATAAACATAGGTGTAGGAAATGAATAAACTGCAGGTTCTTGAAAAAAAACACAACTTGTTTCAGGTGATTCTTGGGTCCTAAGGAGATGAACTTCGAGGTCGACTTTCTGGGTCACTTCTTGTTGACCGACCTGCTGCTTCCTGCAGGGAGCCCCTGGGGGTGGAGCCGAGCCGGCGGGAGCCATTTTTTTCGCGGAAAACGGGTGAAGATTTCATGGGATTTTCATGGATTTTCTGTAGATTTCATGGGATATTATATGCCATAGATTTTATTCACGGGAGATTATTAGATGAAATTGTATAGTGGGGATCTGGGATTTAGCAAGATTTTTAGCAAGGCACCCTAGAAACCTGGCTTCGTTAAGGTGATTTGGCCGAGTTTCCCAATGGGAAATCCACCAGAAATGGAGAATCTAGGGGACATGGATTTTCTTTTTTGGAGCCCCTTGATGAGCAAACCCAACCCTAGTAATGCGGATGTACGGATTAATGTGATGGGGATGCTACGGGACTTAACATTATCTATGTAAACAACAACATGCTATTTGTAGCCAATCACAGTTTTCTTCTGGCAATAACCCCCATAGCTTTGGATATTTTTTTTTAATTTTATAGGGAAAGTATTGAATTACATAAATGCGGCATTTCCCATAGCTATGTCAATTTACTGGGGAGTACGTTGATTTGTTTTGGTGGTGATACTGGGGATAAAACTGGATTCAAGTGGGATATAATCAACCAGCAATCATAGTATGTGTAGCGGCGAAAGTTCTAGAGATCATCTGAGGTTTGGGACTGTGACCATCAACGGATGGGAGTCGTGGGATGGGATTCACCAAGTCACCCAGTCACCATTGCAGCTAGATGGGCCACGGTTGGTTACGTAACGAATCACTCCTCTTGACGGGTGACTATAAGATCTTAGTTGGTGAAAGTGGGTGAGTTCACGTATGAAATGTACCAGTGATGTTAAGGGTTACTAGGCAGTTAAACAACATGGATGATCCCAAGCCATGCGTGTAAAACCACCCTGAACATCCAACACTGATAAAAGGGCAAACTATGATAGTTATGAATTGTGTGATGAATGATATAGATAACCCCTATGAATCAGCAGAAAACATCATTAAATCCCATTAAAATCAAATTATACATACATACATACATATATATATATATATATCATTATAATTTCCCATTGAAATCCCATTAAAATCTCATAGAATCCCATTAAATCACCATTATATAATTATCACAAATTCCCCTTAAATTCACCATACATTCCCAAAGAAATCTCATGTAAAGCAGCATTTCCCCCAGGGATTTTGAGGCTTTGAGACGTGGTGCCCCTTCTCGGGTGGTGATCGTTTCCAGTGGCCTTCACGAAAACGCCTGTGAGGTGCGGAGCAGGAGGAGGAGAAGTAGGGAGAATTGTGTGATATTGTGGGATAGCTAGGAAATCCATGGAAATCCTCATTCTCCAGAATAGGAGGATAACTATGTTTTTTTTTTTTGTGGGATAACTATGGAATATTCTATCCCCATGTTTGTGTGTTTGTCGTATTAATATTAAGTGTTGTATGTTTTCATAATTAGAATAATTATTGAACTAACATGTCTATAACATTTGTTCTATCTGATTTTGTGGGTTGTTTTGTTAGAAAAAATGAAGGTTATTGGGATGGTCTTATTGTTGGATTTGCCATTACGACTCCATTACGACTGGGATGATGTAAAATGCCCAAATGCTTGGTTAACTGGATGGTTTGTTATTGGGTTTACCACATTGTAATCCCACAAGAAATAAACAAGTTGAAATATCAGTTATAAACAATCCTGCAAAATGCCGCAAACACTTTTCGATCACTGTGTCACTATGTAAAACCCTATTGATGATTACTGATGTATAGGGCGACTTGGTGACTGATTGGTGGCTTGGTGAATCCCACTTTTAGTGATTATTGATGTATAGTGGATATTATGGGGAGTTCATCGCAAAACAAATGGTTTTGAAGAAGCACTAAGCACCAATGCCATTGATTAGAAAGGACCTGAGATTTTGCGTTTGAGCAACATTCATGGGGAGTTAGGCCTCAGCAGATGATGGCTACTGACTAGTGTGAACCGGCAGCTCAATGGTAGTTGTAAGGGAACAAACCACAGGAAACCAAGCGTGTTTTTATCCAAATCAGAAGGGTTTCCTGCAGAGTTTACCTTGCAACCAAGTCTGAGACCTTGAAATTGCATGTAATAACCAGCCATGCTACTTTTCTTGTCAGTTCTTCCAACTATACACGTGCAGCATGTTTAGTTACCATTCAAAGGCTACCTTTTTTTCCCTCTGATGAAGCCAATAGATACGTAGGATTCCGGCAGCCTGTTGAAGTCTTTCATCTACATCATTCACGTATTGGAGCTGAATGGAGCTGACGCAGGCTTCTTGACCCCAAGTTGCCATAAGATCATATATTTATATATATATATATACATATCATATAATACCATATAATATCATATTACATATCCCGTAATGACATATTATGAGTATGATTGAAGATGCGTTTTTTTGTTTGACCATTGTTTGATGACAGTTTCCCATTTCCATGTGTTAATAGTGATAACATATCTGAGATCTGGGGAAACATGCGCCTGTGGCACCGAGGATAACATCCAACCTTAGGAGGATCAGCCGCATTATATTTGCCATGGCTGTAAACTTGGATTATCTAAAATTATATATATAATATATGATATATCATATACATATATATATATATAATTATATATATAATACGGTTACTGTATAATAAATATTGCTATACCTGTATGTGGGGTGACAATCAATCCATTTTCATAGGGGTTGATGATTTGTGTATGTACCCATCATGCGGATCCCCAGTTCCCATGATCGATGGGATCGATGGAAAATCCATTGCCACGTGGATGACAGTGGAGAGTAGCTGAGGGACAGCGGGAAGGCGACCAAGCAGCATATTGTGCTTTAACATCATGGATCCATAAACAAAATCAACACATCCAATGAAGTCCTCATGTTTTCTTTGTCAATTCCTTCACCCCGCTTACCGCTTCGCAGGCCGTGGGGTGGCCGGCGGATTGCTTCAAGAATTGGAGATATCTTCCACCACCTGTGGTGCCACAAAAGGCCTCCCATCGCATCCGGTGGCAGTGGCTGGAAAGACACTACCGGCCCTGGTTGCTGAAGCGCCGGGATATTCCTGGTTGATAGTTTAAAATTTGGAACAGACTTTAGGCTCAATCATACGTGGAAGAATGGTCGATCTGCTTTTGCGTTCTTAGGGACGGGATGGGCAATATTTTTGGGGGATGTTTGTACTTCTTCAAAGTTCTTTCATTTGTCCCTTTACAGGGAGGGAAGAACAAAGGTACAAAGACCATATCTCTGCTTGACCGTGACGCATGTGCGGTTGTCTAAAAATTCCAAATCCACTGGTCACTGTGTTTCACCTCGGAAACTCGCCACAGGAAGTCACAGTGCACACCCACTCGGGTTTGGAGAAGCGGCCGCTTGACTTTTTGACCCAGCCAGAACGGAGGTTGAAAAGGGGGAACCATCGAACCAAGATGACCACCCCAAATTTACCCTCCGGTAAAGCAACATGGAATTTCATGGTGTTCCCTAGGAAATGATCTATAAATATGGATTTTCCATGATATTCAATATTGATCCTAGTTTACTCTGGAGGGTAATTGATATAGCCAACCCAAGGGCAATGAGTTGCATTTGTATCACATATACCGAGCCAGCTGAGCCAGCTGAGCCAGCCGAGCCAGCCCCATTACTCGCTCAACAAATTGGCATCAACGAAGCCTCCTCAAGGAGAGGCAGATGGTTTCAGCGTGTGACTTCTTTTACAATGAAGTTGCTAGATGTACACTATAGACCCGTTTGCTAGTTTGATGGAGGTTTATCATGGTTTATCCAATAGTAATCCGTTTTGGAGATTTCTGTTTTGTCACGATGCACAGCGCTTAACGGTCCCGTCTTCCCCTCATGGGCAGCTTAGGAATTCCTCCACCTACGGCATCGCCAAGTTCTTGAACGCGCAGCATGCCGCGGTGCTGGCGATCCGTGAGGCCAAGAACGGTGGCCTGACATGAAACCGACTGGACCGTGTGGTCGTGGTAAAACTGAGGACGGTACTAAGGATGTGCTAAGGATGTGCTAGGGATGTTTGATTTTACCATAATTACTTAGACTATACTGGATGGATATTGATGATAGAGAAACATCGGGTCTAACCAGCTTAAAATTCTAAGATTGGTCATGTGGTGTAGTAATTTTGGTGTCAACAACGTGTACGTTTGCATGCAGTCAGATGTATGCACAACGTTGGTCATTGCTTGTTTGGCTTATTGAATTCCGTGCTTGTATCATGATGAAACCTCCTTTAGCCGCACCTTTAAAAGAGTTGACAGTCCTTTGTGTTTGTGGTTGCATTTTCTTCAAACACATGTAGATGGTATAATCCGCATCAAGCTTAAATCCATAGATGTTTTTGTTTTGGCATTAATTATTACTGCTACACCTGTATATATATAATTAATTATAGTACAGTATATATAGTATGCGTATATGAATGCTATTCTCGTTGGCTCTGACCTCCATGCTCCACCGCTAGGCATTGAGAGCTGTTCGTTGACTCCTGGCTTTGCCCTGACTGGAATGACTCGACGCTTCGTGAACACATCAGGTCCCTGGAGACGCCGCTTGATGGGACATGTTGAGGCTTACACATTATATATATATATCTACATTATATATATATATACACTTTAAACACATTGTATTTATGTATGGTATGTATGTATATATAAATATGGTATAATTACCGTATATCTAATATATATATATATATATCTATTTACATTTATAATCAAATTAAAGATATATTTGGTATAATTGTTGTATGTCTAATATCTATTATATATATAATATGGGTAAATTAGAACGACCTCACTGCGGCCTCACTGGATTAAAGGTTAGTAAGGGGAATCGTCCCCAAGATAGCCTTATTTCAGGTTAGTGAATTATATTTTAAGTTACTGAGATTATATATATATATGGTTATGTGCTATCCTTCTTATTTAGAGCAATTAGATGCAGTTGGTGTTGTGTTGTTTTGTCATTGTTTTCGAATCATATGTATTTTGATGTTTATTGTTTGATTTTCCCTGTCATGCTATTTGTATATATATATATATATACATGATATTCATTTATTTATTTATTTAAGATGCTAATACTGGAATGTTTGATGGATTGGTTGAGGTTCGTGATGCTTCAGTGGTCATGGCTCAGCCAATAAGCCATCCGATTGACTAATATTGGGAGTTATACCAACTGGTTGATTGGGATTTCTGAAAACCCACAATGAACAGAAATGGTTTGGTAGTTCGATGTTTTTTTCCTTCCCATGTTGATGGAAGTTTTTTTTTTGGAAGTATGATGCAGTAATTATACTAGAATCAACCTTTGGTGGAGGGAATCCAAGGTGGCTCATGTTCTCAGCATTCAGCTTGGATTCGCAGGTGTGGAGGCTCAATGTAAGGCGCAAAGACATCCAGATCCAAGCATCCCAACGAACCCTTGCAGCTTGGCTGTCTTCAAGTGTCAGGTGACTTGCCGTTTTAGCTACAAGCATTGCCCGTCGGGGTACCAGGGTAAATGAGATGATACTTGATTTTGTTGATTGGAGGTTTAAGAGTCTACGCTTCGAGATCCAAACTTGTGATGCATACATAGCTGCATATCCTCCTTAATATAGTTTTACTCAATACGCATTGTGTTTCACAAGCTAGACATCCACAGGAATTCATTCGTATCCGGTTATATATAATCCATCAGTATATCCATGAACATATTTCCATTTATATGTTTATATATATATATCCATTAGTAACTAGTATATATCCATACATGGAGATTGCAATTCATGATCTATATATTCAATGGCATTTTCAGGATCCTAAATTGGAGGTACCTACCATATATAAGGCCTATGTAAGGCCTATGTAAGGCCTATGTAAGGGAACATCCCCATAAAATATGGCCTTATATGGTACAGTACCTGTTCGGCTGTTGAGGCCCCTTCAGCGCGGATGAAGGTGCAGCTGTACTGGCCTATTGCGCAACCGGATCCATTAGGACCGGGGAAAGATGGGTTCCACCCAACAGACGCAGAAACTGCGGGTAGAAAATTGGGCCCCAAATCCCCTGGCTGATCTCAAGGTTCACTGATCATTTTCCCATGTTCAGTGGATATTTTGAGGCAATCCTCTATTTTCAGAGACAACCACATGAAAATTGCTTAAAAAGAACATCAAACACTGTCAAACACGCGTGTCTTTTCCCCAAAAAGATGGCAAAGAATCCAATCGAAGTGCTTGGCCCAACCGCCATAGAATTGGTTGAAGGGAGACTTCACAGGAACCCCCTTTTTTTGCCAGGATAACAACCATGGTTTCCTGCAATCTTTCCATACTTGTCCATCAAAACAACCGACTACTTGTACCCAGGTGACTGATGGATACACATACCTGGTCCTGGGGGTATTGTTTGATAGGATGCATTCGTCAGACTTATTTGCAGTGATGGAGATCATGACAATTAACGTCGATTGTATGTGTGTTTTTTTTTGCGGGCCCATAGATGTCCATTAATTTTGATGGTGGTTTCAACATTGCTTCAACCATGTTCTGCGTGGCCTGTCGCGGTTGCAGGAGTGGTGCTTACTACTCCAGGACCTATGCGTGTCAGGCTGGGAGACATCCGTGACATGAAAGAGAAAACGCTGAAAAGTAGGGAAACACATCTGGAAACTCATCTGCACATGGATGCGTTTCATGGAGTGAATTCCATTGCTAGTGTGAGACGTCCAAGAAAAAACATTTTTTCAAGGCTGCAGGACTCCGCAGGGTAACTTATCTTGGGTCATTGGATGAAATCATTGGGATTGTCACAGCCCGTGGATGCCAGCGGTGGTTTCTGTTTCGAGTTACATGCCTACAAAGAATGGCTGCGTTTACCAGTGTATATATATATATGTATATATATATCCCCTTACATGGCCTTATATATGGTAGATATGGTATAGGTACACCGCCATATGTATAGGCCAAGGTTGAATGCACAGCTGATCACAGGAGCAGCCCATTGTCATGCAGGGCTTCACAAGAGCCATGCAGTTGGAGCTTTATGAGCTGCTTGGCGTCGGGCCGGGGTCGGGGTCGCTGGAGTAGCTATGGATACCTATGGTCCCTGGGTTGGCTTAATGGGACACAGGGGCAATGACTGTGGATTGGTGGATGATATTGGGTATATGGTATATAGGTCACTTTTTTTTTGGGAACCTTCGAAGTAAATCCAAGTGTTGGTGCCTATGAGTTGGAGGGTAGATCCTGCCAGGGCCAACACCCACCAGAACCGATGGGTGATCACCGAATTTTTTTGCGCTGTTCGCTGGTGTAAATGATCTGTACCATTTGATAATCTACACAGACTTTCCAAAATCTGTGGCTTTGAGTCTTTCAATTCTTGCCTCTTGCCAGTTTTAGTTTCAGCCTTTCACTTGCTCATATGAATGTACATGCCTACAGCTTTGTATGTATATATATATAGATAGATAGATATATATATATACTGTATATGAATGCATGTTTGTGAGCATTATTATTGTTTTTCAATATTTACTATTTCTATTTGGAAAAATCACGGTAGCAATATGTATCGAAGAAGTCACCTTCACCTCGCCTTCAGCTTGCCCGCTGATCCCCCCGCAACGGCGAGAGAGTTAACAGAACGGCCCCTCACGGGGGAGTGATCCTCTAAAGTTGCGACCATAATCATCCGAAATCACAAACGTTAACCCATATACAAATCAATGAAAAACAGGATTAAAGTGGTAATTTTGCAAGTGACCCCCAACCTCGCAGCTCAGTTCCAGGAAAGCCTTGGGCTGGGTGAAACAAGCCAAGCACGTCGACGACCTCGTGGTCTGACGCCTGACGCCGTTGTGGAAAAAAACAAGCGAAGTGAAAAGCGTGGCGTCAATAAAGGGGGGACGAGATGGAAGGTGGGACGATGTTGATCTAGACATTGGATATTTGATGATATATGTAGAATTATGTAGATTTGTCTTTGTTTGACATGGGATTTGAGATGGGTGGATCGATATAGCTACATGTTTGCGACAATATGGTCAAGACTATCAGTTAATTCCACCAAATCATACTGGAGATCGCACGCATACAAACACACATACACACACACACATATATATATACTTATACATATACATCTTGTTTTTTGTGCTTATAAATCACCGATACAGCATTTGTATTTGCAGGCATGCCTATCCTAGGAATCCGAAGTGTTTACTCTTTGGTACTTTCTGGCAACAGAAACTCCTCGATTCCTTGCTGGAACCGCTGCCTGAGCTAAGGTCGTTCATGGCTTTGGTCAGGGTGAAGGCATGATCACCCAACTGAAGCTGAAGCGTTTTATGATATGGTTGATGCATGTTGATGCTTTGGGTTGGTGTGTTTTTTTATTGTTATTTTATGTTTGGTTTGTGTTCAAGAACAAGTAGGTTTGGTAATGTTTGAGGTATGGCTCTACAAAGGTGGAAGCCACACAAGGTTCATTGTTTGGAAGGGGCCAACCAATCTCGTCCCAGAATTTACCCTAGCATATATATATATATATCTATCTATCTATATCTATATATATATGTATACATATGCGTTGATAATGGCAGGCCATCCATAAATTTTATTTTCCCTCTATATATATATTTTTAAATATATGAGTATCTTTATTTCACAAATATACTTATATATATATATACACAATACATGACAATATCCCACAATAATAATAGTAATACTATGATATCCCATATAGTATAATACTTTTACTATACTTTCCATACTTCTCTCATAATATCAGACGATTCTTCCATATATTCCATATATTCGATATATATATATATAGAAAGAGATATTCCTTTTTCCATATATTCCACATATTCCATATATTCCACATATACACACGTATACATATATATATATATATACTTATTTATGCCATAGATATTTCATAGGTATTCCATCTCATGTCGTCCCCTTGCAGGCCCAGGCCCGCCGCCCGAAGACCTCGAGCTGCCAAGCCAGGTGAGTTGAGAGAGCTTTGGGGACGGTCACCCAGGATTTTTCATAAAAGGTTTAGACTTGGCTAGGGATGTTCTGGGAAAAATACATTTGGATTAATAGTAAATATGTATTTATACATATATATATATATATATGGAATAATCATAATCTCTAAATGGTAATGTATATATATATAGGGATATTAAATATATATATATATATATATGGAAGAATCGTCTTAATAAATGGACAACATTTTTGGATGATATGCATTTTTAAGCGCGCCCCAGTTTGCTAGCAAAGTTGGTTTATAAGTTACCGATTGGCGTTCTGGTAGATCTATCGTCAATGGGGCTTACATACCAACCCTCAACTAAGGGGTACCACCTTGTGTGGCCATGATAGTTCCTTATGAGTGGAGGTAGTGCCATCCCCTCACTATGGAAATATCATCCAAGCTTGTTGACCAGGGCACATATGAGTATGGATCTAATATTGACATATACTGACATCCTATGATTATGAAATATCCTAGGAACTAACCATGCACTTTTTCTTTATAGTGGGGTTTATACACCAAAATCATCACTGGGGGGCCAAATTGTAGTTCTATCCCCATCGGATGCATTTTGGTTATGGCCGACAGCTCCCCTCGCTCCCCTCGCCAGAGGTCTGGTTCCTCTGGCCCCTTTTCCTGGCTCGGCCCACTGCAGAGCCGGAGCATGCAGCGTTGCTGCGGCACAACAAGGTGCCCCACGGTGCCATGGGGCAACGGGGCAACGGGGCAACAGCAGCCACTTTCCAGCGGAAACAGCGCTTGAAATGGGAATCCGGTAGTTTTTTCTCATATTTTTTGTTATATAGTAAGTTGAGATACACTTTGAGATGTGCATTTGTAGGTGATTGACCATATAGAAGCTCAGGAATCGAACCCCAATTAGCTGCTTGTTTTGTTTGTTGATTCTCTTTTGGTAAAACACACTATTAAATCTCTTCAACTGTTTGTAACAATACTCTACAGTTTCCAACGTTCCTAAATATCACGTGTATATGTACTGAATATATATATATATAAATGTGTGTGTGATTGGATTTTTTCAGGGTTGCTGATGAATGCATAGCACAGGCCACAGCGATAGTTTCAAGGTGCCTGGAGGTAAAATATACATTTACATTCATGCAAGTTGATTGTGGTGTATTTCATCTTATCTCTACATTACATATGACATTATATGTCTCTCACACTCGTACACACACATATATATATATCATATGTCATTAATTAAAAGAAATGATGTTGTCGTATATTCACATGTCGTATATTCACATATGAATGTCCATGATTTTCGCCATCGGCTGCGCTCCATCGCCCTTGCGCAGGCCGAACAGGTCTATGAAGTGCTCGCGCCACGAGCACCTCGTATCCTGCGATGGGGGACACCCACAATTCCATGGTTTTCACATCAAAAAATGATGGGATGTACCCTCCGGGAATCAAATATGGCTAGCTGGGATTTTCCCTAGAGATGGAGGTTTCTAGCTAGAACAATCATCCAATTATAATTGGGCGATTTTCCATTGCCATGGTTAATTGCCAGAGGGTATGGATATCACAGTACATGATCACCCCATTTTATTCTGTGCAAAAAATCATAGGTTTTGACCGACCCATCACCAGGATTTTGAAGCTATCATATTTGGTCGTGGGCTTATTTGGAGATTGCAGAGTGGAACAGTTTATTTATTACCAACATGTGACCAACATGTGCAGTTCCCTGGGTCTTAAATAAACACAACATATAAACATCCCTCAACATGTCTGAACATATGATGGGGATATATCACTGTTGGTTTCAAAGTGCGTCGATTTTGCTGTTTATTTATCTGATAATCAAACAAATGTTTGGGCTTGAACCGTTGAAACGGTGGAAACCTAGGATCGTCATAGGTGTATGCCATGGTGAAAAGATTGGCTATATACCTATACCCTACAAATATATATATATATATATACATATTCATATATATATATATATTTATTTATTTATTGGGGTATGGTTATCAATCCATTTAGTTTGGGATTCATATATGCATTAAAAAAACAATCCCAGCAGCAACGGGGTAACCATACCAAAGATGCTACGCTTTGACCATGGCACATATGTGGTTTGGATGATTTGATATGAAATTCAAAATTGACCCTCGAGAAATGGATCATGGCAATCATGTGGGTTGGATTTATGGGGTGACATTTGAAAAAAAACAACTGTGTAGAGAGATCGGTTTTCATCCAAACCCTGATTGGCCCTTTTTTTCTGCAGTGTTGATGCCGTAGCGTTTCGGCTGTCAGCTGGGAAGTGTAACCATCTTGGTATCATTTCACCCCAAAAAATGGAAGGAGTCTTTCGATGCTAGTTCGCACTTACACTTGGTCCGTTTGCTATGTGATTTCAGCGCATCAAGAGCACATTCCAAGTTCCATGAAGCGCCAAACCACTAGCCAAGATAGCCAAGACACTGGCTTGCTGAAGCAAAAGGTTACAGTCAAATGTTTGCATCGGACATATTTCACTGCATCCTAACATCTAATGAAAATCATTCACAAAACATAGAACACATCATTTTCAACATTGCAAAAGAAGACGTCTCGCGGTCGCCTTCGACAGCTCCACTCAGGGAGCCGAGTCCGATGTCGGTACTGGTGATTGGCGCCGCCGGTGCGGTTGGGAAACGCCTCATTGGCGCCTTAGCCTCCAGAGGCAGGGCATGGCCGGGAGTGTGGAGGGATGAGGATGATCTAAGGTGTCTCAAAAGGGTTGGTAAACCAAGAAAAAAACACATATTTGTTTTTGCCATCAACATGCGGTGTTGAAAAAACATCAAACATTTGTGTAATTGTTGTTTCATTCAAGAAGCTTCTAACGATTTCATGGGAAGATACATTTTAAATCAAGAAGTTTGAACTTTGAACCGCTAAAACATGTGTTTTAAACTTCGAAAGAATGATATTGTTGAAAACAAATTGGTGGAACTTGTGCAGTATATCATATCTATTTGTCGCAATTGGAAAGTGTTCCCTTTCAACTTCACTCAATCACCAATCAAGAGCATGAAACCGCCACATTGATCATCAGAAAGAAGACTCCTACGAAACCAACCAACACCTCACCAAATGTACCTTTTGCATCAGTCTTGCCTGACCTTGTATATCTCAAGAGGGCAATATCAGTTTGCTTAAAACTCCACAATAATGCAATAGCTATTGCATTTCTTGAGACTTAGTCAATCTCTCCAGTTGAATAGATGAAATTTAACTAACAACAATAATAAACACAACTGGAGGGTCCACACCGGTCAGAAGACCCCAGGGCCCCAGATGTATATACATGCGGTCGGCCAAAGAAAGATCAGGCCGAGTTCCCTGCGCAGTTCATATTTTACGGATGACCCATGAACAACGGTGGACACGCCGTGAAATATCGCCACGTTGGCATCATTCACACCTGTTTGAATCCCATGGATTGCCCAACAGGTATAGCCTCCGGTGTCATCAAACATGGCTGGGATAACCTGGAACTAAATGGGTATATAAATGGGAACATAAATTCATTGCCGTGTTTGATTATTACCAGAGGGTTCCCAAAAAATAAATAGAACACAGGGTGATCAGTACTTTTTCCGGGTTGGAATTGCCAAACTCTATCTTTGTTTTGTCGTACAAAATAGTTCTGTGACGTTATGTTCACCAAGACTGTGCCAAGTCCTCTGGTTCATCCCAATGTGAAAAGATCATATCACCAACATCCCCATTATGCCCTACATGATATTCCAGTAAATCCACGTTAATCCCCATGAATCCCAGTGATTCTGAGCACATCACCATATTCCGCCAAGCGTATTTGGGAGGAGGATCTTAACTGACAAATATCTTCAAAGTGATCCGTACTTCAGGCTACACAAAAGGTGGCAAGATTGCCATACCTTTCCCTGCCAATCGCATTTTTTGAGTTGCATTTGTTTTCGATTCAATCAGCTGACTCCAACGTAAGTGTCGTTTCTTTGACGCCTGCAGTCTCTGTGACTGTGTGCTGCGAGTGCCGAACCGCCCGCCTTGTGTAAACAACTGACAAATATGTTTCTGTTTTTTTCTTTTTATAGGGTGGTTGAAACCACCAATTAGATTTATACTGTTGGTTACACAGCCGCATATTCTATCCACATTTACTTCGATGACTTTCCCATGAAATTTCCATACTATCCCATATTTCACCAATAGTGATGGTATGTGATGGAATATTGGTACAGCTAGCTGCTAGTTGGATATTAGCACCTGAAGAAAGGAATTTGTTGATACACCTTGGGTCATATATTTATAGTTGGTATATATTCCAGACGTTTTCCCTTATAGACATGATGTTCCCGGATCCATTTTCCCCAACATATCTCCATATATAGTCGTAATATATAGCCGGTATAGCTGGTACAATATATTCTTTATATATATATATTATATAATATATGTTTACATATGTATTTGTATATATGTATACATGAATATATTTATATTATATGTATACATGTGTATATGTATACATGTGTATATGTATACATGTATATAGGTATATAGCCATTCATATAAATAAGTTCCCACATTTTCCCACAGATCTTCCCCTTTTTGAATCTCCCCGCTTCGGCTTCCCCGGTGCCCAGGTGAACGCATCGTCGCGGTGGACAAGGCCCCGCAGCTCCCAGAGAGCATCAAGCACTTGGTTCAGCACGCATCTGGGTGGAATCGCAGCGGAAACTGGAAAAATGTGCTGAACATGTGGTTGAAGCAATGCGATGTTAATTACCATCCTAGCGATGGGTAGTTAATGATGGGTTAATAAATGATGGTTAACGATGGTTACTGATAGTTAATGATGGTTAATGTGGTAAAAACATTGCAATTTTTTACCACCCAAGACTGGGAATGGTAAACATAGCACCTACAAAAATGGTGATGACTGGGGGATGGTTTATGACATTGTTTTATCCACATTAAATAAATATATTTTGGCACATGATGTGGATATGAAAGTGGCATGAAAGTGGTTGGCCAATATATGTTGGCATGTTATAATATATATATATATATGCGTAGTACATGAAATGGTTTAACATGATGGAACGTGGTGGATAAATGTGAAGAAATGGGAAATATCAGGGCCTTTTGCCATGGAACATCTTTGCCCAATAACCGTGGTGAATCACATGTCCGAGGTTCATTATGCTGAATGGGCTTCAACGCCGGGTGTAGGTTTGGTAGGGTCAACAGCTGCAAAAAGATCAATGATGCTGTTTTGTAATAATGTTATAGTTATATATATATATATAATAGTAAAACTTGCTACCTGGGATACGCTCGGAAATTATGAGACTCCAGACTCCAGCCCTCTGCCGAGGCAGAGACAAACAAGGATGTGCGCGATTTCTACACGATGCAACGGATTTTTCAGCGTCACCGTGACTTGTCGCATCAGAATAACTGGCAGCCTAGGCACAATCAATGTACTGCAGATTGTTGTTCATACTGTGTTTCTGCTTGGTGGTCTGGAACAAAAGAATACATAATTTTACATAACATTTCATATACCCGTGTCCTGCCCCTCCATTATGCTGAAGCAGACTTCGTTTGAAGGCGCTGGAGACAGATGTGTCTGTGTGCGTGTTTAGTGTTCAACCCCGTGCGGGATGATGATCGCAATCTACTCCAACCTAAATCTAACACACGCACACATTTATATATATACTATAACATAACCACACACAATTTTATCTACTGTAAGTCTATTCTACTTTTTTTTCGTCGTGTTTTTATGCTTCGCTGATGAAATCAACCTAGGCTTCGTGCACACGGTTTGGAACCTGGCCGCGCCGCTGTCGGTGGAGACGGCGAAGAACCCCAAAATCGCGGAGCAGGTGACCATCAACGGCATGCGCAATGTGCCTCCGGAGCTGTGACCATTTTTTTCTTGGGATCTTGTTTCGATTCAAAATGGGGATGTCTAAATTATAAGACCCATAGGATCCATGTATGATCATGTATGCTATATATGGTAACATTTACCATCAATATACCCCAAATGTTAGCATATATACCATACATGGATCCTATGGGAGAGATTACAAGTATCATAAACGGATCGGATGGGAGAATGGTCCTTTTTTCTTTTAATGTTTGAATCAAGCACTCTGCATGACAAAGGTTTCTCACTTTTTAAGCTGGATATTTGGTGAAATCGTTGGCGCTCACCTCGCTGTGTGATATATCGAGGTGCTTTGGGCCATGTATGAGGCGCGAGTCAAAAAGTGCCTTGGACGCCTTGGCCCATTTGCTTCATCTTTTCCAGTCTAATCTATGCTTGGTGAAAGAGATCTCCTGGTGCAGTGATAGTGTTCTTCCAGGTTTGTTTTTTTCCTCGCCAGTACTGGGCCAGTACCTTGCAGACTCACCAAGCAAGAAACCTTAAATCCGTTCATATCCCAGAATCGAAGGGAACGTCGCAGGGTTTGCCCAAACAATCCCATCCCGCTTTTACTAAATACCCACCCTCAGATTGGACCTCAAAACAAATCGCAAATACGGTCTTTTAATTTCCATATTAATAAAACACTATCAAATATCATCAATATCCCATTGAATCCCAGTGAAATCCCATTAAATATCATTAAATATCATGAAAACTCCAATGGAAATATCATTATATACATATAATTAATTGTCATTAAATATCATTGAATATCATTAAATATCATTAAATCATTGAATTCAATATCATTAATCTCCCTAAAATCCACCGTTTCCTACCCATTTTTTGTTCACCAAAAGAGGATCCTCTTCACCGACTCCATCGGCTCCTTCGGCGCTACCGCACCTCGCGAAGAGTGTACCGCACGGTGGCTGACGGAACACCCACTGCAGGTCCGGTGCTCGGGTTACGAAGAGATGCACTCCACTACGGGTTGAAAAACAGCGATGAGTTTTATGAATGCATGCAAGAATGTGATAATGTGGGGGATGATGCTGTGGTTATAGAAACAACATGATGATTACAGTAACATACTAATTGAGATAGGTTGATGAAGCCAGAGTCTTGGTGCAGCTTCCGTGGTCTTCAGTTTCGAGCCAACTTTTTGGAGCTGGGGCCCTGTGTTTCCATAAACAGATCCATTGGATGAAGGGCCCCATGCTGATTTTCAATTCCCATATGTTCCATGCATGGAAGATTGATCTACCATTGGGATCCATTGGGTTCACTTAAGGGATAAATGTCGGAACATTTTCCATGGAGCATGGGGATTAGTCAGACTGCAATGCTTGGAACGGGGAGGACCCTGGTTCTGACTATGGTCGTCAGAAGCGTGGCGTGCGACGGCTGCTGAAGGAAACCCGCAGCCCGGTTTGGGTGATTGGAAGGGTACGGTTGGGTATTTGAGATAGCAAAAAAATGCAAAAAAGTAGGGATGTGCATGTCATAAATGATCATACATGTATACAAGTCTCTTGGATAGAGGCAATTGTCTCAACGATAGGTTTTAATATATAATTGTATACATATATAATTTTTATATTTTTCCGCAGCAGATGAGTCGGGACTCGTGCTGTGACTTGCAAAGGATATGTATATATATATATACCTGGAGCTTGTGAGGGATCTAGAATTGCATCCCTTTTTGAAGAACCAGGTTTTGGTTTTCAATCACATCCTTTTGGAAGCAGAGGCGTGTTTTTCAACAGGGGCTTTTTTTCATATAGCCTTGATAGGAGATCTTCAGAAGCCTTCATTGTAGGGATTCAAGTGAATCACATGTGGTTTGATAATAGGAATTCCAACTGTTAGATGGCCCTAAAGAGGCAGCTGGTAATGAATTTCAAGGCGCTACATGTTGCAACCATGGTTTATCATATTTTACTTCTTCCCGTTGATCTTCTCTTGGTGGCCTCTCACTCTTTATAAAAGCCCAGCGGGGGCCCACAACTAATCACTACTAATCATTTAGTAAGTCATCCATAAAATGCTTGGCTTTATATAAAGGGTGAAAGGCAACCATAGAATCCAACCACCGGTCATTCCCTTCGCTGCATTCTCTGCGGCGAGCGGATTGTCAACCCCCCCACGGCCGAGCTCTACGACCCACTTTGGGTCCGGGCCTCGGCACGGAGGATGGATGGCAGCTGGTGGTGACCACTTCCGGGGAACGATTAATTATCCAATATTATACAATGGTGATTTTTCTTTATGATTCCCATACCATTTACCCATGGACACGGTGTGTGCAGGATCGGAAAAAACATGTGCTGTATTTTTGCAGCCGTTGGCTAGGAGTTGTCCTGTTTGCTTGGTGTGATCTTTAATTCCCTTACCATGGGGAAAAAATTGATCTTAGCGGTTGCGCGTCAGAGTGGGATGATGTAAAAGATCTTCGGGCCAATCTTCGCCAGAGAGGAAGCATCTTTTCCCCTTTGCCGGGCCAACTTGCAGTGGAACCATCGGTGGATGCAGCTGCCCTGAACGTTTCAGCTCTCCTTCCAGTTGTGAGACGGCTTCGTGACGAAAACACGGACAGTGTTGGCATGGTCAGCATTGGCAATGTTGAAGCACAGTTGCTTGCCTCTCTTTGCTCAGTTTAGTCTGTTTCACACACATCATGCCAAACAAGAGTCGGCTTCTTGTGGAACATCTCCAGCATCAGAGTTCCTAAGGCTAGATCTAGCTGAAAGATCCCATCCCCAAATGTACAGGAGGAAGCCATGCAGTGACACTGTAGGCAAATCAAATGAAGCCCCCCTATGGATGACATCCCATCCATCTTCCTTTCTTGACAGGCTTAGAGAGCTTCTGGAAATTGCTGCCCTACCTGTGCAATCCAAGCAGGTGAAGTTGGAAGCATGGTTTGTGAAAGGGTGCTGCGTGCTGATCAAGAAGAAGCTTTCCAGAGGTCAGTGGCCGAAAGCCAGGAACTTTCGTTTGCTGATGGCGGCAGCTTTGGGGAGCGATGATACACATGATGATGATCCAGAACCTGAAGGAGAACCAGAGGCCTGTGAGAGAACATTTTGGTGAACAAAAACAACATCAGATTTCTTGTGTTCTCAAAAGGATCACTTGGCTGCAGTGCTTCAACAACAAAATATGTGCAACCTTTTGTTTGAAGATGGAATGCCAAACATCGGATTTTACCCATGTTTGTTGGGCTGCACAATCCATTTTGTTTCGCATCGAAGTGCCTTTTTGAGCGGCCTCGGCAGGACCCTGCTCACGAATCATCTGAGTGTGTCCTAGCGGATGAGGTCGAGATCAGTGATGAGGAAGCCTCTGTGGAGGACCCCAACAATGATGGTGTAGAGGCTGGTGGTGATTCAGAGGAGGAAAGTGATCCCATTGAACCTGTGATGGAGAGTCAGCTTGACAGCTCTCCTCCCAATGATTCCCTGATCGTGAAGGAGATTTCCGGGGAGGATCTGGGGGGAGTGTGTGAAGAGGATGAGCCGGAGCCTCTTGCGGATGGAGATGCCCTTGGATCCCCTTCAGTGCCCAAGATCGAAGTTGGCAGATTGAACAGGGGCAAGTCACATGTGTTTCATTTGGAGCTTCCTGCCCATGAAGGTTCCAAGAACCCGCAAGTGGAGGCAGTGGAGAAGTACGAGGAAACCGATGAGCATGTCATCGCTGATGACAAAAAACGTCCTTTGTTCAGCCCCTCTGATGATGTGAAGGTTTCCCAAATGGAGGCACATCTGAAACGCCTACGTGAGAAGTAATCAGCTGTGAAAGGCAGGCGCATGGCCAATGAGGCTTTGGCTGCTGGAGCAGCTGCAGAGGCTGCGAAGGGTCAGGTGATCCCCGTGGAGGACTCACTACCATATGGGAGGGATACCATGGAGACCATGGAGATGGATGGTGATGCTGAGAATCTCATGGAGAAGTTCAATTCTGTCGCCGCTGCCTTGGAAGTTGAGAGTGGGGACACTGCGGACTCCGATCCTCCTGTCCCATGGCACATGGGGATGAACCGGTTATACTTTCCCAAGAAAACATCAAACCCATCAAACCCACCACCTCAAAGGGGTAATTTTAGCGTACACCTTCCAAACTGATCTGCATTTCTTGGCCCTTGTTTAGGTCACCCGTCGGCAGCAGCTTGCCATCAAGAAGGCGATCGCTGAAAAGCTTGAGGAGGGCAACACTCCAGGAGGCCGTGGCCGTGGGCGAGGAAAGGGACGAGGAAAGGGACAAGGAAAGGGAAGAGGAAGAAAAGTGGCCAGAGTGACAGCTTACAACACCAATGGTCCTCTTCCCAATGCAGGTGATGACCATGATGCTCTTCCCAATGAAGGTGATGGGGAGGGCCCAGCTCATGAGAATGACACCGTGGATGGCAACAAAGAGGCTGAAAAACAGGAGATTGAGATTGCAGAGAAACCCACCAAGAAGAGGAAAGCCAAGGGTGCTGTGGTGGAGCCATCTGGTGGCTCGAAGCCTGAGAAGAAGCTTGAGAAAAAACCTGAGAAGAAGCCAGAGGAGAACAATTGTGGGAAGAAGCCTGCCCATGGGAAGAAACGCAAAGCAGAGGCCGAGGTCACGGCCGAGGTTGGGAAGAAATCTGAGGACAAGAAGGATGTCCGTGGCAAAGGTGCTGTGCCCAAGACATTTGCCCGACGCAACCGACCGTCCACAGAGGGAGGGGCCCTGAAGTGGGATGCCTTGCACCAAGTGTTCTTCGAGCGCATCAAGCCGGCTGTGGTGGCACATTCGGCTCGCCAGGATTGGGTGGGTTTGGTTGCTTTCTTGGGGTTGGGTTTGGTTTGTCAACTTATTTGACTGGGGTTGGGATGAACTTTATTTTTGATTTCCTGGAAGTTGTGGGCAGGGCATGGCTCCTTTGTTCAAATCCATTTTCAATATAAGACTTTTTCAATCGAAAAAAACAATATCGGGGACACCTGCCTTATCCCCATGGTCTACTGCCATGGCTCCGCTACCAGGACAAGTTTTGGACCCATTGCGCAGAAGAATGGGCGGATTCCGACATCACTGCCGAGAACATTTTGGAGAAGACGCACGCAGCAGCCACCACTTACTTAGCTAAGCTTGAGGCCATGGATGACTAGGTTTTAGGTTTCCAAAGAAATCTTCAAAGGGTTTGGATCATTGGCCAATGCCCACACCCAAGCACAGCCAATGTTCTCCATTGACATTCCCCACATCACTCTAGAGTAAATTGTTTTTTCCCACACTGTCATTCCATTACTTCTACGGATTGTGTTTTTGAAGGGTGTGGGGCGCCGGATCCTTCCTCACTCATCAGGGTGACCAGGGGCTTGCCATCTGTCAGTGAAATCACTGACCGTTGGGAAATATCTTAGAGATATTTTAGGTGACGGTTCTCTTAGGTGCCTGTGGTGGGTTAAAGGGGTGTATGGAAGCTTTGTCCATCTATTTAATATATTTCATCATGAGCAACAAGTGCTCAACAAATATTACTTTGAACCCCCAAGAAATGTTTGAGATCCAAGTACCCATATTAGGTAAAACACCAAATATGCTTTAAATCACTTTGAAGGGCTTCAGACTATAGGGTAATGAGTCATGATGCTTCCAGAAACCCTCCCCCATCATGATCCGAAATCTGAGTCTAATCCGACGCTGCTGAAAATAAATCACCTATGTTTTGGGGATGCTTTATATTCACCATTTTTTGGGGTAGGAAGCTGTCCCACAGAACGGTTCAATGACTTCACCGTACCTCGCCCGTCTATCTTCTCACCCTTCTTAACTTTCCAGCTTTGGCCCCGGCACTCTCAGGCCAGACCTTTGGACGCGATGCCATGGTACGTGGCCAAGGGTGGAAGCGGAGGTTGCTGCCAGAAGAGCAGTACTTAGAAAGTCTTCCTGACTTGTTTGGAGCATTTGGTTTTGATCCCATAATAAATTTGTGAGCCCAATATAGCGCAACCTCCAAATTTGTGATATATTGGTTCAAAGATTCTTTCCAAAGAGCGAAAGCTATTGAACACCCTTTGGCACTCATGGCGCTTGTGGTTGGTGACACCCGGCGAAAGCTGGATTTGGTGGTGAAGAGGCTTCATGTCTTAGGTGCTCCCAAGGTTGGGTGTGTCAAAGTGGGGCTACTTGGGTAATAATAACATGGACTCATGACATGGACCTCTTTTACACTGGTTCGACTTATGGTTAAATGAGGTAACCCCATTTTTCTTCGATTATCCTGGACCATATTGGTGTTTGAAGTATATAGCAATAAATTGAATTCATGATATCACATCCCCTGACAGATGCTGTTGAGCCTGGTCATCCTCCTTGCCCAGTGTGACAATATCACTGTGTTTGGTGAGGCAACATGTTGGCATTGGCGTACAAAGGAGTTCAGATCCAGTGATGTATCAATAAGGTGGGATTTCCAAACAATAGATTAGTAACCGTTTCTTAACCATTCCGGTTGTATTCAACTATTCAACATAAGGTATTGGAAGATGGTGGTGATTTGGGGCTACTTCTTTTGGGGGGCATCCCGACCAGAAAGTGGTTTGTAACAATGGTAAATATAACCCATTATATAATTGATAGGATATGTCCATTGATTTATGGTTCATGAAACATGTCTTGTGGGCACGCACCCAAAAATGATCTAGGAGGAAATAGACCCATCAGTTCAACTTGACACCAATGTCCTGGTATACACCCTTCCCTTGCTGAGGCATATACCTTCATGGAGCTATATGCAGGGGAAGCCTGAGTTAGCCATTGCATGCGGGCTGGCGGGCACCCAACCGCTTCACTGGATATCCTTTTTGGGTCAGCTGAAGAGGGGAAACAGAACTGCTTTGACTTGCTGTCAGACAGCGGGTTCTTGCTACTCAACATGGAATTCGTATCGTAATTTATCCTACTGCTTTGGGTAACTCCCTATCTTGCAAAAGCTATACTACTGACTTCTTTCCAGGGATTCACCATCATATGTTCTTGACAGTTGGTCTTTATACCCCGCACCCAAAACAATAGAATTCTGCATTGTATTCACTAAACACTTTCATGGGGAGAAGGCAAGGGTTATGAACTGCTCGGGTATCCAAATTTCTTTTGAACCAGCTGATGGTTTTGTGACTTGTTGGGCAGCCCTGTTTTCAATCTTTGGACAAATTTTAGAATGAATCGTTTTTCAAAACTTTGGAAATAAATAAAACCAATCTAAGGCTTGCGCTGGTGTGCATCCTCAATTGCAAGATGGACAACTTTCTCGTGATGATCGGGCTTTTATGCCGTTCATTTGTGGCCATCAATAGAGGGACGAACAAAAGGCAACCTTTTGATCCTTGCGGGGATACCAGTGCTCCATCGGTGAGGGAGGGGAATCTGCTGTGCTGCCGGACAGTGGTTTGAAATTATTTGTTGGGCCCCATCCATCCACAAACCGTATGCATTATATATAATCATGTGCATTCATATGGATTTGTGTCAAAATGGTCCCCTTTTTCTTCTTGAAAACGCATTGTTAAAGAGAAAAAAGTGCACCTCATTTTGCAACATCTTCGCATATTATTTACGATTCTATATACTATATACCATAGATGTTCCCAATTGGCACACCCAAATCAGCCATATTGAATTTACATCTACACATCCTCTTGAGTAAGAACGGCATGCCACATTCCGACCTCCCTGCTGAACCCCATTGTCCCTGCAGGACTGTCCTTCTCATGTGGGTCATCCAGGCAATGGCAGGAGCATTTGTCCTGGAGCAGCCCCGGTCTTCGATGCTTCTTTGGCATCCGAGGATGAGGCAGTTCATGCTGTCTATTCCAAAGGAGAGGTTTGGGGAAATGACCAAAAAATCAAATTACCAATATGATCTGATTCAATGACTCTGGGGGAAACAATGTGAACCCCGGTTACAACAATTGAACGCCTTCCCAAAAACCAATTGGTTGAACCCCGATTTTTCCTCTTAGAAACGAGATATGGGGATACTTCAAAGAATGGGGATACCACAAAAAAGGGTATAATTCAATACTGAAAGCTTAGCCCCCTTCTTTTGGTACATATCCATACTAAATATTAAAGACAACCGCACTAAACCACTGGCTTTTGAATATGCCTCCAACCCATACTTCCAAATGCATCCAGGTGGGCAATGTTGGGGGCTGTATGGTTTGTTAGATAAACAACATGCAGGAATGTCTCAAAGTAGGGATCCCGAAGCTGTTTCTTTTCATCTTAAAAAAAATCATATAAAGCTTCAGGGTCCTTATTCTGAGACATTCCCATCTGTTCAAATACTATTAGCTGTCGAACAATGTATCAACTATATGTGATCCTCTTCATGTTTGGACTACAGTTAGAAGTTAGAACCCAACCTGGCTACCCTACCAGGCATTTCTTGCATACTGGTGGATGGGCCTGTATGGTGGTATCACACCAAAACGGCACCTAGCATTGAGTAACTCACCTACTGTGCGGCGCCTGGATTTGGGCACTCTTGCTGTTGGGGCCCGGAAAAAGCTGAGCAAGGGGGTCAAATCCTCAACCGTCTACAAATCCAAGTCGGGACGCACTTCCTACAAAGGAACACGATTCTTGAAGAGTACTGGGCCCAGGGCTTAGTTGATTCACATTTTCCTGGCCATATGCTTGGATTCTTAAATATAGATGATCGTGGTTTACTGTTTATCTTCATCAGCATTATGGGATGAAAAAAAAGGCGGGTTCAAGCTTGATGGTTCTTGGTAGTTTTTTTTTGATCTGGGTGTAGAGCTTGCCCGTTGTTCCAGCCACATTTGACCGTATACCTTCATGTTCATGTGGGCCCCAAACAGTGCCCACAAGTTAGCTTCAATCTCAACGTCAACTGTCCCACCGCTTTGCATGAGTGTAGTGGCCTTGACAAACCAAAGGTTGTCTTTTTGACTGGTGCCATGGCCTTCTGCCCAGGACATACCCACCAGCTTTTGGGTTGTTCTTGCGGAAGCATCATGAGCGCTTCATCCGCCATTGTGTGGTTGCCTGTGAGGTGCCTGAGGATGTTATGAAAGAGGAACTCCCCGTGTTTTTCCAATCACTTGAATGGGGCGATCTTTGGGAGGATGCTGAATTGTTTTCCTGCCTGTCTTACATTAGAGCCTCCAAGAGGCTCCACATTGGGGAGTGACGTGATTTAATTCCCACTTTCCTCTAAAGGATCTGAAAGGGATTCCGAACAGTTCTTGGCAGGGTCTTGAGATGTGACCATTAGTCACAACTATGATCGACTAATTATCTATTTCAGAGTGCATTGAAGCAGAATGCTTCCACTATAGGAAACCTTTCTGTACCAGCTTGCAATTCAATTGAATCAAAAAGCGTCAGCTTTGGTTTTTGCCTGGATTCAAATGGGTTTATATGATTTTTCCACTTCATGACCCGTACACGGAAGTATGTGTTAAATACGTGCTGAACCCGTACAAAATACGTGTTTTGCACGTGCTCGGAAATCCCACCCGTACCAGGGGCGTGAAAATCCATCAAAGGGGCGTGTTTTTCCGTACGAAAACCCGAACAAAATGCGTGTTTTTGGGGGTTTTGGGACTGGCCCCATGTTGATGAAAATCACGTCGTTTTGGACCACCATTTCCTGATTTGGAACCGTCCCCATCATGTTTGAACCCTGCCTTGCCTCATCCGCATTGATGATGCTCAAGGTGGTGGTTCCGAGCCTTGGGAAGGGTAGAATCTAGTCAAGAACATGAGAAAACTGGATTCCAAAACCCGAAGTTGTTCAGAGCTTGAGAAGGGAGCCAAGAAGGTTTTACAGGTGAAGAAAGAAGGAGTGTCTGAAGAAGAATTACAGAAGCAAATAAAGGACGTATCAAGTGTTTGCTGTTGTCTCGATAGATGCACTTTGAACCGTATTGGCCTGGTTGCCTTCAGTTTCTTTACCATTCGCTTAAAAACCTGTAGACTTCAACCACTCTCACCAGCAGGACTATGAGAGCAAACTTTCCAAGTTGAAGTTGAATGTTGCCACCGCGGCTAGTTCCAGTGTTTCTTGGTCTCACTTCTTGCCAGCCAACTGGGACATATTGGAGTCCAGGTTCCATGAGTATGCAAATGCATGCACATGATCTTGTGTCCCCTCACCCCGTCCAAAGCCTAAAGTGGGTGTGTATAAGGATCAGTATGCTGACATGGACACTATTCCAGCATCTTGGCATCAATTGCAGTCTGCGATCAATCTGGTGATATTGTGTTGGTCAGCAATCTTACTTGATGAGTTGTCAAAAATATAGCATGTTGTTAGTAAGGCAACTGAAGAGGAATTGCGCGAGTCCATGGGTCCAAAGAAGTGCACAGCTGCGAAAGCAAAACCAGCTCCCGCCAAAGTGTCCAAGGGCAAACGGCTTCACAAGAGCAAACCTGCCACAGTCGACCCACCGGCAACTGAAGCAACCGCAGCACCTTCGACATACAGCACGCCGGTCAAGTCACCACCACAGAAGAAAGTGAACAAAGGCGGCAAGGTCATCCCCCGACGACTGAACTTCAAGTCTCCAGACCCAGAGCCCGCTAGTCAAGTGGAGTCCCTGAAAAAGGCCCCATTGTGTGTCATGCTGTTTTTATTTGGTCTCAAATGCTTGTAAACTGTTTAGCACCCGGATATGTTCGGATTTTGTTCCCTATTTCCTATCATATGATCTCTGCCTACCTACTCTCTTTGCGCAGGCGAACGAGGAACTTGCAGCACAGTTGGCAGCTTTGACCGCTGAGAAATCCAGTAACAGTTCTCTCCCGGCCAGTGCGGCCAAGTCTAAGGGTCACACCCCAAAGAGCGGGAAGACAGGTGGGGCCCCCAAGCCTAAGTCCAAGACGAAGCATGTGCAGCCCCCCTCGGAGTCTGATGAAAACCAGAGTGAAAATGAAAATGATGGAGAAAATGGTTTGACTGAAGAAGGGTCTGATGAGGACACTGGCCCGTCAGAGGGTGCCAAGTTGGGGCGGCCCGGCTTCGCCGCTTGTGCGAGCGAAAGCCGTCCGGACGGCTCCAGGTGCCGGTTCACATTCACGAGCAATGGAAACAGGGCGGACACCCGCGTCAGCAGCTCTTGGAGATGCTTGAGCATGCTGGGTTCGAAAAGGACCCTTAACTGTTATCTTTCCATATCATTATGTCATATATTATCAGCCATTTAGTTTTGTGTACTCCTACTATTCCCGGAGCTCATCAACATTATGAATATTACAATCATAAAGTTTTGCCATTATTTTATCATGCCGTGGCCTGCAGGATACCTTCATCGCCACAGTGGTTCGCTCCAAGGAGACCATCACCAGGACCAAATCGGCCCGACGCCGTGGTTGGTACACGGTTGAACGCATGCGAACCAAGTTGGGCTGGAGCAAGCTACTTGGCTAAATACATGTATTAAGAAAAGCAGTATACCATATTATTTATCTTATTCCATTATGTTATGGGCTGAAAGATGGTGCCAATCCTCATGTGGAAGTTTCCAAAAATATTGGTACCCCCAACCATTGGTTTTCCTAAATATTCATGAAAAACAACTGTGGATGATTTTTTTGGGTACCCTCATTTTACCAGATAAATAGTTATCACGATTCATGGTTTGATCCAACTGACGAGGCAATACATTGCCGGAGTTGTCATGTACTGCGAGAAGAAGGGCAACGAAGCCCTGTGGAAGAAACTTAACTGCATCAAAAACACCAGATGCTACATTTTCCCTATATACCTATACCATCCTATACCAGAATGACCATATGTTACATTTTCGCTACCTATGCCCTAAGATGCCCCTGAGCCAAGTCCCAGCTTGAATCTATCAGCCCAGGCGTGACAAGTACAACAAGAACATCAAGAAGTACCATGTTGACGTTGACTCGGACGAAGAAGACGAGAACATAGATGAGGAACGGGAGAAGGAAGAAGAAGCATTGAACACCACCAATGTGTCCTGTTTCAAATGTTTCTCAAACCTGCTTTTCAAACAGTATCAACTGAAGCTTATGGATTCTCTTTCACCTCTCCAATTACTCTATCCCGATGCCACCTTCCTTCCCATTCCACTTACCCCCAGTGTTTCGGCCCGCACTGAGGTGAAGGACTTCAGAAGCTTCAAGAAGACCAAGCCCAAGAAGCCTGCCGCTGCCAAGTCCAGCGATTCGGAGAGTGACACCAAGAAAGCAAATGAGGCAGTGGGCCCAAAGCAGGACAGGGGCAAAAGATTTGCTTATACATAGATATACAGCTAATATAGGCTTATATGGTATATGCATGGTCCGAGCATGGCCCTAACAGTCGCATACACAGTTGAGACACAAAAAAAAGTAGCAGGGTGATGTGCCATCACACTTTCAGGAGTTTGCAAACTTAAAGAAGCTTGGTGACTCTTTGCTGACGAGATCGACTAAGCTGTCCGAACATATTTCGAACATTGAAATTGAGATCGCAGAGAAATCGGATACCCCTGAAAAAAAGCGAGCAGAGTCGCCAATGCCCCAGAATTGTGGCCCATCTCCTTTTTTGATTAACTTAGAACCAATGAACCAGAGCGTTTCCCATTTCCAGCGGCTGGCCTTCTTCTCCAACTATTCTCGTCCACCAGCCCCAGCTCAGGTCCGTGAAGGCCCTGGAGAAGGCCATGGAAACTCTTCAGGACCAGTTCGAGGAAATTGAGGTTTTGAAGGTGGATGTCTCACCTTTGCAGACTGCCAAAGATTCAGCGGTTTCTGGGATCCCTGAGCCTTGAACTTATTTGCTATAAGAACATCGCGTGTCAACATATGCAATTGGAACGAGTTCACGTTTTAGGCCATTCTTGCTAGAAGAAAGTTATATGGTGCTACCATGTGACCTCTAAGTGCCAATGGAAACCGACTTAGGCTACTCAAAAAAGTGGTGGATCAGATCAGGAAGACAACGGTGGCGTGCCTTGACCACCACTTTCTTATAACCAAGTTCCCATATGTTTCACTTTCGATACTCATTTGATATCAATGATCGGGCGCTCAGGTGCAGCAAGGTCACCACGGCAGAGAAGAATGGAAAGACCCTTCGTCAGTAAATGGTTTTTGTCTCCACTGCCCGACTCTGTTTAAAAAAACCTTTGCATATTTTACCATGTCCCAGTCCAAGCCACCAGACCCTAGATCCCAATTAAGCCTCTTCACTTGCCAGCTCACGTCCAATCTTCCGGCTGAGGAACATCCTGAAGATGTTGCAAAAGGACCACTGATGCGGTGTGATCGGACCAATACTGTCTTTTTTTGGAGAGTCCCAGTCAGAAAAGGAAATCCCATCAAAAAACAATACATGTCCAGACTTTCCGTCCAGGACCAAATTTTTGATTGGTAAGGGGCTGCCAATGGCTGGGATTCAGCTGTCTTATCAATGGAGTGTAGGAAGGGGCTTATGGCCATTTCTTTGGGGTGAACATGTGCAAAGCACGTGACAATATGTCAACTTTTGACCATCAGACTTTCCATGGACCAGCGGGTGAAAACCAATGATGTAACCTGCCGATCAAACATTTTTCCATACCACGTGTGAACCCCAGCCAAACCACCAAATGGACTTTAATTGGTATTAATGGGTATTGGAACCCCAAGAATCTTTATATCGAATTGTTATTTTTCCCTTTCAAGCCGATGCCAGGTCCCGTTCCGAATGCTGATCAACGCCGAGAACCCGGCCAATTCCTTCACCACTGCGCCAAACTCATCAGTTATGGTGCCAGGGGCTCATGCCGGGCAGATTGCGGCTGCAACATGTTGATACAGCGGCAATGCTACCTACTTGTGATGCATTCTGCTAAAATCAGACCAAGCAGATTTGTCAGTCAACACTAAGTAAATTAGAGACTCAAATTGTTGAATGATATGTTGACCAAAGTTCGCCAAACCAAGATTAGATTAGATCATATTAGATCCACTGACATACGTTATCCCCACCATTTTCTGACCTATCCAAGTCTTCAGTGACAATTAACTGTTCTATTGCCGCTCATGGCGGCCAAGCGGTGTGCGGATGATGGCGCTTCATGGGGTGATGTCAAAAAGCCTAAGCCCCTTGTTTGGCAGTATCATTATGATCACAACAACTGATAGCAACCAAGTAAAGTGTCGATGAATTTGACCAGAATCTGAATATCTTAGGATGGACCCATTTGATGATGATTGGGACTTTTTGATGGAATATTTCACCCGGGATTGTTATGCTGTGGCCACCGAACTGCATCCGAAGCCAGCACCTGGGCACGCAGATTGCAGTGCTAGAGGGTTTGCATATATAGGCATGTTAGGGTTGGGTTATCAGGGGCATCTCATATGCCACCTCTCTTCTATTTGATACCTAGCCAACATTTGCTTGTCATCTAAGGATTGTGATGGCAGTCGTGAACACAAGGCTGCATCTATCAGCGGAACTGCTACCGTGGATACTGAACCTGACTGGGAACATTTGCGATCTGTGGGCTTAGTCAAGAAATGCCTGCCTGCATGTGAGAAAACCACATGTGGAAAGATTTTATTTCACACCAAAAATCAAATCAATGGTTTGAGAGAACGCATGGGTCTTCGGCTTACCTGCTTTAAAGTTGGTGTCACAACAGACCCCTCAAAGCGTTATGAGTCGTACCTGGAACTTGGGTACACCTGCATGCATGTAATTGCTGAGTCAAGTAGCGTTGATCTAATTCATATGCTAGAGGCAGCTCTCATAGGAGAGTATGCCAAGCATGTTGGCTGTAAAAACAAGCCCAATTCAGGGGGAGAGGGTGCCCTAAACCGACATATCATTCCCTCTGGCCCTTTCTACCTTTACGTGGTTGCGGGTCGAGCAGACCAAAGCCGCTGGGTGGGATAAAACCTGCAGTTGGAAACTTTGCTGCTTAATTTGCTTTAGCCTCCTGGAAACCATCAGTTTACAAGTGCTTGCAGCTTCCAGGGCTGTGTTTTTCTCTTCCCTTGCTAGGTTATCTGTGCCAGCATTATCCCATTGCTTCTTTCTGAATGGGTTTTGTTCTTCGCCATTTGTTCCTTCCGGCCTCTGAGGTCCCATGTTGCCAGGTTGTGGAGATGGCGCGTGCTGAGCTGCAGGAAAACCCTAGGGCCAACGAAGCAGTAACAAAATTTGCCAAAATACCTTTGGACAATGCTGAGGAAGGGTGCCATGAATTGTTTAAACAACTTGGTTTTTGTGCACCTGTCACCATGGAACGTTGTGAAGCACTGGGAATGACCAACATACCCTATGTCAAGTTGAGCTCCTGGGTGCAGTGGCTACTTGACAGCGGCCGTCTATGGCGTCAATTTGTTGGTGTCAGTTCTTGGGAGAAAATGCAGGATGTGCTGGGTGAATTTTGGGCACGGTTCCGAGGTTTATATCCTCAGCATGAATTGTTCACCATGCCTTTGGACCTAAGACGGACTATCCCTTACTACAGTCACACTGATGAAGGCAGAACCTACAAGTCCAAACCCATTTGGATACTTAGTGTTCATGGTTGCCTTGGAAGAGGTACACAAAGCTATGTCCGCAAGGAAAAACACCGTATGGGACTGAACAGGTTGCAAATGGGTCTCAACTACATTGGGAACACTTGGTCGACGCATTTCATGTTCACATGTTTGGTCCGGCAATTCATGACAGAGAGGCCGGATGCTTTGGACATCCTAGTGCGGATCTTTGCTTCTGACTGTGAAATGTTACTGAACCAGGGTTTGACCAGTAGTGATGGCACCAAGACAGTTCGAATGGTACACCTAGCTACAAAGGGGGACCTTCCTGCCCTAGCAAAGCTGGGTTCATTCTCCCGGACTTTTTCTCATGTTCCTAAAGCTGCTTCAAGCCGGACTCCTTCAGTGGGCATTTGTCATTTGTGCCTTGGAGGGCAGGAGTCTAATGGTCAAGGTCAACAGCATTTTCCATATGAGGATTTCGCTTTGCACCCTGTGTGGGCTCCAACCATGCACACCTCACTTCCGTGGAACAGTGAGCCTGCAATCTTGCATGGGGTTCCTCTGAATAGAGCGGCTCGAGCTGGCTTTTTTGAAACTGACATTTGGCACAACATGCACTTAGGATGCTTGAAGCATTGGATTGCCAGTGCCTTCGTCTGCATCATTGAGCGGCTTGATGTTGGGCCATTGGATGGCTCAGTGGAAGCTAAGTTTTCTTGGTTGACCACAAACTTCCGCGGCTTTTGCCGTACCAAAAGAATTTCGCCATACATGTCGGAACTATCACGGGCAAGCCTGGGCTTCCCTATGGGCAGTTCGTGTCCAGTTGGGCAATGGTCGAAAGGGGTGGTTTCAACCCATTTTTGCCAGTACTTGGAGTTCTTCTGTGAACAGTACGTTGTGGGGCAATCACATGATCCAGTTTTGCTGCACATTGTAGTTTGGCTGTGTTGATCAACGCTTACTTGTTTAAAGCTTTGCTGTTTTTCGTTTTTGTTGCAAACAGGTTGGAACAGATTTTGATTTTTCGGAAGCATTTCTCCCATCTAAGGTAGCGGGCACGAAGGCCGTGAATGTGGCCATGGCGTTCATGTTCAGCCACGGGTTTTGGATCCGATCCTATTTTGGGGGTAGGCTGGGCAGGCTGCTTCTTGGATTTGTCCAGTCCTATGCCAAGTGTGCAAAGCTCACCTTTTTGGCCCAGACCAATCGTTTTCCGCTTATGCCAAAGCTGCATTTTGTCCATCACACTTCACTCCGTATCATTTGGGAAGCATCTGTCTCTCAGTGGATCATTTCACCCTTATCCACTGCAGTACAGCAGCAAGAAGATTACATCGGGAGGCCCGCGAGATTATCGCGTCGCGTTGCACAGAGCAGGTTGCTACATGTTCGGGTAATGGAGAGAAGTTTAATATGCGCCATGTCTGCCATATTAGGGTCTGATAGAGATAGCCGCGGTCTCATGTGATGCTCTGATCTTGTGCCTGGGGTGGGGAAAAAAGGGTCACTGTCTGGTGGCTACTTCTTGGTATGGTATGAAATGTCTTGATACCCTAAGCATTCCTATCGGCTATCAAACAAATTAGGCCCATCACCCAACACCCTTCATCTCAGCCCAGCACCTTGCTGGCAAAGATCCGCCATAGGTAGTGGGAGCAGCGGCTGTGTGGGCAGGCGATTCCACCAAAGTATTACAATTATATTCAAATGGGTTACACGTTACTCCAACATACTCCAAAATACAACCATCAAATGGGTTCATAGAAAACCCCAAAAATGATCCCAAACCAAGAGGGGCGTGTTTTTATGATAGGGGCGTGTTTTGACCATTGGGGGCGTGTATCATAATGGAAACAGGTCCTGCTCTAAAACTGGCACCCTGACCGGGTGCAGGTATATATATATATACACATGCACTGTATATATATTGAAACATATATGGAAGGATAGGTATTGTTTGTTGTGTGCAATCATCATGCAATCATGTAGAGACCATTCGTTCGTTTGCTCCAGGAGTTTTGGTGCTCTGGAGGTGCCGAGGGGAACCCAGATTTCTCCACAGACTTCCTGGGTGATTTCTGGGGGGTTCAGGTAGGGCTTCGGGAAGGAGGTGTTTGGAAGTCGGCCCAGTTTTGTTTTCCAAGTTTGCTATCATAAATCAACTACAAATCCCATCGTTTCTTGGTTAAATCCCATTACTCCCCTTTATAATCCTATCCCCATATTGTATATACCACCATTATTCTTGGTTGAATCCCACTAAATCATCATAAATCACCAGTTGCTTGCGGCTGGTGCAATCCCCATTTACTTAGTTAAATCTCAATTTCTCCCAATTTTTCCTGGTGAAATCTCCATTTTTCCTGCTCAAAATCACCCCGTAGCGTAGGCGATCCGCGCTGGGCCGTGTTGCCCGGCGTGCTGCACAGTGAGTCCACCTGGGGGCACGGCACAACGGCGCCTGGACGACTGGATGATGACTGGGGCCACCATGACGACTGGAACCCCCCCATTTTTGTTAGTTAACTAACCATAAAACCACATTATATTCCATTGTTGATCGTTATATCACCATAGTTATGGGGGCTATACTTAATTGGAGGTTTCCTAAAATGGGGGTACCCCAGTCATCATCCATTGTTCTTTGGGATTTTCCACGAAATAAACCATCCAGCTATTGGGGCACGTTCATTTATTTAATTTCCATGGAAATTCCCTATGACACATGGGGAGCCAGTTGGAGTTGCAAATGATGGGAAGTTGGGTTGTTGATGGATTTTTGAAGGAGTTTAGGGGGATGGTTAGGAGTTTTTAGAATATGTTGATGGACTTTCGATGGATCGTAGTGGGTATTAAGTTTTTGCTAGAGATTTTGAGCAACGAAACTGGGATGTTAAGCATCAAACATGTGGATTCAACCAGCAAACATGTGGATTTTTTTCCAAATGACACGGAGAGTTCATGAAACCATAAAGGCTGAGCCACGTCTAAGGAGTACGCTTTGGAGGCGTTACTGGCGGCCGCCAACTGTCTGTCTGGGAAAGGCTCAGAACCTTTTCGGTGTCCCATCGAGACAGTTCCTTGGAGTTTTTCCAGTGTGCTGCTGTTGTTGATGAAACCAGTTTCTAGGCAAAATTCCAGTTGTTGTTTTGTTTGGTTACAAAATGATGGAGTTTAAATCCGCATGTTTTGTTTGGTCAGACCCCAACTCCATCTAGAATTCTTGCGAAAAAATGTATTGTAGCTTCCATACATGATAAAAGCCCAACAAAAACTGGTCGATGCGAAGCCGTTTTCACCTCCAAGGGCCGAGGGGCCAAGCATCTTTTCCTCAGGATGTGCGGTTGCCAATGATCTACGTGGATGATCTCACTCGAGGCGGTGGATCCCTGAGGGGAAGAATGCTTCATGAATTTCATGATGCATGTTGTGTTAAAATGTGTTAAATGTAAAAAGTAGATAACAAAGTTTTCCACATTACAATGCGATTGAATCAATTGATTACTTGGGAAATTCATGTTTGCTTGTTGCTGACATTTGTTGGGTATTATACAGCAAGTTATTGAATGGATCACCAGTGAGGAGATTAGCCTTCCAAGTCCCGGCCCATGTCGTTGCTTGATGTTGGTTGTGTATCCCAATTAATACACGCCATTTGTATCCTCAACATAGCCTCCAGCAATCAACAATGGCATTGGAAATCCTCCATTCATATTCCATTCATAAATGATTGTCCCATTGAAGCTTGTTATAAAAGAACATCAATGGGATTTAACTCCTCCATTTATGATTTTCCCATTTGACCTTTCTGTTATAACGGGATCACGGGATTTTCCACCACCAATTCGCAGCTCGCAGGTCTCTTGGCGCTTCAAGACGCCCCCGAGTCGGCCCTGAAGGAACCGGAGCACGGCTACGCCATCCCAGGGGTCTCCTTCACAGCCGAGGTGCGGAGGAAACATGAGAAAACCCCAACGGTAACCCACCCAAAACAGGTGCCGAAAAGATCCGAATTTTGTGAATCTTCACAGGTCTATGGGGTAAAAACTCTTCTAGATGTTTTGGGGGTTACTATACTTATCTATACTTGATTACTATATTGCGACATATATTTACTACACTACACCCAGTCGGGAAAGTCAGTGCAACGTCTGTTTGAAAGTAACAAATCACAATGGGACGCTGCGCATTCAGGAAGTCACAGAAGTCAGTGCAATATTGTGCAAATCAGCATGGGACGCTGTGTGCCAGCAATCATCTATTTCGTTTAATGTTCGGTGTTTTTTATGGCTCTAGAATTAGGAATCATATTGTGGACGCTGCATCCATGCAGTCATTGTTTTAGGTTATTTTGAATGACTTTGTTGAAAAACACAATGGGACGCAAGTTTCACCACAACTACAGTCAAAGTGAAGCGACCAACCAAAGATACGGCGCAGCCCCTTGTGGCGCACGCAGCTCGGTAGTGTGAAGGTAAGCAGCAGCAACAGGACCAGAAGAACCAGCAGCAGTAGCGGCAGTAGCAGCAGCAGCGGCAGCAGCAGCAGCAGCAGCAGCAGCGACAAGACAAGACAAGACAAGATAAGACAAGACAAGACAAGACAAGACAAGGCAAGACAACTCACGTATGTCCGGCGATACTCTGGCGATACTCCGGCAATACCCTAGAATAGAAAAAAGGAACCCGTCGCCACCAATCCCCCTCATCATTTCAACACAACCACATCTCCAAATTTCAAAAGGGAAAAACCACTGAAAAACCCAACACAATCCATTTCCCAATGGAACTGACACATTAGGGAAATTCCGAACCTACAAGAACGCAGGTAAAAACATCAACGTTCCAAACCATGTCTTCCAAAACACCAGCTGGACGCAGCACGCACCGACTTCCAGATTTTTTCCCCCCAACTAAACGCAACAAAGCAAGTGAACGCATTGAGTTTCCAAATGGGGTGTAAGTGGGTTGTATGATGTTGTATGCCAGTAGTGAATCCCCGACAATACTACGCAGCTATTTGTCAGCTGCTTGTATTCTAGCCCAGCTATTCACGAGCACATCACTTCCCTGGCCAGCTACTGTAGCTCTCCATTTTATTTGAACGAACCCGACCAACTAGAATGAACTAGATATGATGTGAGTCATGTAACATGTATAAGCATATGTGCGCAACAACTCCGATACGATCATAATAGCTGCGCTGCTAATAGCAAGTATGTGCGACCTTCTTGATCAGAAACAGAGCAAATAGAAAAGGAACATGGATTTGTCTTAAAATTAGATACTCCGAATTCCCCTGGATTATTATTAATAACCATGATTCCCTTATATATCTATATCAATATCTATATTTTACACATATATATATATATATATAATAAGTTGGAGGGTACGCAGCATTTTCGGACAAACCCACCATGGATCCACTGTTCAGCACGTTCTTCGAAGTCGGAGCACGAGGAACTCTTTAAAGAGATCCGATTCCATGTGCCCGACTTCCAGCATCAGCTTGAAATCGATCAGATGCTGGCAGAAGTGTTTGGTGTTTAGTTGGCCGATGATGCAAGGCAAATCAAGTATTTTTGATCTCGTCTCTATACATCCTGATTCTGGTGACTTATCATATCCAAAATCAACTGTTCAGATCACACTTCTGTTTTGCTGTGTCAATGATGCAGTTGCTGCGAATCTCATTGCTCTGTGACATGGGACCCACCACCACCCGTTCGGCAAAGCATATGGACACGGGGCCTAATATATTGAATACTACCAACAAATAAAACGCGCTACGACACCAATTAAAAGCGGGAAGGGCATATTTCTCTACAAGCACCATTGGATATAGATTTTCTCTTGGTTGGCTCTAGCTTTAAAAAGTATGGAGGGGCGGCAAAAGCCATCAGGGAAATGTGTCAAAACATGTTTTTCTCCATGTTGCAGGAATTCGATCCGTAGCCTATATAATATACAGATATATACAGTAGTTCAAGTCCAGGATGCGTTTCAAAAAATAACCAACCAAGAACAACATCAAGCAGCCAAAACACAACATCAACCCTGCTGAGGTTTCAACCACCAGCCATTGTGTTGATCTTTTGGGATGATTTTTGCTCGTCACTCTGACCTAGCTCCCAAAATATATGGCCAAAACATTTCCGTCATCATATCACCCAGCTAAGGAACATGAATACCTTCGCCAAACTTTGGCCCAACACCTTGTCACCTGCGGAACCTCTGAGAGACTTGGGCTATGCTCCCAGCGTGGGCTTCCGGGAGCTCATCTTCAAAGTTCCTTGGAGATTGTGCATCGGAGAGATCGGAGAGACCTTGGTGAAGGGGTGAATTTAAGGGTACCCTCTGGTAAACTAACGTAACTATGGAAAATCACCATTTTTGATGGGTAAATCCACTATAAATGGCCATTTTCAATAGCTATGTTAGCTTACCAGAGGGTAGTAGGATGTAGTAGGTGTGTAGTTAGTGATGTTTTAGCCAACAATGCCTAGGAATCTGATGGAATCTGGTGCCCAGCTGAACGTGTTTTTGTTTTTCTTTGTGAAAGCGATCTGAGATTCAGCAACATGTGAGAGACGTTGAGGTGCATCTGCTGGAAGATACACCACGTGGTTATGAAACCGTACCTACCCACTTGGCACTTAATATGAACCCCTCCCTGTGAGAAGAAGAACAGCACAATACAATCTCGTTTTTGCTTGCTTTTCCTAGGTGTTCGTTTAGATCAAGAATTTCATTCCGACCCTCAGGGTTCAAGTTTCGGGTTAATTTCCTGTGATTGGAAGGGTTCATTTAAACATTTTAAGTAGCAGATTCACAGCCCGGATAAATCAGCCAGGGTTTCTCCACCACCGCCATCTAAGGTTCTCATTGCTCACCGTGATCGTTTGGCAACATGAAACACATGAAGCACGCAGACCCAAGTTATGGTAATTTTAACTGGCCCGTGGGCGGCCCGTCACGTCACCTTTGATGTGACCTCTCGGGCGGATGTGCATCCAGGAAGGACTGTGGTTTCTATAGCTCCTCAAGTGGTGGGTTTCCCATCTATGGAGCAACAATAATTTGTATATATATATATATATTGTACATGAAGTATACGGTATTTTAAAACTATATGACTATATGAGTATAATCTTACATGGCTTCCGGTTCCTGACTAGGATGCAGATCCAGGCCCATATACATTTATACATATATATATATATTTATATATACATATATATTTATATATATATACATATATATACATACATATATATATATATATATTGATTGATTGATTGATTGATTGATTGATTGATTGTGGTTAATATATATACATATATATATATGAGTATATACAATATTCATGTACAATATATATATATAGCCTTCCCTCACAAGTAGTGGACCTTTCAAGAACAAAGTGCAGCTGCGCGGCTGCCCGCTCTCCCTGCGGGGGACCAGCGACTGTACAGAGCCGAAAACAGCGTCCCACTTTGCGTCTCCCAGGGATGGAGATTTCCCCATGGTGCTGGTGGTATGGGGGTTTAACCAAACTATGTTTGGATGTGATATTTTTGGGTTGATTCCCCATAATTTTCTTGTTTACATTTGTTTACTGGGATTGAACATCACATTGCGGTAGTTAAACTGAAGCAAAACTCTTGGGAGGAGCCTACCAAAAAGTTTTTTTTTAAAAATAGCCTTCGTTCGGAAATACTGTATCTTGGCCAATTTGGCCACTGAAAGTTGTTGCAGTCCCTTGCAGTTTCCTGATGGTGTCCCTTCAAGGACATGGCAGCCTCCGAAGAGCTGCTCTTCCTGGATTTGCGGCTCACGGATGCCTCGGCACTCTGTGACTGGGCCCTCCCGGGGATCGTCCCAGTGTTTTGGGGGGATCGACTTGTTGGATGCCTTCTGTTTCAAGGTGGATGGCTCAACTACATTTCAACTACCATCCGTGCATATCCAAGCGATGGGGCAAACCCAAGAATTACCCACACCATCCCACACAACTTAGGAGGTTTGCTTGGCAAACTGAGATCCGGCCTAAATCAGACTATGCTAATAACCATCCGAAAACGTGGAGATGTGATCCATAAACACTACAGTCACTACAGCAAACACCAATGCCCCATGACCAAAGCGCCTCAAACACACAATCTGAGCCAATCTGGATATAGCATGTATAACGACCTCACTGCGACCTGGCTAGGAAATTGTTTGGATTGAGGTACAGTAGCCTTATTTATCCTCATTACATGTTTTTTTTTTAGATTTCTATATTTTGTCCACACGAACCGGATTCTCAAACTAATTGGTATATTGACCCATGCGCCTTATTAGTGGTTTATATCTGGGAGAACCCCTATGATTTTATGCTTATAGCTGTTAAAGATTATCCAAATCCATGTAATCATTGTAATTTCTCCACATTATATATTCTATCCTCACATATTCCTTTATATTCCATTGACTAATCCCCAGCATCACCATTGTGATCCCCGGTTTTTGATGGTTACATTGCAGTAAATTTGCGTGGCCATGGAAAATCACATCTTTTATTAGGTAAATCATCGAACTAAATGCGCCACGGCTTCCATAGCTACTTATATCCATATAACTATGGTAGACACCATGAAATTCCGTGTATCCAAAGTGCAACCAAATCCATTTAAACCCCTCTAAATCCGATGAACATGCCATGAAATCTCGAAAAATCCCATGAATAAATAATTCCATAAATATCTGGAAGAATATCCCATAGTTGATTCATGGTTTCCCATCAAACCCTCAAAGCGGAATGCCTCCAGGTTTCCGCGGTGTATGGGTCACCGCCAAACACCGCGCCCAGCTGAAACTGCCTTTGAGCTCGCGACTGAAAGGCCCCAGCGTGCCGTTGATGCAGAAGCACCTTGGTTTCCCCAACGAAACATGGGATTCACTTGGATCTCATGTGATTTTATTGGCTATTTATTGGATTTCATGGGATTTTCTTGGCATTTATTGGCATTTATTGGATTTTATGGGATATTATTGGCATTTAATTTATTTGCTATTTATTGTCAAAAATCATACTTTATTGGCTATATATTATTATATATTAGATTTTACGGGATTTGATGGATTTTACCAGGAAAAGTGCAGAGCTGGACCACCAAAACATGGTGATTCAACCAAGAAGAAACGGATAGTAGCCGCAGTACATGCAGATTAAATGCGAGTAAGATGGGTGTTGTAGATGATGTCATTTGTAGATGGATGATCGCAATCGTCAAAATTCCAGTACATTAGATGATGTTCCTTTTGACGATTTCTTTTTTGTCAGTCAGTTCCAAGTTGGCATTCAGAGGAGCACACAAAGGAGCAGCAGAATGGATGAAGGAAACACACGTTGGCTGATGTGTGAATATATAGTACCAGGATGGACTTTGCGAAGTATCGGGCACCATTCCAATTTGCAGCTAGTTTCAGTGGTTGCGTGACATGTATTTGCTGATGCATGGGTAGTGTTTCCGTTTGACTTGCGGATGCAACATGCAAAAATGTCAGCATGACAAAGTTCCCCACGTCCTGTTCCAATACCAACCCGGAACCAATACAGCGTTGCATAGAGCCCCATCACAAAGCGTTCTGGACCCATTCATGTTGATGTTTACTGTTCATTTTCAACTTATGGGTGTATTCTAATGTATCCTAATTGATACTATAATAATCTATAATTATAATATTTATCTCACATACAAATACATATAGATTTATATATATATATACAGTATATTAAACTTGATATATATATATATATTTACATAAAAACATGTGTGTGTTTCTGTTCAAGAGGGTGTCCAATCTTCCTCCGCCTAGGTACGGGTGCCTGTCGCAGACGCAGAATCTCAACCTCATCGTCCCAGTCTCACGAGATGTCGCTCCAGCCTTCCTGTGCCTTGCTGGATGTTGCATGATGCTGTACCAGTTACCCCATTGTTATTCAACATAGCCATGGAAAATGGCCCATGAAAATAGATGTGTTTTGATGATTTGCCTATTAAAAAATTGTGATTCTCCATAGCTACGTCAAATAACCAGAGGGTAATTGCGGATTGCTTTTACCACCTGGTGATTATGGGGATATAATCACTCTAATTTGAAATATCACCGAGATGGGCCCCAGCACGTGTTGAATATTAGAAGTAGAAGGGATTATTCTGTCGTATCCTGATTGTTTGTTCAATCTGGCATCCATACATTTGCAGTTGGCTGCTTCCGAAGCAGAATTGTAACTCAGCTATGCTTCGGGAGTAATATGCAGATCCTGTAGGTCATATCATATCCACTGTAAGTGATTTTTCAACCCTGATATTCCGATTTATTTTGTGAAAGAGTGATCAACTTCTTCGCCGTGTTTTGTTTTTCGTTTTTTGTTGAAACATCCGCACCCAGTTCAAACTTTTTTTCCTGAAGTCATCGCAGCATCTCATGGTAAAATCCTAATCCCTTGGCCGGAGAGAGATCACCAACTTGGGATCCTTTCGGTAGGAGTCTCCCCACATTTCTTTCCAGAGTTTCACCATTTTTTAACATGAAAAGTATGGGGAGCACCACTGAAGCTCCAGTTCGATCCATCTCGGCTGGGTCATGTTTGGCTGATTATAGAGCTCCTTTTCCATGGAGGGTTTCTTAAAATAGGGGACCCCCAAGAGAACAACGGGTATTCAAGACAAAAATAGACACATGACTTGGATGATTAAGGGGTCCCATGACTTGGAAAGCTCCATACAATGTGGGGCGCCCAAAGGATAGCTACAATTTCAATAACTTGCTATTACAACTACTGTATCAACCAAAATAACTAGCTATAATTCAATAACAATAGCTACCCTCTGGTAATTTAACATAGCTATTGAACATGGCCATTTATAGTGGATTTTCCCATTAAAAATGGTGATTTTCCATAGTTAGGTTAGTTTACCGGAGGGTATGTTTACCAACTTACAACTGGGGGCCCACATTTTGGCAGAGGAGCTGCATGCGCATGGCCGCAGCGGATCCAGAGATGCTGCAGCGCCTGGAGACGCGAGGCGGGACGGGGATGGTTTTGGCATCCTTTTGGCGTTTTTTTTTCCTAAGGTAAACAGCTCAGAAATAGATATTTTATGGGTTTCTAAGCATCAACAATGGGAGATAATAGGATATTCCTAGTTTATGGTTGTTCCTAGTTTATGAAATTCCAACCATTATACGACCGTAAAATATCTATAGGGATTTCGAATTTCGAACCTTTTCAAACCATCAACAGGAGATAATACTGGGGATTATGATGATAGAGACAATAGTTAATGTATGGAGAGATAATAGTTCATGTATGGAAATCAACAATAGGAGATCAGAACAGTTGATGGATTTTCCTAGTTTACGGATTTCTAACCATCAACACTAGGAGATAAGGGATCAAGATGAGTTAACTTTCAACAAACATGACTTTGGAAAATCACCAGGACTTGTTTACATTTTAAATAGTTTTTCATATATGGGTAATTAAATCAACTGTGAAAAGGCCATTTTTCAATAGCTATGTTAGTTTACCAGAGGGTAGTTGTTTTGTATATTTATCCATCAACAATAGGAGATAATGGTGGAGATTATTCATCAACAATTGAGGGTTTAAGCATCAAAAGGTTGATGCCCCTAGTTATCCTTTGGTTTATTAAGCCAGCAAACTATAGTTTAATGATGCTATTTCATCACTACCCTGGTCAAGCCAGTTCTGAAGCTACTTAGCTAACAAACTGCTGCGCCTTGTGGGAAATGGATTGGGACATCTTCACCCAAACAGTTGCGAGATAATGTGACATGTGACCATCCACCCCCTGGGACCCCAATAGATCCAACAAATTCCATCCGAATAGGTCCAACTCGGCAGTACCTTTTCCGATTTGCAAAACATTGCTACACAACCATCAGGCATGACTTGTCCTGAATCGCAAACTATGATCGTTCCATATTTTATTAGTTTGTTTCTCTCACATGTACATGTTTGTTTACTATATGTATAGTTATAGTTCTTAAACAAAAAATGAGCTAAACATGGTACAGCATGTATTCCAACAAGAAAAACGTCTCATCATTTTCAATCGTTTGATACCCAAAATGAGATTTTCACTTCCCGAGGATTCCGCGCGGAGCTCACATCAGGTTGGTTCGACAACTGGCCTCTCACTTTACCCATCGACCAGCGCAATGAGCAGAGTGCCGCACAGCTGGCGGTGGAGCTATTGCAGAAGGTGCGGAATGGGACATCAATTGCTGTACAATAGCGAAAATTGGGGTGCCTTCCATGTAAGGTGAACATTTTTTTTGTTGTTTAATGTTATTTGATGTTAATCATATCCAAGTATTTATATAATTTAACTATATTTAGAGTTATTCAATGTTTATGAACTCTATCAAACATATTGATCATAGTAATATGGAGAGAGAGAGAGAGATATACATGAGACAAACAGAAGATCACCACGGGTAAAAACTTGGCAGCGAAGCCATTGAAGACACGGGCTGCTTCCAGTGACGGGATCGTATGTTGTACGTATTTATTAAACAGTTATTGATATCGATGATTGTCGATGTGCACACAATATGGAATTATTGTGTATGTATATATATATATATATATGTATACACACGCGTGTGTGCACATGCAATGTAAATGGACGTAATGCAATGCAATGCAGTGCAATAGAATGTAATGTGATATGATGCACTGCACTGTGCTGTAATGTAACGGAATGCAGTGCAATGTAGTGTGATGTATGTATGGATGTAATTGGACGGATACATGCTGTTGCAAGATCAGTACTGTTTGCTTTCTCTATGTGTATTTATGATGGGGTGAATCGACCTTGTTAGCTAGATCATAGCAATGTTTATCACCCAAGTATGTTGGTAGAAGGACATATACGATAGATAGGTAGACAGACAGTCTCAGACAGACAGATAGGTAGGTATGTAGATGGACAAACTTACAGATAGGTCGATCGATAGATCGATAGAGCACGAGAGATGTTTTGTTTATATTGATGTTTGGATTGGATACCCTAAAGACCTTCCTAACCAACATGATGGGTTTCGACAACTCAGAGCGACCAATCTGTACGTTTTCATTTTGCGTCCCCATTTGGAGGGGGGGGTTCTTGTCAGGGGCTGGCATTATTGTTTCAAGAATTTGCTTTCATTATTTCACTATATCCCGGAGGATCAACTTGCTTGGTGAAAGCGCCTATTCCTAAACAGTACCTTCATCCCGACACCACGGCAGCTCAGACCTGTAATGTTAAGTTGGGTTTCCAGGAGCCAAAAAAGGTGCTTGAACAATCTAAAGAGGAACGTCCCTTAAACATACCCTCTGGTTATTTAACATAGCCATGGAACATGGCCCATGTATAGATGGTTTACCTATAAAAAAATGTGATTTTCCATGGCTACGATAAATATCCAGATGGTAAAGTGTTTTGTTTCTTCAATGTTTTTCTCAGAGTCAGAGTGTCGTTTTTCACTTTTGCCCAGGTCTTGGAGAGATTGACCCAGTCCAACAATGAGTGGCTGGGTCCGGTGTCATCAAACATGCTTTTAATGAGAACATTTGCTATAAATGGAGGTTTAGAGCTGGGAAAATCAACTCTAAATTATTGGGTAGTTGATGGGTACGTTTTATCAGTGGAATTTAATGGATTACATTGACTTTTTCAATCGGTTATCAGTTGATTGGTTAGTTTAATGGAGTATTCTAGTTGGAGCAATTGTTTGACACACTAGTGAGTGGGTTCAAATGGTTTTGAATACATAATGGCTTGCATGCATCATGGTTTGCAACGGGCTACAATGATTGATTTTTTTTTATTGAGATATATATATATTCATATATTAAGTCTACCAATGGTTATCGTGGATTTTGATTATAATGCCCATCTTTGTGTATTCACTTATATTCGGGAATAAATACCTAGCCTAGTGACTAGCCACTGAATTGCTTCAATGGTCCAAGATCTTGGCTGATCAAATCCCTTTAGTAGTCACATAGGGAGGACAAACCAGCCTCTGATAATTTAGCATAACATCATGATGAAACAGCACCATGTGTTCATAGCTAACTCTTCCTTGGGGGAGCCATAGCTCTTTTCATAGGATAGGTTGTTGGCTGGTAAGGAAGTAGGTTTATAACCCACATTAATATGTATTTATAGTGTAGTTGTCATCCATTCGCTATTTCCGCTTAATCAAGTTCATGGCGGGTTTATATATACATACATACATACATAATAAGCTAGCCAATTTTGAACAAAGATGTACCAAAATGAGATGTAAACCTGCAACAACTGCCATTTGACCACCCCAAAACAACCTTTATTCTGAGCCCAAGCTGCAGAATCCATCATGATTGCATCATGTACTCAGTTTGAATCAAGGAGGATATGGGAACAAATGAACAAATCCTACTATATAATCGATGCCATATTTTGGAGGCCGCCAATTTGTTATACCTCCCATTGTTGATAGCTGATCCCCATCATTCTCCTATCGAGGTAACCACCGCTATACCATTGTTGATAGCTAATCATCATTATACCTCCCATTGATGGTATAACAATGGTATAATTGATAATTGTTGATAGCCATCCTGATTGATGGTAAAAGTCACCAAGGTTGCGACAACGCTTTGGCAGCGCTTCCGTGGTGCAGCGGCCCTGCGTCCGCGTGCGAGAGGTGCCCAGGAGAACTTTCACGGGGAGGCTGTGAATCTGCGAAAATACCTGGACTTCCCCAACAAGAATGTGGATTTAACTGATTTAACCAACAAAAGCATGAATTTAACAAGTAAGAACTAGGAATTCACCAGCTGAACATGAGATTGCACAGGCAAAATCATGAAGATTTGAGCGCAAAATCATGAAGATTTGACAGGCAAGAATAGACCATCTACTCGGATAAGATGAAGGGTAGTTTGAGATACCTTTCTTATTGCAATTAGAAATTGGGAAAGCCAATGCAAAACCAGCTCAGCTACACCGGTATCCTTGCGCCAGGCAGAGACCATGGTGGTAGTGAGCCTTTTGAAATCCATGCAGGAACTGGCCTTGCTCAGTTCTTTGGCACCGAGGGCTGCTTCAGCTGGGCTCGGTCGCCCCCCAAAAGGATGTTAACCGACCACTCTCTTAGGGCGCTGCCAGCATGGCAGGTCTCAGAACACGTGCCGCTGGATGGAAACTCTCATGAAATTCTTGAAGTTCAGTTGTAGGTTTGTAGTTCCTTCTTCCTTTGGTTGATTATTTTTTATAATGACATTTGATCTTGTTAGTAAGTTAGAAGGGCAACCTCAACATAAAAAAGCTTTGCCATGAAATGGTGCCAGCCACTCACCCTTTGTTTTGGATTGTCACCATATCTCCATTGGTCAAGATCATGAATAGTCAATCCTTTTGTCCGGTGATATGTTCTAAGCGACCGCATGATTGGTCCAATTCCGTCAGGCAGCAACGAATACTTATTCGAAGCACTTCGAGATGCGCAGCGGGAATCCCTGCAAGAAGCCTAGCGCCCGAGCGGCGTGCTGTGGGAAAGGCTGAGAGCCATGTTGATGGAAAGTTTGTGGCATTTGGAGCAAATCCAAGTAGGTTAAGTAGCTTGGGAATTTGACCACCTGACTTGAATAGGTAATGATTTGTTGATTGGATTTGATGGTTGTGGCATTAGCCACTCAAGATAGGGATGCTAGGCGTATAGCCTGATGATGTATGTGCATGCTTGTTTAGTTAGGAATCATGAGAATGCGGTTTCCCATGTTCTCTCGTGCTTGTTTGATTATTGCAACACCAGTGGGTTTCAACATGTTTCAACATTGGCAGTTGCTCAGTGGTTCCCCATGTTTCTGGCCAACCCAAGATGCCCGTCATGCAGCGCTTCGCAGGTGCGCCCAAGATGCTGAGCAAAATCAACCCGTGCGGTTGACCAAAAAGCGAGTTTGGTGGGACGAGGGGCGGGCTATTCTTTGCAATGGCTGTGTCTTAAGATAAGATACCCCTAAATCCACTGGTTAATCATCGGATTCCCTATGGACCTATTAAATGGGAAATTTGGGGTATGCCCCCTTTTCCGACAGAGCCAATGTTGACAAGAAATGAATCACTGTGTTTTTTTTTTCCGGGCGGTGAGGTTAGTGCATGACATGCCTGACATTTTGGCATGATGGACTCGTTTCGGTAAATCAAGAAAACGGTCGAAACGAGTCCAGCACCAAGATCTGGCTTTGGCTTAGAGGATAAACATGACCACTTGCTCCATGGCAAAGGGACTGTACCAATCGCAGTGGAACAAAACTCCATCCACACCTTCGTCAGTGCTGCCACCGTCAAAACATCACCAGTCAAGTCCCCTAAAGGAACCACAAAGAGACCACGACATATGGATTCACCAGGGTATTGTTAGAGTCACATTGCAGATATCAACTGCAGCAAGCTCCACTTCAGCATGACACATCTCCCCATCAGATCAGAGCACCCCTTGCGCTGCGTCTCCCGCAACGATGGTGACGAAAGATCCGGCCGCTAAGGAAGCAGGCTGGGAGCTGAGATTGACCTAATCCTTGGCTGTAGAATGATCCATGCAAGGGGGTGCCCCCTGGTTAGCTAGGTTGGTTTGCCTGGAGCTACGCGTCAAGTCACATCATGTTGTAATATGATGGTAGTTCTCCCAACTATTCTCCATTCTGTCCTGGCATTTGTTGGTTGTGGTATAGTGTGTCCCGGAAGTAAGGATTTGTCTCGATTTTGTTGCACTTCTTGGTGGTTTTTATTGACAATATCCAATCCAAACGTCTTGTTGAGATCATTTCCCTTTTTATAATTTTATGCCCGAGCCCAGTCCGTCATTAGTCTGCTTGTTTTGCGAGTTCCGCAGACTGGTAGCATCATAATATACCATTTCTGCTTGCAATGGCTTTTTGTTGCTACTTGCAGATGCCTCCATTTAATCCATTCTGATGATTTTTGCTGGCAAAATCAAGCCAACGGATTTTCAAGGTCTGATTTTGCAAGAAAAACAACACATCAACAGCATAGACACGCATAGACTCTGACATTTTCCAGGGAAAACAACAGCAAAAACGCGGGTCTTACCAGTTTTTCCCGCCGTTTTTTGGCTTTTGCCCAGGCCGCGGTGGACGTGCCGCTGGCGGCCGCGGCGGCCGCGGCCGTGATGGCAAGGGCCGGGGCAAGGCGGCGGGCGAAAACGCCACGGCCAGGCCTGGTTCGTTTGAAGGGTTGGTTGCAATCATTGTTATACTTATAGATAGATAGACAGATAGATAGATAGATAGATAGATAGATAGAGAGAGATAGAGATAGATAGATAGATAGATAGATATATATATATATATTTATAGCTAGTCAGATAGATAGATATATATATATTTATAGCTAGTCAGATAGATAGATAGATAGATAGATTTAGATAGATCGATAGATAGATAGATAGATGTAGATAGATCGATAGATAGATAGATAGAGATATAGAGATATAGATAGATAGATAGATAGATAGATTTAGATAGATAGATAGATAGATAGATAGAAATATAGAGAGATAGATAGAGATATAGAGAGATAGATAAAAAAATAGATATAAATAGATTGATATATTGATAGATAGATTGATACACAGATATATAGATAGAGATAGATATATAGATAGATAGGTAGATATAGATAGATAGACAGATAAATATTTAGATATATATATATATAAATAGATATAGACATATATATATATATATATACATACATATATATATATACATATATATATATAGATAGATAGATATATAGATAAATATATAGAAATATATATATATAGATAGATAGATAGATAGATAGAACGAAAGAAATATAGATAGATAGTTAGATAGATAGATAGATAAATAGATAGGTATGGATAGATAGATACAGATTTTTATAGATAGATATAGATAGATTTAGATAGATATAGATAGATATAGATAGATATAGATAGATATAGATAGATATAGATAGATATAGATAGATATAGATAGATATAGATAGATATAGATAGATCTAGATAGATCTAGATAGATATAGATAGATATAGATAGATATAGATAGATATAGATAGATAGATAGATATAGATATAGATATAGATGCATAGATATAGATAGATAGAACGATAGATAGAAAGATAGATATATCGATATAGTATAATTTAACTGATCTAAATCTAATATTTAATAACTGTTTTTTTTCGGGCATTATTATTTGATGAGAAGCCAGCACCAAGCACACAACAATGGGGTTTTAATCCATAGCAACCCCCAAAAAGATAGACAAGTCTTTCCTGGATGTTATAGATTATATTTACTGCGTGTTTCCAGGTTTCTGACTGTTCTATTTGTTTGGAGAGTTGCTATACAATAATATGTGTTTATATAATGAGGATCAACCCAGACCAAGGGCCAAGACGAGAAAAGCTATCTTACTATGTTGGCAACAGGTGTGGCAAAACCTATGAGAACAGGTGGCTGTCTAGGGGGAAAAGCGTGAGACAGGCCCAAAAACACTTGTTCACTTGTGATCAATATGTATTTTAGATATTTGTATGTATACTTATATTCTATGATATTATATTATGTTATTGTTTTGTATTATATGATAATATATGTTATTATGTTTTATTGTAATTCATTTTATTGTATAAATTTATATTTTATGTTATTATGTTTTATTGTATTATATTATTTTATGTTAGTTTATTTTCATGTAACCTTTACACATATATGACAAATCTATTTGTTTTCTGTATATATTTATATATATACATGTTTGTATATATATATATGTGTGTGTGTGTATGTGTGTGTGTACAGCACGTTACAGCACATATCCCACCAGTTTCCTCCATTTGGGTTAACAAATCCCGGTTTTTTGGTTGATAATTGTTATTGCCCCTATGGACCCATGGTACCTGTTTGATCCAGGCGTTTACAGGAGCTAGATGGGCATTCGGTGGAAGCTGAGAGTAACTTCGAGATCTTGCGCGCACAAAGGGCTCAGGCCCGTAAGGGCTTTAAGCAATTCAAGGACGGCGATTTGCTGCTGCAGCTGGCGGAGTTTTTGAATGGGATATAGGTTAGTCTGAAATTGTGGTACCCCGCAATTCCAATGGATTATGATCATGTTCCCCTTTAAAACCGCCATTTCGGGGTATCCCCTATTTTCAGACATGACAAACCCATATTTTAATGGGGTGTTGACATCATCGGTTCAGGTCAGTATTGGGCATACGAAAGCCCTGGAGATGAACATCCATAATTTACTAGGGTGCCTGATTTCTGATTCTGTTTGTTCAAGGTTTGTATTTTTAAGCTATTTGACAACATTGGTTCATTATTTCATGTTTAATTCATGCACCAAACCATATCAGACCTATAAACCTACCTGTGCCCGAGCCATGCCTTTCAGTTGTGTTTTTTTCTCCTCCGAAGCTACGCTAGAAACACATGGTCACGCTGGGAAGACAACAGACGACACATGGCTATAGTAACCTTTAGTATTTATCAATCCACATTCAAGGTATATAGTTCTAGTATATTTTGAGACATTCCCGAAGTGCAAAGGGTTGGATTTTTTTCCTGGGCGCCAGCCCTCCTAAGCCATCCTTGGGTCTACATTGCTCACCCGGCGCTTTCCAACGTTCGGCTTCTTCAACGGAGCTTGTTTTGCTTTGCCTATTATTTTTTTTGTTGTTCAGATATTGCGGCGAGCATGAGTAGCATGTTGACTCATTCGATCCATCACCAAAATCAAATCACTATATAGTTATATTCAAATCCCTGCCCCCCCAAAACCAAAATAGCTTGGGTTTATGGATGTTCATTCCCCCCAGTGGTGGTATTTTGTAGCTAATTTGATCCTTCCTGCAACGGGTCCTTCAGGATATTCGTGAGAACGAAGGTGTGGATGAAGACGATCCTTTGAATAGCACCTGGTCAGCATGGACGCTTAAGCTCCCCAATGGTTCCCCCCCAAGAGTAGAACCTAAGAAGGGTTGATGGGGGTTTAATGACTTCTTACAAAGGCTTTATTTGGTAGGTGGTATCAATTGTAGTTCTTCCTCCCCCTCCCTATTATTTCATAGACCAATCAAGGACCCTAAGTCATGAACAGATCCTATACTTAACCAGTCAACCAAGGGTTCCAGTTGTAAACATGTCTTGAAAGCCAAGCCACTTCTGAGTGGTGAAGCATCAGCGCCAGACTGAGCTTCAGAATGCTTGACTTACCATTTGTTTTCAAGTAAATGGTGCATGATTTTGTTTTATTCCAATTTTATTCCACAATTTCATAGATTCAAGGATTTGTGGATAAATTACATTTATAAATTATCCAATTCTTGATTTCACAGATTCAATTTATTACATCCCAAGGATTTGTGTCTCATATATCACATCCCGGGGATGTCTGTGGTTGGACCCGCGGACCCGAACTTGTGCCTTCGTCTAAGTACGATGAGTATCATCTCAGAACTATAACAACTATAATATCATCCAAATATATGCAACAACTACAGGAACTACTGGTATGTTTGGTGGGCACATTTCAGTTGGTAACATTTGAATTTACGTTCTTGGTGGCCGGTGGCCATGCCCTCTTTTATTTTACATATAGCTAAGGAAAATGGCCCAGTTGAATCGATGGTTGACTGGTTCGCCTCTTGTTTCCATGGCGATTTTCCATGACAAACTGTTGGTCAGTACCGGAGGGTAAGTGTAAGTTTATGCAAGTTCCCAAATCACATCACTTTGGTTATTAGAATTATTCATTATTTCCCATTCATTGATATGTTTCCTACAAAGACTAGTTATGCATATACCATTACACATGAGTTACATAAATTACATAATCAGTTTAGTTTTAGATCCCATTCATTGAAATTCTCCCTATGTATTAGCTATATCCCATAAATTCATGCCCGCGTTGCCTTTAAAGGGCCCACATGCACCTCCTATCGCAGGCATCGACGACGGCATCCGCCTGGAGCCGTTCAACATGCGCCGCGAGATGCGCGAAGGACACTTCGACGAGAGCGGCTTCTACGTCCTCAACAAGGTGAAGATGGGATCGTCCCGGATCATCCCGGTGGATCGTAAGTGGCTTATCCATATGAAGCCATAATATGTATATAGCCATAATATATATATATTATAAATGGTTCATTTATATATATATTATATGTGTATAATCACATGGAATCCAGGGATATTCCATTCAGGGCGATGTGACCATCCTATTTAGGAAGTGGTTAGGGTTTGGCTAAAGAAACACTTCAAAATGGAAGAAGGAAGACTAGTTACTAAGCGGGGTGATTCTCCAAGTAGGCCGGGGTGGAGTGCTGGATTCTCCAAGTAGGCCGGGGTGGAGTGCTGGTGAAATGGATGGTGAAATTGGATGGTTAATGGACAATGATGATGGTTAATCATGGTGCAATGGTGGTTTGAAGAAATGTTGGTAACTATTCTTCTCATGGCTAAATCATGTTGAAATGATGATGGTTTATAGTGGTGAAGAATGGCGAAATACTGGATTCGGATAGTGGTTGATGATTAATGGTTTTTTCATGAAGGAAAATTGTTATAATAATTGTTCAAAATATATATTATATAATATATATATAATATAAATTTGTGTTTATATTTAAATTTGTTAATACAGTAATGGTTGAATAATAGTTGATAACGGTTGAGTACCGGTGTGGAATGGACACCCCCCAGTTGTTGGGCATCTAGTGCTGCCAAATTAGAATGGTTGAGTTGCCCAGCTATCATACAGTACATAGGGTATCCACCACCTATATCAGCGATTTTGAGCAGTTGGTTTGTCTCTGAGACTGAGAAAATCGAAGATATCAATGCAAGATAGTACAAGTACCCGTTGCCATAGCATCTTATGATGCAATATAATTCACACTTATAACATGTGGATAAGTCCATGGTTGCATCAAGTGTATGGACGTGAGAGTTCCGCCTTCGATATCCTTCGATGAACCACTGCATCGGAGAGCAACATGGACGATTGAAACTGATATGAAATGAACATGCGACTTTGGGGAGCCTTTGGGGAGCCTTTGGGGAGCCTTTGGGGGAAAGATGTTGTGGCCATCGAAGAGACTGTGGAGAAGTATGTTAAAGTATTGTTGATGATTGAAGGAGTGATCTGGACCTTGACTATGGTGCCTTTGGAGCACATCTACATGCAATGGCACCCAAGGTTTTTGACTGGATGGTGTTTTTTCTTTTTGATCAATAATATAGTGTCGTTCAGTTTCAATTGGTATGAGGATCCATGGATTTACTTCACCCAGAGAATGGCCGTAGGAAAATGCACCCGTGATGCAACACCTCTGCAGGACGAAGAAAAGAAGGTCACGGATGCATGGCAACTTGGTGGCAGGTTGGAGGTGGTCGGAGGCCATCAGATTTGCAAAATCGCCTGTCTTTTATATTGTTCAACCCATGGCCCATATCCATAACATTCCATAACCATCCATAACCATCCATAACCCCAGGAATATGATTAAACATCTATTTTTTTCCGACTTTCCAAGAAATCGATGCAGAAATTCGAGCCTCTAGCTGCGACACACGTTGGTTTATGTTCACCCAGCAACTCTGAATATTAGTGTCAACCTCAGACGGGCGCTCCAATACTTCTCTTATCTTCTTTTTCAACCAGCTAAATCAAACTGTACCAAGGCCGAATTTCCTGTGTAGATGATTATATTTGATTATTACCCACACATTTCCCACAAGAAACCTCAACAGTTCATAAATGTTCGTAACATTTCCATATCCACAGCCGCTTTTCATGACATGTCATGACCCCCATCCAGTCGTATCCCATGACCTCAGGTTGGACACGGTGGACCAGGCGGAGCGCACGGCCACCTTCATGGCGGCGGAGAAGCAGAACCAGGCCTCGACCAAGGCGCAGAGCACCATCTCGGCGATGGCCAAAAATCTGGGGCCCGACTCGGAGGGCGAGGACGAAGAGGTGTGGGAAGATGGATGATGGGAAGAGTTGGAGAAATCTGAGCTGGGGAAATAGCTGGGGGAGATGATGGGGAAATCAGGTCTGGTTTTTTGAAGTGAGATTGGAGAAATGACTATAGTACTATAGATACTATTGCAACGGAAGATGTGAATCCATTGCAAATCGCTTTGGGGTTGACACATGGAAGCGAGATGGTGAGATGGTGAAACCTAAGGGATTTCAGCAGAATGTTTGAAATAAGCCGATATCATATCAATCCCCGAGGATTTCTACAAGTCTCTGACGATACCCGCTGTTGGACTTTGCAGCATTGACAGGACAAAGATGACAAGGACGAGGAGGACGAAGAGGAGAAGAAAAAGGCAGAAGAGGCGGCAAAGGCCCAAGAAGAGGAGCAGGAGAAAGACAAAGAAGCAGAAGAAAGCAGCATCATCACCATGTTGGAGGAGCTCGTTTCCTTTTGGCTGAATTGGGGTTGCGAATGTTTTTTGGGGGAGTCTGACCGCCTGACCTATTTGTAACTGTTTGGAAACAATTTAATACTTTTTTGTTTGTGAATGTGAGGTGACTTGCTACATCCATATGCATGTGCTATGGTCAGAAAAATGGTGGGATCCCCTGATAGTGGGAAGACCACACCCCATGCCTTCAGTATGGGCTGTAAAGTTCCACATGTCGGACCAAAGCACTGGCCGCCGGATCCAGACTGTTTCTTTCAGGGCCCCTATCCCTATATAGGTCGGCTTGGATTGGAATCATTATTTTGTGAAATAATGTGAATCTTGGAAACAGAGGGAGAGAGAGAGAGAGAGCCTCTAGACTCCAGCTATAGCAAAGAGGCTCAATGAAACTCACACCAACTGTGCTTGGATGATTTATTGAATTCCTTACATTGACCCCTCAGAAAACCACCCACTCACACACAGGATAGATACTGTAATGAAAGATAGTGGAATGGCATTGGTCCATGTATGTGATATATACAGTACACATCAGCACCATGGATGTTACTTACATGGGCTGTGTATTAGTTAAATGGTGGGTAGCTGTGCAACCTATGAAACATACAGGTGATATTCCCCTGGTAAGGTGCTGCGAGAATATTTGCCTGAAACTCTGAAACCCAGACAGCATCTATATCTTTGATGGTTGACCCCCATTGTGTTGTGTCTAAACCTCCAAAATAAGGGTCTTTGGCAGTCTTTGGGGTTATTTAGATAGATAGATAGGTAGGCAGGTAGGTAGATAGACAGACAGACAGACAGATAGACAGATAGCCAGATAGACAGATGAACATCCATAAATCCCAGTGATTTTGATGTGAACAGTTTCACAATTTTCGGGGTTTGATCAATCCATCCATTGGTACTGCCCAGGTTTCCTTCCTGCAGCCCCTAGAGACTCCAGCCATGGCCCTGTCTCGTGTGCGCCGCGGCACGCAGCCCAAGACAGAGCCGGCGCTGAAGACCCGCGCGCGGCTGCGGCAGAACCGTGCCGAAGTGGCACGAGTTGCGGTCACAGCGCAGGAGTTGTGGGCCGGTTCTTTGTGGATTTCATGGCGAGAATGATGGGAATTCATGAGTTGACCAGCAAGAAGGGTGCTTGATCACGTTTGATGTTGTTTTGACTATAGCAGTGGTGAATTTTTTATATCAAAAAAATGCAGATGCAACATGGGATGCCTTCTGGTAGTTATGTCAGTTTTCTATGGAGAATCAAGATGTTGACTAGGAACATCATCGAACTAAACGCACAAATTTCCATAGCTATGTCAAACAACCAGAGGGTACTGATAGGAATTCATAAATTTACCAAAGAAATGAACATTTTTGCGCGGCATTGTAGGTTCTAACTTCTGTGGTTTTTGGTAGTATGACACCCCGTCGGATGCTCCTTGCCCTAGAGTGATATAAACCGGTAATGGAGTCTATTTTCCTGTCAATCAAGCACTTGATTTCTTATGTCCATGTGTTTGATTACCAAAAGAGTGCCCACTGGATTATGCCACGATTACATAGTTTATATACCATTGATGGCCCCATTTTGGAGGCTATATATATATAGTACCATTAATCTTGAAATGGATTCTTAATGTACGGTATCTGACCATATCCCGATTTTGTGGCCCCACTGGTACCAGGAGACCGACGCGGATCGCAAACCCAAGAGGAAGAAATTAAATGAGTGGGGTGTCTATGAGGACGGCTCCTGAGAACAGACATCGATTATAGCTGTTTTTTGAGATGTTATAACCATCCAATCGAAGACTTCGAAGATGAAGTTTTCGAAGATGGGAGTTGAAACAACACGCAGGGTGGTGCCCGAGTTGTAAACTTGGCAAACATTAGCCATTTAGGTGACTAGCTGTGGCCATTTTCAATCAGCATATCACCTTATTCCAGTAGCACCTGGAGGTTTCGGGTCTTCCACCTGGATGAGTTCTCCAGACCACATACGTTTGCAGAATGGATGCAACTCACAGTTCGGACAACTGACTAAATATAGACGTGGATCATTGAACGCTGAAACAACACATGACATATTAATGTATAAAACCTATTAGCAGGTAGTAAGTAATAACATTGTCTCCATAGAAATTGAGGTATACCAGGTATTGGCAGTTCCCAAACGAACTCATTCATTTTTGCCAAGCTTTGCTCCAGGAAGGTGCTGAAAAGGAAGCAGCAGCGCCAAGATCGATCCTGATGGAGGAGTCCCAACCACCGCCCACTTGTGTTTGTTATGGGCTCAACTATCAATAAGCCACTGGTTGCTAAATGTTTGATATCAGTGTGGTTGATCATTGTTCTTTTGTATGCCCTATTCACATCTATTCACCTTCTCGCTTTGTGTCGGCGAACACTTGGTCATACACCAACCATCGATTTCAAGTTGGTATGTCGATTCATTTTCTGGATCATGAATCAACCATAAAACTGAGGTGCCTAATTTTCATGGATTTCCGTCCAAGTGATTCTCACGAGATTATTGACATGATTGTGGATTGTTTTGGGAGTTGAAACCACACATGAGATCTTGAACTGTTTTCTATACTTATATTATATTGAAACGTGCAAATGTATGTGCGCATGTAAATATATAGATAATATGATGTACATATGTATATATATAATATGTTGTATATAATTATTCATATATACGAACAGCACGGACATATGTTATATTTATTATGTTACACACATATACATTATTTATACATATAGATATATGTATTGATCAATCGATGGCTACAGATATATAAATCACCTCCCCAACGGCCTCAGCAGCTTCAGCCGCTGCAGCAACCCCACAGGAAGGGACCTCACCCCCCGCCACCGTGGATACCGTGGACACAACGACAGCGGCCGCTCCTGCCACAACGACCGCCCCAAGCAGCGAGACGGTCAATACGGCACCTGTAGTTGCGGCCGGAGAAACATGGCGTTGTTGGGGGATGCTTTGGGGATGAATCGTGGGTTTCAATACTGGCAGAAAAAAACAAGTTACAAGTGGATTTCACCATCAACAATGGTAATTTAAACTTAAACACTATCACCAGGATCCATGGAAGATTTTAAGTATCGACCACTATCAACAAGGGCATAAGTTAACTGAGAAAATTAACAGGGCCGTTCACTACTATACAATATTATTGATAAAAGTATATTTGTCTAAGTTGGGATTCTTCTAGCAACACATTTCTTGCAGGTTGTCTATGGGCTAAGAGTCGTGCCACTTCATCCCAATATGATTTGCAGATTGTTACAGGCTAACCCCCCTAGACCACCCCCGCCCAAATAAATAAATTTTTAAATAACATGGAAATAATAATGAAATATGAACATAAACCTTGAAATAACATGGACAGATAAGAATAACCTGGAAAACAACTTTAATTACAGAATACAGGCATGATACTGTAGATTGGGGGAAAAACACTTGAGGGTTATTCTTTGGCAGTGTGTCAGCCAGCAGGCTCCTCACAGTTGACATTTTTTCTTATACATGCACCGTAGACAAAACAATGTGTGCAAATATGCACATGCTCAAGTATATGTGCCTGAATCAACCCAGGAAAATTCCCCATGTATAGATTTCCCACCTCTCTAAACCTTCATTTTGGGGAAGTCCCCCATTTTCTTCATATGGAAGTTTCCTAAAATGGGGGTATCCAGGCATCATCCATTTCTAGATCGGATTTTCCACTATAAACCATCCAGCTATTGGGGATCCCCCATGGAAACCTCCATATGACCATTAATATCCCATTAAATGCCATTAAATAACCATTAAATAACAATTAAATAAAAATGAAATAACAATTAAATAACAATTTTGCCTCGTTTCCCTCGTGCTAAGGACGAGGTCAACAGTGCGGAACCGGAGTTGGCCAAGGCCGAGGCGGCGCGCGCGGCCGCAGCGGCGGCAGTGAAGGCCGAACAGCCGCTTGGATGATCAGCGGAAACTCCGGGTGGATAGTAGCTGTAGTTGTTTCTTCTAAACATTGAGAAATAGAAAGAGAGAGAACTATTGTAAAACAATGTATAATATATATATATATATACACACAGTCAGTAATTAATTAATTATCACACACACACACACACCCCTATATATAGATATATGCACGCGTATTTATACCAACGCCACGAGGGATAAAAACACAAATCAGGATACCAAAGACGAGCTTTGATATATGGTACAGTAAGCAAATGTGTAACTAATGAAATCCCTTAACTCTTAAATGTATTCGGTTCCGACCCAGTTACTATAAACATGTAGAATGGGCCGTAAACCATCCAGGTTTACTCAATGACTTACCATGAGCGGGCCATTGCATCGAGCACAGCCCCCAAAAAATGTTTGTTATTGGGTTTCATTCCAAACATTGTGAAAACTTCTCCTCAAACCATGTTGTTGGATTAGCAAATTTTCTTGGAGCGGAAACTGCCATGACAATGTGTGGAGGTCTTATATGTTGATTCTTGTACCAGGAGGGGTTGTTATTTTTATTTTTATTGTTTTTAACCTCTGGTAAACTAACATAACTATGGAAAATCACCATTTTGAATTGGTAAATCAACTATAAATGGCAATTGTCAATAGCTATGTTAGATTACCAGAGGGTAATATTTATATCACCATCCTCGGCTTTTGATTGGTTGAAACCATTTTTTGGCGGATGTTATACCTCGGTGTGCATCACAGGTATCGGTTCAAGTGGGTAATAAACCATCATGAACAATCCAGTTCGAGTGGAATATTTAGAGTCATAATTGTATCGGTTCTATATTTTAATATGGGTTTCACACCACTTGCATCCACTTGCTAACCCAGGGTTTCAAACTGATTACATCCATTTATTGGATTTGAAACCATGTAGTTGGGATCCACATCGAATTAGTATAATCTACATGTTATTTTCCAATTATGTTCTGTTGGCATGCTTGATTGTAGTGTTTCCAACAGGCAACAAATAATGTTCCGTTGGTTATAGTGTTATACGTGCGCAGTGTGTATATATATACACACACTATTCGGATGTGCTTCCATGTTAAGTGGAATATTCCGTTGTAACTGGACAATATGGATACCGTGTTTGTTCGTTTTACATGAGTGATATACCCGATTTCGGTGGTAGCCCAGTTATAAGTTGGTCCGTTAGTTGACCTATATGCTCCCCTCCCCTGCTCAGGTTGCAGGCGGCTGAGCGCGCCAAGGAACAGGCTCAGAGCAGTAGTGTCACGTCGCCACAAGCGGTGGCCGATGCCTGGCAAGGTGTGTTTTGGGTCACGGTGAGAGATGAACATGGGAACTTTGACCATGAACAAACCTGGAATTTTCTCGGAACTTGTGGGATTTTAATGGGATTTCATGGAAAAATCGTGATTTCAGCGACTGAATCATGAATCATCAAGGTAGGGAAACAAGCAAACAGACAGACCAACTTCCGTACTAAACCTAGCTGTTGACACCATGTAGGAACTGAAAAACACACTGGACAGTGAAGTTGCGACTTAACCATTCAAAGCTGATCATCTTTATTTATATATATATGATGATGATGATTGATGGATACGCCGGGAAGTGGCAAGGTTTAGTCCAAACTCACTAGACTATCAGCAATTCTTGTCTTGTGCTTTGGATGTTTACGGGACCATCATTTGATTTTGATAGCATGATCATGAGATTCATTTGATCCTAATTTCAACATTATGGATTAACCCAGTGGCCAGAAGCCTTAATGGAGGACCGTGTGGCCGTGGCATTACAGTGCACATAAGACAGTAATTAGATGCAGTTCCAAGCCACTACCGCTAGTCCAGATGGCATTAACAGTTGACGTGATATCCATCGTTTAGTATCCTAGCTTTGGGGTTGAACATGGACACTGTATACATCATGATGTGATGATTGAATAGAAACCCTATATCATCTATATCCGATGGTTGAATCCACATTGTTAGTTTTTGTTGGTTACATCTACATTGGTCTTGGTCAGCTTACGTTAATTTGACTTATTTCTTGGTTAAACATAGTTAAACATTGTTAAATCCACATTGTTTCATGGCAAAACTGCCATGTTTGATGGCTACTTCCACATTTTTGTTGGTCAAATTATATAAGTCCACAATATGTTTGGTGAAACCGACATCTATATACATCTTTCTTGGTTAAATCCACATGTTTTCATAGCTAAAACACCATGTTTGATTCATTGGTCTTCACCCAGGAAGCTGCTGCCCGGGCGGCAGAGGATGAACGGGCGGCAGCTGAGGCGGCCAAGGCCTTCGCTGCGGAAATGCTGCGCGGCAAAAGTCGTCGGGAGCGTGGCGATCTGGAGCTGTGGAATTGACCATGTTCATGGGATATTGAGGGAAAATGTGGATAGAATGGGAAAAAGAGGAATACAATGGGATATAATGGGATTTCAACCATTGACAATGGGGATATTGGAAAAAAAGGAATATCATGGGATATAGTGGGAAAACATAGAAACAAACATGTGGACAAAACCATGGGTAAAGATAGGAAAGTGATTGACAAATGGTGGGTATGATAGTTAGATAGCTTACAGATGTTTAAAAAGTTTACAGGAGGCTGCCCTTTGGTAATCATCGTGGGAACTGTGAACATCCAATCGCAATGGAGGTTTTCTTGTGAAAGCCAATGCGGGATGTTCCATTGCCATGTTTGATAACCAGAGGGTACTGGGATTTACCCTCTGATAAACTAACATAGCTATTGAAAATGGACATAGAAATAGTGGATTTTCCCATGAAAAATGGTGATTTTCCATAGCTATGTTAGTTTACCAGAGGGTAATGAGGATATAAAATAGTAAGGAATGAGGATAGTCATTAGCAGTTGTAAGAGACCCATTCCCAGCTGCCACCCTGCCACCCATCCTACAGAAAATTGATATCTCATCATTGATGCCACAGTTCCCAACCGCTGGATGTGTGGAGAAACATCACACCTAATCAGATTGTAAAGTCCAAATTAAGCCGGAGCTTTGCGCCATGTTCATTGCTTATCGGCCCATGTTTGCTGCTTCAAATCCCACTAAAGTCGCTTATTCCGATTTCCCAGCTATGCCAATTTGCACAAGGTGGTGCCCCTCCCCAATTAATTATGTTTGCTAGTTTATATATATATATATGTATATGTATATTTATATATATATACATAATTGCTTTAAAAAAAATCACAAAAGCCAGCAGTTAACCTACTTAGCTTCGCCAACTTAGCTAACCTAACTAAGTGGCGTCACATAGGTGTGTATGAGAATGAGGTACACTTCCAAAATGACATTTTGAATAAACAAAATGATGATAAACCACCAGCTTTAGGGATACCATATTTGCAGACCAAGCCCCATTTGCACCATGGGGACACCGTTTCCGCGCTCAGGAAGATGTCGCGCAACATTGCGCGGGCGCTGGTGCCGGAGCAGGGGCCGGAAGCGGCGGCCATTGTGAATTTGAACTCAGAGGAGACCAGCGCCTTGGAGGATCATCGGGCTCCTTCACCCAGGGCACCCAGGGGCCAAGCCACTTGGAGGACTTAAAAAATAGCAGGATGACCAGCCACTTACGAAGTCTGATGATACTGAAAGTGATGAAGTTATAACAAAAACAAGGATTTATGGCGCTAGAACAGTGGTTCTGAGCAAACAAGGAAGTAGCGGGAGAATTGCAGCTGGATGGGGGTTGAAACAGCACAGCTTTTCTTCTCTTCAACCAATAGAAATTGGGGATTGAACCCACAATACCGGGGACTACTGCAACAAGGGAAACAACAAATTATATGATAAACTGATAAACATTGACAAACCAAATTAGGGATGAACCGTAAAGATGATCAACAACAGTGAGATGTGGATTTCACTGGCAGAAACCAGAAGTCACAGTCACCTCAAATCACCTTTAGTCTCAGCAGTTAGTGGGAAACCAAGAGTAGCTTCAATTAGGTTTGGGATTCAATTTGTTCCAAACCATCCGTGGGGATTGACAGAGGATTGGTGCTGGAAGTAATCAGTCATGCCAACGCGAAGATGTATAGGTTGTCCAAGCCATGTTCTGGTGACCATATTCAAAGCCGCGATTCAAGTGATTTCTGGTACATTTGTCAGTCTTTTGAAAACTATACGAGTTTGTTTCCAGGAAACATGTCTTCTCTTGCAATCTGAGAGGAAAACGGAAATATCAATTCCACCAGGGCATTTGCAATTTGTAGGCTTAAGATTAGCCATGTGAGATTGGTAGAGGGTAACTGGTACCATGGGCCTCGCCCTATGGGCAAAATCAAGGTTTTTCGTCGAAAACCTTGTTTTTTACTTTGTAACCTGTAGTTTGAGGGGCTCGTCAAATGCACTGCAAAAACCAGGTTTTTGAGCAATCCCAGGCCGCTACGAACTTCAAAACAGAAATTGTGTTGACTGGCGCAACACTGGAACCTAGTACCATGTGGGGCATGTTTGTATCAGTTCTGCGTTCTTAAACAGCATGGCCACATTTTCATACATTTTCCTCTTTTCATCCACGTGATGTTTCAAAGAAACAACTTCAGATGACAGGAGCAGGCATTAAGAGAGACATTCGCGGCCTAGGATTGTTGCACCCTCAAGGAAAACCATATAAGAGAAACAAATCCACCCCCATGCATATCCCTGCCAATTGCATTTCCTTTTTTTGTTCACTGTTCCCGCACATGTTCAAAATGATTCCATTCTTGGGATGATGTCGCCGGGCTGTCGTTAAACTTGAAAACAAAGGCCTAAAATAGATTGCAAAACCATGTTCCTGAAGTGTGGCTATGGTGCTCGGTTGGCCACCATAAGAGAGATATTGTGTGTTGGCTTTCTGTAGCGTGAGCTTGTCATGCAAGCGCTCCAGGTTGGGGAGTTGCCTTACAAAGGGCACAGCTCGGTCTTTAGCCAGTATAGGGTCGAAAGAATCTTATGTAGTCCTGAACCACTTTAGCGCTGGGGTAGAATTAGCAATGACTGTGTGGGCAAGTAACATCAGATTTTTCAGGAAATGACATTGTCACCACAAGATGCGCGGATTGCCGGTTGGAGTTCCACTCGACAGTACAGAAAGCCCTCAAAGATCTACTCACATAATTGGTGCAGACCTTGCCTGTTTTACTACAATACTACAAGATGCTACAACTGTTTTTACTGCGTGTAGATGGATCCGCCCGCTGAGTCTGTTGACCGACCAACGGAAGAATCAAACATGACATGACATGATTCGTGGATGGATGCCCACGTAGAGGAAATTGGAAGGTAAACAGAAACTGATCTACATGGCAACCGTGAGTAAGACATAGTAAGACCACAATGGAGGAGATGGAAGAGCATTTCTTTCAATGAAATGCCTACATGCAGATCTTGTGAAGTATCAGCGCAGTCTCCTCCCTCTATTTGATTTCCCAGTCCTAGCAGGGATGCCACAATGCATTTGGTGGCTGTCTGCTCTTAGATGACATGTTCAAAAACCAGGTTTTTGGGTGTAGAAAACCCGTAAATGAACCCATAGGCGTAGAAAACCCGTAAAATCCCCGTAGAAAACCCGTAGAAAATTACGTAGTTCACCCGTAGGGCAAGAGTGTCCTTGCCAACAGCCTTTTCAACCAAAAATTGCATTGCTGGTGTTGCGATGTTAGTCTCCTGAGTAGGGTGAAAATTCCTGATGCAAACTTGCAAGAACGTAAAAGTCAGTGCATGCTGGCATGCTGAGTCTAATTTGATCTTATTGGAGGCCTCCATGGAATGCCAACTTTATTTACAAAACGCAGACATGAAACGTGGACAGGTTAATGCATGCAACAGTTTTCCTCTAAGTAGAAAGCCAAGCATTGATTCTATTTGATTCTTGCAGGTTTTGAGGTTTTTCAATCACTAAGTAGCTTACACGTGTTAAGTTACGATTTATTGTCTGCATTGGCGCAATTCCTACTGAGCTCCCAGTACAAACCTAAAGCTGGAAATAAGCGGCTTGAATATGAAGGTTGGGTCCGAGCCAGTAAAAAATCTGCAAACAGAATTTGAGTATGCCGGAAGAATCGCACGGAAGACAGCTCCAGTAGGGAAACTGGCACGAGTATGTGCCTTAAGAGTACATCTTTGAGGGCTTTCTGTACTGCCGAGTGGAACTCCAACCGGCAATCCGCGCATCTTGTGGTGACAATGTCATTTCCTGAAAAATCTGATGTTACTTGCCCACACAGTCATTGCTAATTCTATCCCAGCGCTAAAGTGGTTCAGGACTACATAAGATTCTTTCGACCCTCTACTGGCTAAAGACCGAGCTGTGCCCTTTGTAAGGCAACTCCCCAACCTGGAGCGCTTGCATGACAAGCTCACACTACAGAAAGCCAACACACAATATCTCTCTTATGGTGGCCAACCGAGCACCATAGCCACACTTCAGGAACATGGTTTTGCAATCTATTTTAGGCCTTTGTTTTCAAATTTAACGACAGCCCGGCGACATCATCACAAAAAAGGAATCATTTTGAACGTTTGAAAACAGTATATAGAATAAAGACATATTTAATTGCACGCTGAAGCGGATGAAAAAAACATAATGAGTTCTGTCTTTAAGTTGACTTACCATGTGGTACAATTACAAAATCTAAAAGGGACAACAACACATACCACTGGTCAATCTTTCTAAAATTGGTATCTCCAAAAACCAGGTTTTTGCATGGCATTTATTCATAACCCGAAAAATCATGGTTTTAAGATACAACCTTGATTTTTCATGGTTTTGGCGGCCCCTGGTAGAAACAACAACTGCAACATTGTCAGTTCGCCAGAGCATATTCTTCATTTTTCTTGAAGATCCACGCCCCTACGCCCGAAAAAGTCGAAGTCCAATGAGTGTTGATCATTTCGCCATGGCCTGTGATTAAAACACATTAAAGAGACATTCTTGTAGTTGATATCACCAGTTTCCTTGGACACTTGCCTTCTTGATCGACCCCTGGCTAGTTTGTTGTGGTCTTTTTTCGGACAGCTTAGCCTCAACGCCATTGCTGTTTGGACCTGTTTGGTGTCTTATCAAGTTCCAACATGTTTTTCCTTTCAAATGCTAGGTCATGTCGTTCAGTTGGAACTACCACTGTATAGAGCCCTTCACAGCTTTAAACTGGCTTATAACATCCTGGTTGCAATTTCCTCTGCAGAATCAGGGGTCCCAGCACCCCCCCCAAATTGCAAGGGGAATCTTATAACCTCATTAAAGCCCTAGTTGCAGCAGTTATAATTAATCCCATTTCTAACTGTTTCTTGTGCCTTCCGCTGCAACAGTCGCCACGGATCCGGTTACCGGTTTCCCCAGGGGACGTGCGAGAGAAGGCCATGCCGAAGGCCCCGACACGGTGTCTACCCATACCTTGAGTACTTCTACCATTTTGTTGGGTGTGTATTTGGAGGGTCTAGGCATAGTGAATTAAAAAAGCACTTCTTTGCGGAAAGTGCAACAATGTACAAATGAATTTAAAACAATAAACAAAAATGCAACTTTGGACCGCGTGTAGCAGCATGTTTTTTGCAACGTGCATGCGTGGCTATGCGTGGCTATATAGCTCAAAACTGTTGACCCAGTGGGCCGCCCTATTTAATTAAAAAGCATTCAGATGAATATACATATATAATTATATATATAAGCTTATATGGCAACCTAAATTGGTGTAAACCAGAATACCCCGTGACGCAGCTATGCCGCCTCGCAGGCACCTGAGGAGCAGCCAGCAGACGGGCCACCACGGCCTGATGGCAAGCGCCAGAAGGTGCGATCTTTTTAACCCTCTGGTAAACTAACTCTGGTAAACTAACATAGCTATTGAAAATGGCAATGTATAGTGGATTTACCCATTAAAAATTGTGATTTTCCATAGTTATGTTAGTTTACCAGAGGGTATTGGTACAATTGTGCCATGTTCTATGGATGGGCTTAAGGTAAAATCGAAACGGAAAAAACCCTCGATTTTCCCATGAGAGATGGGGGGGTTCTGGTTAACATTTCACCTTAAACCGATCCATTCACATGTGGGGGTACCCTATGGAAAATTGATGCTATGGTTTGTCACATCTGGTTCTATATATATATATAACATATATTAATATATATATATATATTGTAGAACCCCCGTTTGGCTTAAGACTGCTTTTACCGTTTTGGTGCAGGAGGGGGGGGTATTGGTGCACGGCTGGTGCGCGGAAAAGGAAAATAGGGGCAAGGGTGGGTCTGGGAAGGGAAAAATAGGTGCGGGAGTGGGTTCTTGCCAATCAGGATCCCGTCGGGACCCAGTCGGGCACCAATTTTTGCATTTTTGGGCACCGCTTTTGCCCAGTCGGGATCCAGTCGGGATCCAGTCGGGATCCAGTCGGGATCCAATGTCGGGAGGCAGCCAAATTCATAAAAAATAGCATTTTTGCAGTGTTTTTGCATGTTTTTCGGTGATTTTGGCTGCTTCCCGACAGGTCCAAACGTGGTGCCAAAAATTCGAAAATTGGTGCCCGACTGGATCCCGACTGGATCCCGACTGGATCCCGACTGGCCAAAAGCGGTGCCCAAAAATGCAAAAATTGGTGCCCGATTGGGTCCCGACTGGGTCCCGACTGGGTCCCGACTGGATCCCGACCCGGTTTCTTCAAAAAAACACCTATTTCCTTAAATTTGAGCACCTATTTTTGAAATTTTAGCACCTTGCCGTGCACCACCCCTTCCCTCCGTTTCCCCCTCCGGACCCCCCCCCCCACCAGTCTTAAGCCAAACACGGGCTTGGCAATATATATATATATATATGTATATATTATAATATATATATATATTAATATATATATATATTATATATAATATATACATATATATATATATTAAACATCGAACATCATCGGACTAAATGGCCATTGTCGATGGCTAGGTCAAATGACCGGTGTTGGATCCATGTTCCCATGTAATGAGTAACTTTGGACAGGTTGGTTTTGATGAAAGGGGTTCTATTGTAGGTCTTCAGCAGGTTGATATTCTTCCCAAGATTTCCCAAGCACTGCGAATTTTCGAAGTTTACAAGTCAAACTTCCGATATAGATAGATGAAACGGCAGAGGTGGGAAGAGGCAAAGAAGGGAAAGAGTCAGAAGAGAAAGAGTCAGTGCTCCTATAGTTTCCTATCTTCGAAACTTCCGCCACCGCCTTGTGCGATACTACTACTGGCCAGAAACCGAAGATGCGCATTTTCATGCATGTTCCATTGCTGCGTTAAATCATTTCTTGGAGATGTCATTTTGATGCAATTTTTAGTTCCATAGTTTGAACGAATTCCGCCGGTGTAACTATCAGGATGATATGAGAGTGAATCTATTTTCGGAATGTGAAAATGCCCAGTTCCTATCCATTTAATGAAGGCAGTCTTGGTGCGGAATCATATGACCGCATTTTTTATTGCAATCTGCCTATGAATCTTTTCTGTACCATCCATTTTTTTGGATCATTTTGAACTGACAATGAGTGACCAATATCTTGGACCTGGACGAATTCCAAGATTCTGCCTGACACAACCACAGAAGTGGAAGATGCTTCCCAAACCACTGGGACTATCATTTTCATCTAATTTCACTTCCATCATGCCATTATTACATAATCGCATTCGCGATTTTTATATTGAATTTTGCAAAAAATGGACCTGACCCGCATTCACTAGATCCAGTAATATCAATACTAAATTTAACTTGAGAGTTTCTAGGGAGGTATTTACTATTCGGAGGTTTCGGCGTTCAACCGGGTTCAACTAGTGACAAATTTTCCCACACACTGCCGGATCCGGCAGATCAGCCACACGGACGCGGAACTGGAAAAACGTGAGAAGATCAATCGCCTCACGGCGTCTCGGTCGCATGTGTGGGGCTTTGACATCAGCCTCGCCTTGGAACCATTTCTTGAATCACAATCTGTAGCAGTGAAAAAATGTCCCTTTAAATTGCCGTGTGTAGACACTGGCAATCAAACGTGGCAATGGAAATTGCTCCATTTATAGATGAGTTGTCCCTTTAAAACCCATTCAGTGGGAAGTTTTCCAGCCACGTTTCATGACACCAATGGCATTCAGTGGCAGGACCTCTGCGACCGACTGCTGGAGCGCGGCGTCTTGGTCTACGACTCCGCCAGGGAGCTCTTGGCTATCGATGTGCGGCAGCGCAAGGAACAGCTGGCTACGGAGGACCGCCATGAAACCTGGCAAATGGTGGATGTTTGGGGGATCTCAGTTATGAAAAATGGAATATCATTGGGCAAAATCCGCACTGGTTCACTCCCATTTTTGCTGGGTAACTCCAAAATTGGGCAGGTTATGGCCACCTCGCAACTGCGCTTGCGGAGAAAACAACAATAAAGGTACAAACAAGAGGCTTCTTTTTACTGGGATGGCAATGGTGATAGAATATACGCTTAGGATATTCTAGGATATATGATTAAGCAATGAGCCACCAAAAAGATATATAAGATATGGGGAGTACTTAAAATCAGGGATCCCCAAGACACCACGGGTTTCAATACTAAATCATGGTCATGGGGTCTTTTCCCATGACCATGGGAACCTCCAGTTAATTTTGTTGGCTTATAAACCCATTAACTAAAGAATGTTATAGATACATCTACCATAAACCATAGTTATAAATATGGATACATATATATATATATATACACACCATAAGTTATATTATATATATAGAGTTATTATTACAAATTCAACTTTCTCCCCTTGCCATGTCTCATCACGTCCAGTCCGCCGATGGCTCCGGCCTCTCGAGCTCGCCGCCGGCCGCAGCAACAGCGGCAACAGCAGCCGCGCCCGTGGCGACCGAACCGGTGGAAGCAAAGGCGAAAGCGCAACCGGCGGTGCTGTACACCAACAAACGTGGCTTGACCCAAGAGACATGCCAAGCACTGTGGTTTGATGGTTCAGTGGGACATTTGGCAAATGCAATAATTTCCGGCAGCTTTGTGCCGTTGTGGCGCAGTCTGAATTTTTGGGGCGCAAAATGGGCCGGGGTCCCTTGATGTCCCTTGAATTGTGCCTTGATGAAGAACACCCCATTTCTCCACACTAGCTAGTTGCTCACCAATGTTCACCATTTCAAATCTTCACTGTCCCTTTCACTGTAAAACCCTGGCCCAACATATTCCCAGATTTGGCAGGGAAATGTTGCAGACCCCCCCAACATATTCCTTTGTTCCGATGTCCCTTTCTGCTGGTAAGATTAACCAATTTTAGCTGCCTCAATGCCGTTCTATTTCTTGAAACGCATTCTTTTGTTGGTTGAGATGGTTAAAATGACCCGGATCGTCCATAAACATTCACTATACTGTAATTCCCTTTTGCTGATGATGGTAGATCCCGTTTTAAAAAATAATCTTGTTGTCGTAGTTGACACTTCCCCCCCTAAGTGGACCCCCCAAACACAAGCCAAACCCAGGCTTCAAAGCCAGCGATGGCAGTGCGGCCGTGACGGAAGTCACAGGGACTGCTGTACCTTGATTCTATGGGATTCAACGGATTTATTTTGGGATTGGAATGGAATTTAATCACCAAGCAATTGAAATTGTGGAACAATGTTGGTGAATGTCATGTTGGCGAATTACTTTGAAAGATAAATTGCATATTTTTTTCAAGTGTTTTTTTCCGGCTCTTGGATGTTGTAATTATATATATATATGTGCATATACTGATGTAAAAAGAGAAATGGTGGTTAGGAAAAGTATCTACCCGAAAAATCACAGGGTTGGCCCCAGTTTTAGGTTGGTTTGTAAACCCCATTAATTGCACATATTAATCATATACCATAAACTGCAATAAATCTCCGTTATTGAAATTATAATATACATATACATATATATATATATTATCTTGCACATTGATTCCGGTAGAATAGGTGTGATACACCATGGGGGGAACGGCTACAGGGCCTTTTCGACTTTGCAAGGCAAGTGATGGGGCCAACACAGGAACTGCAGCTGCAACTTGGTGTTTGAAGGTATCCACCTGATTTGTTCATTACTCTCTGGTAATTTAACATAGCTATTGGATGCTATTGGAAATTGACCATAGAAATAGTTGATTTACCCAGTAAAAATGGTGATTTTCTATAGCTATGTTATTAATTTACCAAGGGTATATGTCAAAACAGTTGTTGTTTTTGTTTCTCCCTCTCTCTACGTAGAGTTACTCGAATACATAACATGTATTTATATACACATCGAGAGAGAGCGAGAGAGCCCACATGATGTTAAATCCCCAAGATGACTTTCAATCCACATGTGTTTCTATATTTTTGCAATGTTCGATGGCAACCCCTTTTGTTCAAAGACGGGCTTTGGTCCGCAATGGACCGAGCCTTGGAAGAATGTGAAATCGGTAGAGAATATGAGAGATATCATGATACCACACGCACCACACACACATATATATATAATATGTATAAATACATTATATATATGTACACATATAGCATGATGATTTATATATATATATATATATGACTTAATTAAATGGGTATATATATAATATGATTGTTGATAATAATGATTGATGCTGTTGTCCAAGTCACAGTTCCAATTTCTTGCTCTTTTGGGATTTCCTGTCTTTTCCAGCACATCCAGCTGATCAGTTTCCTAACAGCGATACTGTGACAGTGCAGTAAGATGCTCTGAGAACTGCTGGTCAAGTGTTTTATGTATGAAATCATGACTGCCCAATATTTATATATATATACATAATATTATATTTACATATTTATTTAGTTGTCATCAATATGTGTATTTTCATATGTACCAACACCACCATTTTATGTCGGGAAATCTACCTATATGTCCAACATTATATTTACCACATGTGTGTTGGAGTCCATTGGAGCGCCCTAAGGCGTCCTTGTTCTGGCAATTCCGCTGGGGCCACTTGGTCATCAGGACTTTGTTTGGTGTAAGTGTTTTTTCACCGACAACCTTCCGGATCCTTCCGGTCATCAAAGGTAGCAAGTTAAAATCCCCGAACTAAAAGGAGGTCTGAAATTAGCTGGGGGAATCATCTGTACACAACACATGTGTACATGGTGGATTTTCCGGCAAGCCATGTTTGATGATACCGGAGGGTAATTTGTCCAAGGTTTTTTTTTGGGGCTGTCAATAGAATGCATTATAGGATTTCAACAACTCATGCAAGTAGTGCCATGTTCCATTAACCTTGGTTGCTTTGATTCAGTATTGGTTCGTGTTACTTTGTTCGTGCTATGTTGGAAACGACCTTTCAATGATCAAAGTGCATGTTTTAACTGTAACCCCCTAGCCGCTAGCTCCATCCAGTATATATACTGTAATTTAGATGTTCATTGGAGAACTGAAGGCATCATCCCACTCGTGATTGGTACCGCTATTAGGCCATAGTACCCCACATGAACTATTGGCACCCTCTTGATTGGGTTTACATGTTGATGCCATTCTATCCCATCCTGCTCCCAACTATCAAGTTGGTTCATTTTCTGTCATGATTACTGTTGATCCCATTGGATGGTGATCCCTTTCACCTTCAAATGTTTCAGAAGGGTTAGGGTTTCCCACCCAATCCACCCAATGTTTTTTTCACGCGGCCCCATGGCTGGGAACGCCCCAGTGGAGGTCACAATGTGTCCGAAGTCAACGGACCCTTCGACAGCGTCACCATGCAGGGCTGGGTCATGCAGGGCTGCTTCAGCGAGGAACGCCCCGCCGAGGTCAGGCAATGCAACGCCGCTCGGCGGAAAAAAGCGCGCAGTGTGAAGGGGAGCAGCAACCAACAATGCAAGGGGATATATGTGTAAATGATTGTAAATGTATAATTATATATATATATATATATCTATTTATATATATATATATATCAGTCGCCTTTTTAGCTCGCCTTTAGCTTGACTGCTGATCTCCTGAGATGGCGATGGAGAGAGAGAGAGAGAGAGAGAGATATATATATATATATATATTAATTCATTAATTAATTAACTAATTTATTTATTTATGTATTTATTTATCTAAATGGTAATAAAGATAGCAAATTACCATGTGACCATGTCATATCACCAACAATCACCCATAAAGCCCCAGATTTCATCAAGAAAAACTGAGACTTAAACAACAAAATCTTGAAGGTTTTGTTCGGAAAAACGGTTGATTCGCTGCCCACCGAGCCTTTGTTGGTTAATAAAGATGATGGCTATTGTAGGCAAACCATTTTTTTGTGGAAATGGTCCCTCCAGTTCTTTCAAGTTCTTTCTGACCAATATATTTTCGACATTCAGAAAAGCAGTTCTTATAATCAGGTTCATAGGGGTTAGAATGACGTGATTTTGGAAGTTGGGCTGCCCATGACATTTGAAGATGGCAAATATCGTGCTGCTCTCCAGGTTTGGACTCGGCTGGAGATGAGATCAGCTGTCCTTTTCCAACTCATTGGTTGCGTGAAATGGAGGAAGGGATCCTCCCATTTTTTCCAAACATAAGTCATTTACCTTTTGTTGGTCAGATGTCAATCGATGTTATTTTTCTCCTTTGGGGGTTAAATGGTATGCTAATCCAGACCCTCGGTTTTGTCCCAACGGATCCCAAGCCTCACGGATCATCAAACCCAGGAGCGAAACGAACCTCAAGAACAGTGTTGGCATCCATGGGACCGCATTGACTTCGAACTGTACATTTGAGGCGCGTAGCACAGGCAGACGGATGTGACAACTTAAGAGCAAGTCTTCGACGGAGTTTATCATTTAAATCAGAGACAGCAAAACGGTAGACCTCTCCCAAATGCACGCATGAAATATTAGCATCTACAATTAAAACAATCCAAATGTATCCAAATGATTTCAAAGTAAAATACAATGGTGGATATGGGCTTGCTAGTAGTTTTAAAGTATAATTCAAGTGTAAACTCTAAGCTGCTAGGGTGGCATGGTTTAAACATATTTAATCTGGAATCCACAAAAGTATAACATGACAAGACCAATAATCAACCATAAAAGGAGGCTACTGCAAATCACCCGTACTCAAGGGCAGGTTGGGCATTGTTTATATATCAATTCTTTTCCACATGCACACACACACACACGCATATATATATAGTTAGTCTTGTTTTTATGAAGTTTGAGCTGCCCCTCTTCGGGGTACTGGAAAGGACCTTTATTTGTGAGTAGTATCCAAATTGTCACCAATTACAAGGAATTACCATGGGTCTTGGTTAACATATCTTATTAATAATTTTAATATGCAAAGAGCAGGGGAGATTGTATTGATCATCATCCCGTGTGGGATTGAACCAAAAAGGAATCGATTCCACCAGTATGGATGTGGTTCAATTTATTGCCAACCCCATGAAACTGATAGTTAAATAGCCCAATTGTATCATGATAAGCGTCTCCTTTTTCAAGCATCCCTCAGCATGATCAATTTTTTGGGCCCATTGGAAGGCCAAGTTTGACCCCTGCACATGGTGTTCTTTGTTGAGGTAGATGTCCATAAATGTCCTTTTCCCATTGGTTGGTTGATTAATTAGAGGGGCTCTATTTTTGCCAAAGGGAGATTAAACTATTCAAGTACAATTAACTAATTTGGTTCATTACTTACTGGTGCTAAACGCAGGGAATTGTCGGGAATGATCCATTTCATCACTAGTAATAATCATCCCAGCAACCCCCAGCAACCCCCAGCAACCCATCCATTCCCTACGTTTAGCACCAGTAAGATTATTGGTAAATGAAAGTAGCTATTATTGCTAAATGAAAGTGCAGGATGGGGCCCCCCAGTTATAAGGTGGTCTATAAACCATTATAATCCCCATTAACTATAGTTATATCCTGTAGATGTCCTTCAATTTGACACATCCAACTCGCGGCGAGCAGTTCGATGGTGCGGAAAAAAACAGCGCGGCGGATGCAGGAGTTCATCGTTTCAAGGTGGTCCAATTGTAGGCGTGTTGTGAAGCTTGTAAACCCCGTGATCTACCCTCTGATAAACTAACATAGCTATTGAAAATAGCCATTTATAGTGGATTTACCCCTAAAGAATGGTGATTTTCCATAGTTATGTTTGTTTACCAGAGGGTACATTGACAAATACACACAACAAACATAATAATCATCCACAAAAATCAATAAACATCCACAAACATCCTTAAACCATAGAAAAGCTACTTCGAAACCGACGAATCGCTATGGGGCACAACCTTGATTCAAGGATTCCAATCCATGGTCCATGGGCTTCTTAACATGAGGGTTACTGGTACGACCAATGTAAATATTTGCAAAATATGTATATTACTGTATATAGATAGATAGATAGATAGATTTGTAATGTAATGTAATGTAATGTAGTGTAGTGTAGTGTATTGTAATGTAATGCAATGCAATGTAATGTAGTGCAATGTAATGTAATGTAATGTAATGTAATGTAATGTATGTATGTATGTATGTATGTATGTATGTATGTATGTGTGCATATATTGTATACATATATTGTATGCATATATTGTATGCATCTATCTATATATATATATTTATATGTATACATATGTGTCCGTGTGTGCGTTTGTCTGTGTGCGTGCCGAAAAAGTTTATGTATTGTATAAAATCTCATATGTTTGTTTTTTCTTCTCCAAGTCCAAGTAGCTGAAATTCCAGGCTTTTGCGCATCTCCCGAGCCAAGGATGTGAAGAATTGCCCTTTGTCTGTGCCTTGGCCTGGATCATCCCCAGAGGAAGCTGGGCGACACTGGATCCATGGGATAGGCGCGTGGCTAGCCTATTTCCAGACCATGACAAAGCCATCTGGGATAACCCATGGATAAAGGGATAACTTATCATGAAACAATAGTTCTACCATAAAGGGATCTAAAGGGTAGAACTCCCACAATGGATTGTCGTCATTGTCATCTCACCGGGAAGAGTGATGCTTGCCCCCGTGCCAGTCATCCCAAAAATGGTTTCAAACTGAGATGCCCAAACAATGACTCGATAACCCCGGCTATATATGAAATAAGACCCAAAAATGAAGAGATCCTGGCACTGGCACCGGGCCTTTTTCGGGGCGGTGCGCATTGTGGTGGAGAAAGGATTGTTGAATGATGTTAATGGATGGACAATGAACGAAAATCCTCGCCCCGAGTATCGAAAAAACTATACATGGTTCGCAGGTAAAGTTGACCAGCTGTTGTAGTTCCCGGAGTCACGTTGGTCAGCAAAAATACTGAAATCATCTTAAAACAGGCTTGGTATTATGTATTTTTCATTTATTTTTCAAGCTATCAATGAGTACTGGAAATGTGTCATGTTAACACGATATGGAAAGAAGAGGAAAGCTGCATCATGAATCATGAACATCTGTTGCAATATTGGGAGTCCAGCAACATGATCATGGACTCATATAACATGTAATCATCATGTTACAGTGTATATATATATATACAGAGAGACATAGGTACGTACGGTTGTAACATGGCCTATATAATCACGGCTAGCTCATGCTAGATAAATCCGTCTCGACGCCGCGGCAGTCTTTCTATGCACGCCGTCTCTATGGGTTTCCTCCCAGCGTTTGGTTCGATTCGGATGAGGAGAGTGAGGCGGGGCCGAGCTTGGAGGTTGAGCAGCAAAGAAAATCAGCTGGGTCTTAGATGTGACATTCAAGATTTGCATGAAACCGGCAATAATGTTTTTTTGGTGCTTTGGGGGTAATTTATCTCATATTATTATTTTATACTATCCTTTGTATGGCGGGGGAGTTATCACAATCCACGAGCTGGATTTCCCCATGAACCAAACACTAAATATCATAACATATGATTAAACACATGTCTGAAACTTGGGTACCACCAAACCCAGTTGTTTATGTAGATTGGTAAAGTAAGTTTTGCAATGGTAAGAGGTTTCCCGGATTCCTTGACCAACCCAAAGTATTTGATGAACTGAAACGGTAGCGTTACTCGGTGAACAGCATGTGTTACTACTCTACCACTGAGACGTGTGGATGATTTGTTCTGTTCGGACTTGTGAATCTACCATGTCAGACATGTTTTTTAGATTGCCACCAGAATGGTGGCCATTCTTCATTTTCCACCAGATTTTCCACCAGATTTTCCACCAGATTTTCCACGGTGGTTCAGTCCAGGAATCGTGTCTTTTTCGCTTCGTTCACCCTCAGTTCCCCTCATAAAGGAACATAGATGTGGAAAACCCAGACTGGATTGATAATCCAAATTCAGGGGGGTATTCCAGTGATAATCTGGTACTTCAACGGTACAGATCAGGGGTTTACCCTCTGGTAATGTCTTACATAGCTTTCGAACATGGCCCATAGAAATAGTTGATTTACCTATTACAAATTGTTATTGTCCATAGCTAAGTTTCTCCTGAAGTGGACCTGGTGGAGGCGGAGGAGAGCTTGGCCAAGAGCGGCACGACTTCTTCGGGCGCCTTGGGATGTGAATAGGTCTATGGGTGCGTTTTCAGCTGGGAAACGAGTTGAAAAATATGGGAAATCTATGGGAAATAGATGGGACACATGTGGGAAATATACGGGAAGAAGTCGGGAAGTATATGGGAGATAGATGGGAACATATGGGACATATATGGGAAATATATAAATATAGGACATATGGGAAATTGAAATAGATGGGACACATGTGGGAAATATGGGACATTATGCGAAATCGATGGGAAAAATGAAAAAAAATGGTCGGTTTCTATGGTTTGGATCCCCAAAAGTCACCATAGTCACTTGGATGAATAGTTGGTTCCCCCACTTGCAGGGAAACCTCCAAATATCCGCGTTGATGAGTTGTTGTAAGGAGTTATACTAGCTGGTTATTGGGGATTATGCATGATCAACAAACCCATATGAATGGGAACCAACTAGTATTTAATGAATCATTAGAAAGTGAAGCCTCTGGAATCCGGAAATGGTATCCTCAGCTAATCCACTGTCCAATCTGTCGAAAGTGAATCATGCCTCACAACATGGACCTTAGACCTTAGATTGGTGGAAATTATACGGATGCCCAATGATTGGACCCCGGTTCCCATGCAAGGGGATCCCATCAATGGGAGGGGGTCCCCCTGGGATAGCAGATTTTAAACATGAACATATGCAGTGTGCCATATCATTTGCATATGATGCTGTTTTGTTCTCCTTGGGCAGATGTACTCTCAATCATATTAATTCTGTGCACGGTTCACTCTTGATGCCTTTTGTTTTTCTCTCTCTCTCCCTCTCTCTATATGCAAATATGGGGAATCATGTATTCTTCAAACAAACCAGTACTTGTGCTTATGATGTGGTCGTTAAATGTGTTGTATCAGCAAAACAAGTATGCTGGACCTTTGTTAGTGAGAGGCCCGAGCATTTTTTTTTAATGTGTTGATTAGAGGGGTAGGGCGGTAGGACGTTTGATGCTTTGAGAAGATGTGGTTTGCTGTGATGAAAAAAACATATTCGTTTGAGGGCCATTTGAAAATTTGGATGGAGGGAAACTTATAGGGAAACAAATTGGAAATTGTCCCAATCCAAATCTACATGATGCAAGGGAAAGGGTAGCGCTAGCCATTGAGATTTGCTGATGGGTCCTCTAGACATGGCTCCTGTCATAGGTCGATCATGTTTAGGATAGTAGTCAACTGACCATTGGCCCATCTGATATGATGTCCCTACTTAAGGGCTGATTTTTAGTGAGGGATCTTCTTAGACCCCCCAAGTACCCATAAACATGT